GGGGGGGGGGGGGGGGGCAAATCGAAAGTTTGAGGACAAGTCGCGACATACCCTAATCAGCATAAGAAATATGTCCAAAATTCAAATTAACTATTACTATATCCCAGTGGCGTAGTGAAGTCGGTTGTCACCCCCCAGAGGCGTAGCGACCCTTCCCGTGGACAAACTTTCAATTTTCGATTTGCACCTCTTAAAAGACTATTTAACACTCGAATTAATCACTTAATTAAGTGGAATTATCATTTTTCTCTATTTTGTTGCTATTTTTTTTGCCTTGGTGTCACCCGATGCGGTCCGCACCCCCCCCCCCCCCTATATACCTCAAGTTCTGTGTCAGTATGAGAGAAAATCGGCACAAATAATTTTTTTACACGCTTGGAACATAATTCCAGCATTTAGGGGTTAAACATGTTTAATATTATGTTGTTGTATGTATCTCATTATGTTTGTTTTTAGTCGGCGTGGTCGAGTCGGTAGAGCTCAAAGTTGCTAAACCGAAAAGTCTCGAGTTCGAACCCTCGGGCAGATGAGGCGCGTTAGCTGGGGACAGCCACTCTTCTAGGAGAGACAACTCCAAAATCAAACAACTGCTGCCTTGTAGTTTGTTCTTGGTTGGACAAAGGCTATGGAAGCAAATCCAAAAAGAAAAGCAGGCTGAAATCGGAGTCAATGGCCTCAATGGCGCATAACCAGTTGACACGTAATCCTTAATTGTGATGGAAGCATGGTCGAGTCGGCAAAGCTCATGGTTGGTAAATTCGAAAAAAGTCTCGAGTTTAAACCCTCTGGCAGATAAGGCTCGATCCCTACCAACACTAAAAATTAAGAACGAAGAAGAAGAAAGAGTCATACTCCATGACAATATTTTAAGCCATATTTATTCAAAAGTGAAGTTTTAAAGACACTTTTAAATTAAATTTTAAATTAAAATAACTATTCATTAAGATGTCTCCTTTAAACTTAAAACCTAGAATATTACTAAAATTTTGAAACATAGGCCTATACAATCTTACATAGGCCTATACAAAGCATCACCTTGTGATAATTTTTAAAACTATATGTCTTTCATCCTTTTAATTAAAGTAAAAAAATATAATATACTAAGCTTCTTAAAGTAAACAAAATTCACAAACAATTAAATGAATCAAGACATGGAGAGGATTTTAATCACCATGCTGGGGTTTTAATTTCTGTGTAACAAAATCTGGTACAATTTAGTTATATCATGACAAATTTACTTATCAACGTCAATTGTTATTTACATATATTTTATGTAACATTGCAATTTTTAAAATGTTACATATCACTTGGTCTATTGTTAAGATGTAATGTGTTAAATGTGACTAGCTTGATAAAACTAAACAAATGCGGTATAAAAATATTTTTATCATACAAAGTGACATCTTTCATGCAAATGAATTTGTATACTGGAATAGAAATATGGATGTTTGTTTAACAAGAATTTCTCTAAAATCATTATCAACATCTTGAGCATGTTTGTGCTAGACATTGATCCCATTTTTTCAACAAAAAATTATTTAAACTCAAAATAAACATCTTGAGCACCTTGTGCTAGTCACCGATCTTAGTTAAAAAAAAATTTATTTAAACTAAAAAAAAAAATCTTGAGCATATTTGTGCTAGTCATTGATCTTTGTTCAACAAGCAATTCTTCATCATCAACATCTTGAGTATGTTTGTGCTAGTCATAGGTCTTAGTTTGTTCAACAAGCAATTCTTCATCATCAACATCTTGAGCATGTTTGTGCTAGTCATAGGTCTTAGTTTGTTCAACAAGCAATTCTTCATCATCAACATCTTGAGCATGTTTGTGCTAGTCATAGATCTTAGCTTGTTCAACAAGCAATTCTTCATCATCAACATCTTAAGCATGTTTGTGCTAGTCATAGATCTTAGTTTGTTCAACAAGCAATTCTTCATCATTAACATCTTAAGCATGTTTGTGCTAGTCATAGATCTTAGCTTGTCAAACAAGCTATTCTTCATCATCGACATCTTGCGTATGTTTGAACAACAGCATGTCATGAATTAATCTAGGAATCGGAAATGCCATATGAAATAAGCATCACCTCAATGGCAGTTTTCACACCCATTTCAAACTAAAAATATAGGCCTCTTAATAAAACAATAATACTCTAGTAAAGTAGCATTTGCTGCTTAAGTGCACGTTTTTCACACTTCTCGATGTTTAGAAGAAATTGAAAGAAAGTTGAATAAAACACTTAACCCTTTCGCTGTTAGCAGTTATAAAATTTTGATAAATATTGTATATATATATATATATATATATATATATATATATATGTCTCAAAATGGGAAAAAAAAACAACTCATTAGTGTAGCCTATATTAACTGTCAGTTTCAATCAAAATTATCTTTCTTCCATTCTATAATGGAAAATATTTGATAAAGAATACTATACACCATAATATTAAAAAGGACAGTTTAAAACTTTTAAATTATAAAAAGGATATAAATATTTGCAGCTTTGCAAAAGAAATTAGGTTTCAAAATGAAAAAAAAGTACAGGCTAGTAATCCGAATCACTATTGTGATTTTCAAAAGATGAATATTCATCATCATATCCAGGGCATACGCCGTACCCTAAGCCGGCATTTAACATGTGTATCACTGCTAACCGCTGCAGCATAGCTATATCTAAGACTTGAGGCTCAGCTGCCAATTCAGCCTGTGCTGCGTGTTTAAACAGCAGCTTGTCCTGCAACATTTTTGGAATTGGGAGTTTTTCCACCCGTGCTTTCCTTCCAGCATCAGCACCTACAGCAGACGACACGACAACAAAACTGAGTTTCTGTAGAGACATGGGCTGGGATAGGTACTCGTCTAGAAATTGCAAACTGTATTGGTTTACTGAGAGATGTTCCCTTAATCGTTTATTGTAGGCAAGAGATATGTCAGACTGCGTCAAAAACCAAATGTCATTTAAAAACCGAGCAACCTCGACAGATCCGTAACTTAGAGATGTGAAAATAGGCGAAGCTTTCTTCTCAGTTAATCTGTCAAAACTAAGGCACGCCTTATCAACTTCTTTTGGCCCTAAACCTAGGGTTATAATTTGTTTTAAACAAGCAAACTCCTCATTTAAAATTAATTGATGAATAACATCAGGACTTAAACATGAGCTGTCAGCTCCTTTTTCTATAAGAAAAAGTACACTTTGCCTATTAAATCTTTGCGTACGACTGTTGCTAATCAGTGCAGATAGAGCAGTTTCGTTTTTCTTTTCATTAACTAAATTGACATCAGCACCTGCCTCACACAATACTTTCATTGTTTCAATGTGTTGTTGTTTGGCAGCTAACATCAGAGGTGTGTAACCTTCATTGTTTTGATGGTTGACACTCACCCCTGCTTTTATTAGAAGTCTCGCAACTTCAAATGGGTCGTTGAAACTTGAAGAACAAGCATGAAGCAAAGGAGTATTACCTTTGTTATCTACATCGTTTACATTAGCATTGTTTTCCAGCATAAACTTAATCATTGGCATACAGAGTCTTGACACCAAACTAAATAACGGTGTCTGTCCAGTGTTATTTTTTAAATTGATATCTGCCTCAAACTCCAAAAGGATTTTCGCATTAGCAATAGATTCTAAATTTGCAGCAAAATATAAAGCGCTTTCTCCATTGTTATTTTGTTGGTTGACATCGGCCCCAGCTTGTAGAAGAGCCCGTAAAACTTTTTCCATATCTGATTTTGCTGAAGCTTTCATTAATGGAGTGTTACCTAATTTGTCTTGGTTATTTTCATCTGCCCCATTGTCCAGGAGGACTTTCACCCTTTCATGCAGAGTGTCTCTTGTTCGTCCTCGTTGACTTTCATTTATTATAAAACTGAGAGCTGAATAGGAATTCCTGTATGGTTCAATAATCATATTCACATCGGCACCTAATTCGATCAAGAGTTCCATAACACTGGCATCTGTAGTTGACATTAAAGGTGATTTATCATCATAACTTGCATTAACATTGGCACCTTCTTGCACTAGTAGTCTTATCATCTCCTTATATCCCTTTTCGGCAGCTGTGTTTAATAATTGTGTTCCTATTTGCCTTATCTGAGAACACACCTCCGGCTTAAATTGTTCTGTCAAAAACACAAATGATTCAAGTTTATTACCACTTACAGTAGCAATTAGGGCTGCAGAAGCATTTATTTTAGCACCACGCTTTTTCAGAAATTTCGCACAATCTAGTTGCTCATGCTCAATTGCAGACTGAAGTGCTGGACATGAGTTTTGGCTGATCTGTGTTCCATGGTTAAGTAACAAGTCTATTATATCGCATCTCCCATTCTCAGCGGCTACAACCAAGGGATTTTTATTGCTATAGTAATAATCTTGTTTGTTCACATCCGCACCATGACGACAAAACATTTCGATTAGATTGTAGCTGCCTATCTTTATGCTTAAATTTAACACCCCTTCTGAACTATTGTAACAGTAATCAGATTTAAGCGGAGCTCCAGCCTTTAGAAGAATCTGAACTATATCCAAATCGTCTTCTGTTATTTCTCTTTTACTCTCTAGTATTGACTTTAAAAATTCAAAAACAATATTATTATCTTCTCCATTGCCATCGCTGAAGACAACGACACGACTAGCTAATAAAAGCTTAACGAGGTATTTGTCTTTCCTTAAAACTGCTTTTTGTAAAGTTGTTTTTCTATTAAGCTTTTGTTGGTCTATAAAATATTTAAAGGGTTCAAAACCTACTTTTTCAGCTAATTTACCAGCACTGTCTGATACAGTAAAATCGCAACAAGCAGTTACAACCCTTTTCTTTTTTAACAAAATGTTCATTAATGACAAGTTTAAAACTTCAATGGCTTTCATTAAAGCATCATACCCTTTTTTATTTTTATGGTCCACTTTTAAATCTTTTTTGTCAAATAGTTTTCTAGTCAGTTCTGAGGACCCGGATGTTTTGATCGAAAGTAAAAGTGCCGTGTCACCGTCTTTGTTGTAACTGTTGATATCAGCGCCTTTATCAACCAGTAACAGAGCTATGTCAGTGAAACCTTTCTCAGCACATATCAAAAGCGGTGTGTTGCCATCTTTGTCTCTCGTCTCAATATTAGCACCATGAAATATCAGAATCTGAACCAAAAACTCTCTACCATACCTACAAGACAAAAGCAGACCTTGGTCCAAACTTTCTTGGTTAACTTTGTTCTCTGTTTGTATCAGTTGATTAAAACATTCAAGCATTTCTTTAGGTGAGCCAGATTGAGCAGCTTGATCTATCATGTGTAATATATCACTTTGTGAAGCTGGAGTATTTACAGTACACTGTTTTGTTCCATGTCTAGTTAACTCTGGGCTTGAAGTTGAATGTGTTGTAGACTCTAAAACCAATGATGTGTCAGAGCTCTGACATGAGGTTGGATTTAAATGATTTCCTTTGCTATCTGTAGAATTTTTTCTAGGCATTTTGAGAGCAGTTTTACCTAAAAAAGAATACATATTCAAAACATTGAATTTGATGTTGATATATATATATATAAATAAGTATATGTATATATATTTATACATATATATAAATAAGTATATGTATATATATATATATATATATATATATATATATATATATATATATATATATATATATATATATATATATATATATATATGTATAAGTATATGTATATATATATATATATATATATATATATATATATATATATATATATATATATATATATATAAATATATATTTATATATATATATATATAAATATATATGTTATGGTCAAAGCCCGAAGTGTGGCCAAACCCCGGATTGGCCGGCCAATGCGCGGATTGGCCGGCTCTCTTGGCCAAAGCCCGAAGAACTTAGAACTAAGATCGTATTTCGTACATTGGCCGGCCAATGCGCGCACTGGCCGGGACGTACTGGCCAAAGTCGGAAGTACTTAAACTTGACAGCGTATTTTGTACATTGGCCGGCCAATGCGCGCATTGGCCGGGATGTCCTGGCCAATGTTGTATCTAGACTAAGTTGTGATCGCGTTTTAATTATTCTGGGTGCGGTTTCATTGTGAGTAACGTATTGTTTAGCTCTTGTTTGTATAGCATTCTATATGCAAGGCGACATGGACTCCAACAATCACCATACGAAGCCTTGTTTGGATGCAAAGCAAAAGTGGGACTTAGCACTTCAAATCTACCTAGAGAGGCTCTCAATAAAATAGCTACAGAGGAAGATCTTGAGAACATTGAACAAGAAATGGAGGTTGCCATAAATGCAACTACATCCTCAGCTCACACATCTACTGCCGTGGCGGAACGTCCAGACCAGTTGCGTGACAATAATGTGGCCAACAGATTCTGTATAGTTTGTGAAAAACATTGTAGTGCAGCTCATTCTTGTGGATCCTGTGGCAAAGATGTCCATGCTATTTGTGGAGTACCCAATGAAGCAGACGAAGGGTACGGAGGGAACATTACCTGCAGATTGTGTCACAACAAACAAGACATCATGGAACACAGGTCAGCAGCTCATACTGGCTTGCAAAATCAAGGTGCTAAGATGCTTAAAACATCAAATACAAAATTTAAAGATGGTGAAGTGGGTGACAATGTACGCATCCGTGTTCCAGATGTTGACAGAGGTCGCGGTGATCCCCGAAGCGTGATTGCAGTTGTCATGAGCGTCGTGGGCGGTTTCTACAAATTAGGAACGGAAAATGGTGTTCTAAAACAACTGTATGCTAGAAGTGAGTTTTCAATTCTTCACGAAAAATTGCTATTATTGTCGTCAGTTGGCACTGAGGAAAAATCACTACGAACCATCGCATCTTCACAATCATTGACTGGGGGCCAAGGCTACACTCACTGCAATTGCACAACCAAGTGTACAACAAATCGCTGCAAATGTAAAAATAACAAGCTGCTATGTAATTCTAAATGCCATAAAAGTTCAACTTGTTGTAACAAATGATAATATTGATTGATTGAGACTATAGTACAATAAAAAATTTGAATGTTTCTGTCATTTACTTTAATTAATAATCAATAAAGACTTAATTTCATGATCCTACCGGCATAAAAAAAACCAAAATCTGCTCATGATCTTCTAATTAAGACTTTGGCCGGTCCACCATGGCCAGTCCGCGGACTGGCCGGGACTGGCCGGCCAAAGGCCGAAATCAAGAGCTATTTCAGACTTTGGCCGGTCCACAATGGCCAGTCTGCGGATTGGCCGGCCAAAGGCCGAAATGAAGCAAAGTTTCGGACTTTGGCCGACCTATGGGAGGCGATATTGGCCAATGCGCGGATTGGCCGGCCAATCCTAGCATTGGCCGACTTCGGGCTTTGACCGTAACATATATATAAATAAATATATGTATATATATTTATTTATATATAAATAAAGACGAGAATGTTAGCGTCTGAAGTTGTCAGTTGACACAAAATTGTGGGGTGGGGCTTGAAAGGATAAACAGTGGAGATGTGTTTCAGTAAAACATTCAAAAAGATATTCGTAACTTTGTTATGTATATTTTTAGGCTAATATTCAAGAAAAAGATAATGTAATTTTTTTCTAAAATCAAGACAAGCACTATGGCGTTAAGGCTTTTTTGACGGTTTGCCTGACAAATAGATCTAGATCTAAATGACGTTTATTTCAGTAAATTATATTGGTGTTTAATTTAACAAGGTGGCATGCTCTTTATAAACTCATGTGCTTTTAACAATGCTCTTGACACAGCGGCTTCCGTAAATGCATTAAGCTCCCAATCCTACCTAATTACCTATGGACTTCACCTGCCCATTTAGCTCCACACAAAACGTGTGATTACGAGCGTTTTCGAACATGGTGGTATTTTAAGTCGCCACAAAAGATAGTGAAGTTGACAAATCATCAGAATATCTAGGGACAATGTAAACTATAAACAAAATGTCTTTGATGAATCTGCATCAAATATCATGGTATATCGTTCATGTGACTGACGGTTTTCGCGCCCTTCTCGCAGTTTACCACCTCGCCATTTTGCAATTTCCCAATAGTAACACCCTAGATCTAATATAAATCTAGAAAAAATCTAGATGTAGTCAATCTAGAATCTGGCTAGACGTTAGTTGATAGTTAGATCTAGATTTCTAGATCTAGATTTCTAGATCTAGATTTCTAGATTTTTGATCTAGAATCTAGATTTGCTAAAACTAAAAAAAATGCCATGGCCATGTCCATGATTTCAAAACCGGATATTAATAATTCCGGTAATCTATCGTTTTAGGTACGTAAAATCGCCCGCGGCTAGTAATGTACGAAAAAGTTAACCTCATTGTCAAGCCTTTAATATCAGTAAATTGTGATATATTTGTGTCAAATATTATAGATAAATGAATAACAAACCTTTATCAATGGCTAAATATATCAATATAGTCATCAAGTTCAATAGCGCGTCATCAAGTTCATGTTCAATAGCGCGTCATCACGTTCAATAGGTGCGCAATACTTTTTAGTCATGTAAAAAAAAACATGTAAAGTAATAAAAAAAATTTCATAAAAACGTTTTAATAACAAGTTTTTATGTAATAATGCACTTAAACGGAGAAAATAAATTATACACTACTATTTAAATTTAAAAAAAAAAACATGTGGTTTTATTTTATTTTTTTAAATTATCAAAAACAGAAAAATAAAAACTAGAAATCGAAGAAGAAAAGAAAGACACCCAGAATGACATACTAGCTTGACATACCAGAATGGCATACTAGCTTGATCTACAACACTGACTTACTAAACTGACCTACAATACTAACCTACCAAACTGACCTACTAAACTGACCTACAAGACATTCAATGGTATAAGAAAAGAGTAAAAAAATTCGTCACTCTTTATAAGCTGCTGAATGAAATCCTAGACTGGCGTTTTTATTTTCATGTAGCCTATACTTTATTTTATAAATCGAATGCATTTGTTTTATACCACCTTCTCTACCCCTTCCCTAGCACACACATTAATAAACAACCACACACTATGTATGCTATTGACAAAAATGTGTGATCTTTAGTAAAACAAAAAAAAAAATCGGAAAGAGAAAATAATTTGTAACATTTTCATTAAAATAATTGCAAAGATTTGAGTTAAAAAAGAGAATATTTTAAAACTAATGCATACAGCCATTCTAAATAACAGAAGTAAACACTAAAAATATGGAGAAATAAGTCAGTTTACAATACATTTCTTTGCTCAGTCCCTCAACCTGACACTAGAATCTATATACCAACAGAGGCGTAATGGGGTAACCCCACGAGGTAAACAATCGTAAAATTTACCATTAAAACAATACTTTATTTATTGGTATCAAAATAGTAGGGGAGAAGGGTGACACCCTTATTAACCGCACCGACTGACACCCGACCAAGTGACGTCACAGTATACCAAACCAACAAACCACCATAGTTTACACGCCTCACGTTTAGTTAGAACTGTAAAATGACTATGTAGATCTCTTCTTACCAAGTCTTCTCTAGGCCAAAAGATGTTTATTCTCTTCTGTGTAGATCCTCCTTTTTTGCAATATGTAAAAAAAAATGACCATTTTCGGCATTTTTGAGGGGGGAGTTGGTGGAAAGGGGAGGTGGAAGGCGGTAGACTTGCATCTGGGGGGGGGTGAGTGGGGGTGGTGGAGATTCTTCCTCCAATTGTGGTCTGCAGGTATCGCTTGTGTCATTTACATACCAAGCCAGTAGCGTAGCGAGGGGGGGGGGGGGGCGGGGGACATATATCCCCGGGCGCCGACATTAGGGGGCGCCAAAATGGGTTGGAAAAATAAATTGAAAGGTTGAGGGGGGGATGCAAATCGAAAGTTTGAGGGGGGGGGTGCAAATCGAAATCTTGAGGGGGGTGTAAATCGAAAGTTTGAGGGGGAGGGGTGCAAATCGAAATCTTAAAAGTCTGTCCCCGGGCGCCGGGAAGGGTCGCTACGCCTTTGTACCCAGCTGATTAATCAGAATAATTTAATATCTAACTCGCCCATTGTGGGACGGTGTGGCATTGCGGTTGAGCGCCAGACTGCTAACTCCAAAGTCTGTAATTTGATTCCGGGTTCAAGTCCATGCGTCCACCCAGCTCTGATGGGTACCTAACTCACGTTAGGGACAGTAAAGGCATAATGCTGACTAAATGATCACTTAATATGCCGAGGTAAAAATACATAGCTCTAATTGGAAAGTAACGGCTGCTGGTCAGAGTGCTCACCACACCATCCCTTCGTATGCCGAGGTCAAGAAACATATAAACTCTACTTCATCTGCCCAACGGATCGTTAGATCTAAACAGGAAACTTTTACCAAGTTCTCCATTCCATTTTCAGCGTCAGCAGCCAGACATGCGACTGGCCTCACAATGCGGACTGCTCCGGCAGTGAAGATCGTCTGCAGGAGACTTCCGGTTCCAGCCACGGCAGCAGTCACGGCGAGAGCAGCGACTACAGTGAGGGCGAGAGTGGACACGGCGACCACGGACACGGCGACCACGGACACGGCGAACAAGCACACAGCGGCCATAGTGGAAAGAGCGCAAGTAGCGGACAAAGTGCCAGTAGCGGACACAGTGCCAGTAGCGGACACAGTGCCAGTAGCGGACACAGCGCTAGTGCTTCCATCTCGAAGATAGACTGGGGCGGTGGTGAGTTGTTTTTATTTTTAAAGATGGCTGCCACACCGTTAAAAAACACGCTCAATTAGGGGGATGGTGATTTGTTTTCATATTGTAAAGATGGCCGCCATACCGTTTACAAACACACACAATAGGGCTGGTAAGTAAGTCACCAACCAGTTCTATGGCTCATGCAGGTTTTATTGAGCCGTAGAACTGGTTGGTGACCTACTTACCAGCCCTATTACGGCCTTGGTTAGTTGTTTTATTATGTAAAGATAGCTGCCATGCCGTTAACAAAACACACATAAATAGGGTGTTGGTGAGTTGTTTTTATTTATTTATTTATTTTTCTTTACAAACAAGTAAGGCCAAAACAAGGGTGACAACTCTCATTTCATATTATCATTATCATCAAAACTTAGTACGGAGAGGAGGCATTGCGAAGGTAGTATAGGGTACTTCTAGAGTCCACTCATTTTTAATTGATACTTACCTTCCATGTTTACAAGCTTTATTGAGTTGCCCCAAAACTTTTTTATAAGCGAAAAGAAAAAAAAACTCACGTGAATGTCACTTGACGACCAAGTGTTACGTAAAACCGTTACAATAGCGTAGTAGTGAACACGATAAATCCGCGAACAATTAAATCTTGTGTTTCTCTCACAATCTGCAACAATCTTGTAACACAAAATGACATCATAAAATTTACTTCAATTAGAAACGGCTAATGCTTTCAAAAAATCTATGACAGTTTTACTAAGTTCGACATACGTACATGTAAGAAAAATAAACACAAATAATATCAAAAACAGAAAACTCCACTTTCCTGAAATGTCATTAAAAGGTTATTAGGAAAGGTGCCAACTAAAGCAGAACAATAAAACGCGACATCTAACAATATCCCATTTTTAAAAACTTGATTATTCCAATAACTATCCGTATAGAACAATCAACACACAACAAAATGGCTTTTTAAAAAAATATTAATAACTCTTGAGAATATCCCACAACTCAACACCATTTCAAATTTCAACATCCCCCCCCCCGCCCACAATCTCAAATCTCAATACCCCACAGTACCCCTCACAAAGCTCATCTGATAACATTATCCCAAATCTCAACACCCCACACTACCCCAAATCTCCAAATCCCTACATTATCCCATCTCAAAACCTCCACACTTTCCCAAATCTCAACGCACCACACGATCCCAAATCTGATCACCCCCACCCATCTCTATCCCAAATATCCACACCCACACTCCTCCAAATCTCAACACACACAAACTACCCCAAATTTCCCCATCCCCCCCCCCCCCACATTATCCCATCTCAACACATTCACACTATCCAAAAACTCAACACCCCACTTATCCCAAAGCTCAACACTCACTCCCCCACTATCCCAACACCCCCACACTATCCCAACACCCCACACTATCCTAAAATTCAACACCCCATACTATCCCAAAACTCAACACCCCCACACTACCCCAAATCTCAACACCCCCACACTACCCCAAATCTCAACACCCCCACACTACCCCAAATCTCAACACCCCACACTTGCCCCAAATCTCAACACCTTACACTTGCCCCAAATCTCAACACCCCCACACTACCCCAAAATCTCAACACCCTCACACTACCCCAAATCTCAACACCCCACACTACCCCAAAATCTCAACACCCCACACTTGCCCCAAATCTCAACACCCCACACTACCCCAAAATCTCAACACCCCCACACTACCCCAAAATCTCAACACCCCACACTACCCCAAAATCTCAACACCCCACACTTGCCCCAAATCTCAATACCCCACACTACCCCAAAATCTCAACACCCCCACACTACCCCAAAATCTCAACACCCCCACACTACCCCAAATCTCAACACCCCCACACTACCCCAAATCTCAACACCCCCACACTACCCCAAATCTCAACACCCCCACACTACCCCAAATCTCAACACCCCCACACTACCCCAAATCTCAACAACCTCACACTATCCCACACAGAAAGTTCCTGGATAAGTCAAGCAGCCTCAGGGGGCAAACCCTGGTGGAGACCCAACGGCATAAGCCCCAGCCAGTGGGCTGACCCAGAGAGCATCAAGAAGCCCGTGTTCCAGCCCCACATCCCATCGGAGCCCAAGGAGGGGGGAGAGGAGGAGAGTGGGAGTAAAAAGTCGGAGAAGAGCACGGCCAAAAAACCCAAGAGCACCTCCGGGAAGTCAGAGCCCATTTCTAGGTCAGCGTCGTCAAATCTACAGGCTCAAGATGGTGGTAAGTTTGGTAGGGTGGGGGGGGGGGGGTTTGTTTGGATGGTTGGTTAGTTTGGTAAGTTTAGTAGAATTGTTGGGTTGGTAGTATGGTGGCTTGATAAGTTGAAGTTTGGTAGAATGGGGGGGGGGGGGGCTTCGTAGGATGTGGGGTCTTGGTAGGATGGTTGGTTTGATTGGTAAGTTTGGTAGAATGAGGGGGGATGTCGGTGGTAGGTTGAGGGGAGGTGGGGGTTGATATGATGGTTGGTTTTTTGGTTTGGTAAGGTGGTTAGTTTAGTATTACGTTGGTGAGGTCGTTTTTATTCGATTGTTGGTGTGATAGGTTTTTTTGTGTAGTAAGTTTGTATGAAAGATGCGGCTGCGTTGTTGACTGGTGTGATAAGTTTAGCTGTATGATGTGGTAATTATGTATGTGACAGTACAGTGACCTGTCCAATGTGGTGAAAATATTATGATAGAATACAGCATTTGCACGATAAAAATTTCCTAATATTATGAAAGTATACAGCATTTGCACGATAAAGTAATTTCCCAATATTATGATAGAATACAGCATTTGCACGATAAAGATTTTCTAATATTATGATAGAATACAGCATTTGCACGATAAAGATTTTCTAATATTATGATAGAATACAGTATTTGCACGATAACGGGGATTTCCTAACATACACAGCTGTCTGTCGTAGATTTTTTGACGGTTTAACGGATCATTTATATATTATGTAATACATAGATAAATAAACATATATGCCTGTAAATCGGAAATCAATTTACATCTTAAATTAAACGTGTTGGGTTCATATTATATTAATTACTGTTTTTTTTAAACTTTCTAAAAATATGAAAATTGTGAAGCTAGTTCGGCCATGTCACTAACTATCATGCCACTAATAAGTCAATGTCATGTCAATATCATGTCACAATGATGTCACTTTCATGTCACTATGAGGTCACTGTCATGTCGTTATCATGTCGCTATCGTGTCACTGACATGTCAGTGTCATGTCAGTTTCATGTCACTTTCATGTCACTGGCATACCACTGTCATGTCACTGTCATGTCACTTTGATGTCACCATGATGTCACTATGATGTCACTATGATGTCACTATGATGTCACTGTCATGTCACTGTCATGTCACTGTCATGTCACTGTCATGTCACTACCATGTCACTGTCATGTCACTATCATGTCACTATGATGTCACTATCATGTCACTATTATGTCGCTATCATGTCACAGTTATGTAACTATCAAGTCACTGCCATATCACTGTCATGTCACTATTATGTCAATGTCACATCACTTCCCCAGACTGTGACCCGTCCAGCTGCCAACTGCCCAGCTGCTACTGCCCGGGCACCGCCATACCCCACGGGCTGTCACCCTCTTCCACGCCCCAGATGGTCATGCTGACCTTTGATGACGAAATTTCCGGTGCCTTCTACGGTTACTACCAGCGGCTGTTTAGACCAGGTCGCTACAACCCTAACGGCTGTCCTGTACGTACGCGTGTTTTTTGTACACATTGTCGCTACAACCCTAACGGCTGTCCTGTACGTACGCGTGTTTGTTTTACACATTGTCGCTACAACCCTAACGGCTGTCCTGTACGTACGCGTGTTTGTTGTACACATTGTCGCTACAACCCTAACGGCTGTCCTGTACGTACGCGTGTTTGTTGTACACATTGTCGCTACAACCCTAACGGCTGTCCTGTACGTACGCGTGTTTATTGTACACATTGTCGCTACAACCCTAACGGCTGTCCTGTACGTACGCGTGTTTATTGTACACATTGTCGCTACAACCCTAACGGCTGTCCTGTACGTACGCGTGTTTATTGTACACATTGTCGCTACAACCCTAACGGCTGTCCTGTACGTACGCGTGTTTGTTGTACACATTGTCGCTACAACCCTAACGGCTGTCCTGTACGTACGCGTGTTTATTGTACACATTGTCGCTACAACCCTAACGGCTGTCCTGTACGTACGCGTGTTTGTTGTACACATTGTCGCTACAACCCTAACGGCTGTCCTGTACGTACGCGTGTTTATTGTACACATTGTCGCTACAACCCTAACGGCTGTCCTGTACGTACGCGTGTTTGTTGTACACATTGTCGCTACAACCCTAACGGCTGTCCTGTACGTACGCGTGTTTATTGTACACATTGTCGCTACAACCCTAACGGCTGTCCTGTACGTACGCGTGTTTGTTGTACACATTGTCGCTACAACCCTAACGGCTGTCCTGTACGTACGCGTGTTTGTTGTACACATTGTCGCTACAACCCTAACGGCTGTCCTGTACGTACGCGTGTTTTTTGTACACATTGTCGCTACAACCCTAACGGCTGTCCTGTACGTACGCGTGTTTGTTGTACACATTGTCGCTACAACCCTAACGGCTGTCCTGTACGTACGCGTGTTTGTTGTACACATTGTCGCTACAACCCTAACGGCTGTCCTGTACGTACGCGTGTTTGTTGTACACACTGTCGCTACAACCCTAACGGCTGTCCCGTACGTACGCGTGTTTGTTGTACACACTGTCGCTACAACCCTAACGGCTGTCCCGTACGTACGCGTGTTTGTTGTACACATTGTCGCTACAACCCTAACGGCTGTCCTGTACGTACGCGTGTTTGTTGTACACATTGTCGCTACAACCCTAACGGCTGTCCTGTACGTACGCGTGTTTGTTGTACACACTGTCGCTACAACCCTAACGGCTGTCCTGTACGTACGCGTGTTTATTGTACACATTGTCGCTACAACCCTAACGGCTGTCCTGTACGTACGCGTGTTTGTTGTACACACTGTCGCTACAACCCTAACGGCTGTCCTGTACGTACGCGTGTTTATTGTACACATTGTATCTGTTGGAAGGTTTACATTAGCCTTTTATTGAAAAACAAATACCGAGAAGTCGTCTTTGAATCAGTTTTTTTTTAAAATAACATCCCTATCGTATTAATACCTTTCGGCCTTAAAACTAGACAAATATCTAACCCCGAGGCTAACATGAGTATATCTCAGGCATCTCTCCTGGGACACGTTGACCTTCCCAAATGCACGTCCAACACCCACTCCTTCCCCCCCCCCCCCCCCACGCCTCATCTGATTAAATAGAAAAGATAAATTTTTGTATAGAAATACATGGCATAATCCTGACCCCCTTCGGAGAAAAAATCGAATCAGTCAACCCTGGTTAATATACCTATGGCAAACCCTGATTATCATCCACACCCTATCCCTAACTTGGCCCAAACCTTTATCCTAACTCCGATCAAAACAGTGATTTAAAACAAATTCAATTCAGTTTAGTCTTGCTGCCTTCTTCTTTGCAAAAAAATTAATTTTTCTAGTTTACACACGGAATTTTACTTCAACTTTGAACACGTTTTCTAATAGACTTAATGTATAAAATCTTGATTTAAATGCATGCTTATACAATGGATTCCCTTGTATACATCCACATTTTAACGCACAGGTACACATTGAAAGTACCTGTAGTCAGTAGCGTAGCGAGGGGGGGGGGCGGGGGGGGGGACATATGTCCCCGGGCGCCGACCTTAGGGGGGGCGCCAAATTGAAAGTTTGAGGGGGGGGTGCAAATGAAAAGTTCGAGGGGGGGGTGCAAATCGAAAGTTTGAGGGGGGGGGGGGTGCAAATGAAAAGTTCGAGGGGGGGGTGCAAATCGAAAGTTTGAGGGGGGGTGCAAATGAAAAGTTCGAGGGGGGGGGTGCAAATCGAAAATTTGCTCCCAAGGGGGCGCCAAATTGAAAGTATGTCCCCGGGCGCCGGGAAGGGTCGCTACGCCTCTGCCTGTAGTAATCCACAGATCAATGCATGTTGCACATCAGATATGCCTGTATAACATCTACAGGATTATAGCATGTTTACACAGTATATATCTGTATAAAATCTTAATTTCAATGCATGTTTATACATTGTATATACCTGTATAAAATCCACAAAATCCGCATGATGCTGTCACACTAGCTTTACCTGTATTAACATCCACATTTTAACCCTGGTTTACACATTAGTCTAACTGTATAAAATCCACATTTTAACCTATGTTAAAACATTAGTCTACCAGTATTAAATCCACATTTTAACCTATGTTAAAACATTAGTCTACCAGTATAAAATCCACATTTTAACCCACGTTAAAACATTGGTCTACCAATATAAAATCCACATTTTAACCTATGTTAAAACATTAGTCTACCAGTATAAAATACGCATTTTAACCTATGTTATACAGTTATTAGTCTACCAGTATAAAATCCACATTTCAACCTATGTTAAAACATTGATCTACTAGTATAAAATCCACATTTCAACGTATGTTTTTCCCCTGGTTAAACCCGCAGGTCCGAGGTTGCATGTACGTGTCAGGTAGCGGCACTGAGTACGATTTGGTCTACCCGATGTATGCCATGGGCAACGAGATTGCCAGTCACACCATCTCCCACAGGTAGGTCCCCAGGGGCGTTACTTATGAGGAGACTCTGGGGGGGGGGGGGGGGGGTTAATGAACCCCGGGGTACGAACTTTTCACCGTTCGAACAATGTTCACCCTAAGCTAAGACTTGATTTCACCCACATTAAAAAAAATATTTTTTTAAAAATGAAATGTGCAGACTAGTTTAGTTGTCCTGAAAAAGATAGTCAAGAGCTTAAGTATAAAATTAGTTTTGAAAATAGGTTACACCAAACTAACAATGATTGTTCCTAGTTCCCTCACACTTAACCACCATGATTTTTTCCTAGGTTCCCCCCTCCCCCATACACTCACTAATCTAACAATGATTGGTCCCAGGTCCCCCCTCACCCACACACACACCAAACTAACAATGATTGGTCCTATGTTCCCCACACACTACACTAACACTGCTTGTTCCCAGGTCCCCCCCCACACTACACTAACAATACTTGTTCCCAGGTTCCCCCCCCCACACACACACACACTACACTAACAATGCTTGTTCCCAGATTCCCCCACACATGGTGGTCGACCGCCTCCTACGAAGACTTCTTTGAAGAGGCGAGCGGCATGAAGGAGAACCTGATCAGCCGGGCCGGTCTGCCGAGTGAGGCCATCAAGGGCTTCAGAGTTCCCTTCCTACAGCTGGGGTCAGATAACATGTACAGCGCCATCTATGATGCGGGGTTTCAGTAAGTGACAGGGTTTTATGGAAGTAACGCAGGTTTTATGGAAGTGACGTAGGTTTTCAGTAAGCGACGCAGGTTTAATGAAAGTGACGCAGGTTTTATGGAAGTGACAGGGGTTTTTAGTAAGTGACGCAGATTTTATGAAAGTGACGCAAGTTTTATGAAAGTGACGCAGGTTTTATGGAAGTGACAGGGGTTTTTAGTAAGTGACGCAGGTTTTATGAAAGTGACGCACGTTTTATGGAAGTGACGCAGGTTTTATGGAAGTGACAGGGGTTTTTAGTAAGTGACGCAGGTTTTATGGAAGTGACGCAGGTTTTATGGAAGTGACGCAGGTTTTATGGAAGTGACGCAGGTTTTATGGAAGTGACGCAGGTTTTATGGAAGTGACGCAGGTTTTATGGAAGTGACGCGGGTTTTATGGAAGTGACGCGGGTTTTCAGTAAGTGACGCAGGTTTTATGGAAGTGACGCAGGTTTTATGGAAGTGACGCAGGTTTTATGGAAGTGACGCAGGTTTTATGGAAGTGACGCAGGTTTTATGGAAGTGACGCGGGTTTTCAGTAAGTGACGCAGGTTTTATGGAAGTGACGCAGGTTTTATGGAAGTGACGCAGGTTTTATGGAAGTGACGCAGGTTTTATGGAAGTGACGCGGGTTTTCAGTAAGTGACGCAGGTTTTATGGAAGTGACGCAGGTTTTATGGAAGTGACGCAGGTTTTATGGAAGTGACGCAGGTTTTATGGAAGTGACGCAGGTTTTATGGAAGTGACGCAGGTTTTATGGAATTGACTCAGGTTTTATGGAAGTGACGTGGGTTTTATGGAAGTGACGCAGGTTTTATGGAAGTGACGCAGGTTTTATGGAAGTGACGCGGGTTTTATGGAAGTGACAGGGGTTTTTAGTAAGTGACAGGGTTTTATGGAAGAGACGCAGGTTTTATGGAAGTGACGTGGGTTTTATGAAAGTGACAGGGGTTTTTAGTAAGTGACAGGGTTTTATGGAAGAGACGCAGGTTTTATGGAAGTGACGCGGGTTTTATGGAAGTGATGCAGGTTTTATGGAAGTGACGCAGGTTTTCAGTAGGGGACGTAGGCGTTCTGTAAGTAACGCGCTTTTGATGCAAGTGACGCAGATTTTTAGTAAGTGTCGCGGGTTTTCTGTTGGGGACGCGCGTTTTATTAAAGTAACTACAGTTTTTTGTGACTCGGATATTGTGTAGCCCAAAAGATGAAGGTATCTATACGTTTATTTGTAATAAGGTTGGATTAAAGTTTCTTACTTAGACTGTTAAATTGAAGTGTTTGGATGTACTTTAGGATGTCTAGTTGTGAGATTTTAAGCGAGTTCTTTTGATGCAACTGTGCGTAAAAAAAAAAAAATCTTTGAATATTCAGATTTTCTAAACTGTTATTAAGTTTTAGTTTATTTCAAACAGGTTTTTTTTTAATTTAAAATTTAACATTGTATCTCTGATGTAGAGTTTTTGTTTTAGTCGGATATGCCATTTCAAAGAGAAGTCATTCTCAAGGCGAATTATTTGCTAAGTGAACCGACGTTTGTTTTGTATTCTTCACGCGGCGCTTGCTATTTGTACCTCAGCTACGACACGTCCATGTTCACTGGCTCTGAGCAGGAGGTGGGTGACCCCGTCTGGCCCTTCACCCTGGACTACACCCCCAGCCACACCTACTGCCAACACGGACCCTGCCCCACCAAACAGTACCCTGGACTCTGGGAGATACCTGTAGGTTTACCTGGAATTTGGGTTTTACAAGTTAAATTTTGTAGTTGATCACGACTAGGGAATTAAAATTAAATGTCATGGCTGTTTCCGGTAAAGGTCAAGACGATATAAATAGCACTCTGGAAATTAGGCTATAGAGCTTGTAAGTCTATGGTCTCGAAATCTACTAGCTGGCAAGCACGAGCACGAGAAGTTGTGACCTACTTACAAGCCCTATTAGACTTTTGTTAGGTTACCAAATACGCCTAAAAAATTACTATGAAATAGATTTATAGATTACATTAAATAATTAGCTTTGGAAAATATTGACTGAACGTTTTCAAGCTGAAAAACTGCACATCACCCTTCCCTTTTGTTTAAAGACTACCCATGGGTCATCATGCAGTTTATTGAACTTTTAAAAAGAGAAGAAAATAAACCGGGAGTGATCTCCCCTAAACTTTCTCGAATATTCTTATATAAAATAACAGGGGATGGGAACTCGGGCTATAGACATGATTTTTAATCCATTTTAAATACTTAAAGTTTTAAAAATAGAATAAAATCTCGTAGAAAAAAGATTGCACACCAAGTGAACGCCAAATAAAAAAGTGCATAATAGTGCGCAATATTATTAGTACTTTAAAAATTTACATTAGTTTTTTGAGAAATCGGAAGTAGCGTAACTTAGTACTTCCGGGCAACGGAAATTACTCAAAATTTGACAGAAGGTAGAGAATTAGATTTTATACTTACATGTGAAATTTCATTTATCTATCTGAAATAGTACTCAAATTATAGGCTTTAGAAAAATTCAAAGTAGAAAAAGTACCACTTCCGGTTATCGGAAATCGCTCAAAAGTTGATACGGATCTACGATTTTGATAAAATACTTATATATGAAATTTCATCAACCTAGCTGTAACGGTACTCAAGTTATCGTGTTTACACACGGACAGACACACACACACACACACAGACATACGGACAGAATTGCAAAGCCCAGTTTTTCAGACTGAATTACGCATAAAACCTCTTAATTTTGATAAATCTGGATTGATAATTTTTGCCCGATTAAAGTAAGTCCTCTATACTTCGGATGTGATGAAGGACTGAGGTGTAATACGGTGAAAATTGTTAAAATTTCAATTGATTTTTGTGCACGATTACAATACTTTCTATATACTTCGTATATGCGAGAAAGTAAAAAGATACAATTTTTATGCATAGCTTCATAATAATAATCTGTTTTATATAACTATTTTTAAAAACCTCCCCTAGGTCCAACGCTGGTTTGGGCTGGATGGCCATTCTTGTGCTATGCCGGATGGATGTAGTGCCACCGGGGACGCTGAGGAAACTTTGGAATACCTCAAGTCAAATTTCAGGTAATGTTCCTGTCTGTCATTCTCGCCTGCGGTTTCCATTGTTTCATGGACCATGTTGGTATCCGAATATACAAAAACTGGAAATAAACACTAGAACATAGCCCATTGGTCAAGAAAAGCAGAGTGAAATTGGAGTCAACGGCCTAAATGGCGCATACTCAGTTGACACGTATACTTAATTGTGTTGGAGGGAATCCCTTTCAACATTAAAATTAAGGACAAAGAAAAAGAGTGCCTGGATATAAATAACTACTCCTCACCTCGACCAAATTCCTTTCTGGACTTAAACCTCCGAACATAGCCCCTTTGGACATATACCCCCACCCCCGGGGACGTAAAATCCCTGGACTCCCCCCCCCCCCCCAGCCATAAACCCCCTCCCACGTATATTACCTGGACATCATAATTTCCCAAAAACAAATAATGGCGAAAACATTAACTTTGCAATATAAAGGTATATAGGTTAGGTTTGGTTAGGTTGCCCGGTCGTCCCCTACTGGGACAAGAGATTTCCAGCCATCTCTGTCCAGGGCTAGTCTCTCTAAATGTCCTCATGTGTATCTTATCATCTTCGTGTCATGGTCGCGTCTCCAGTTCTTGTTCGATCGACCTCTTTTTCTTGCCCTGTTAATTATAGATCTTCGTCCTGGTAGTTTCCAAGATATCTACCTTAGCTTTCACCCTTCTTCATAAATTCTCCAGCAGGGCTCATATTTTTTTTTCAAATCCTAGCTGTCTTTATTCCTCGCTGTCTATTTTTCTGTACCAGTTGTTTATTTTTCTTTTATCGGGAAGAGTTGCTAGTGAAATGCCCAATGGATTTATGTGAGGTTTTCGTGTAGTGGTGATGTCCTCGGTGGAGGTTTAGTGTAACCAATAAGACTAAACGTTGACTGTTTGATGTCTGATGTTTGATGTTTGATGTCTGATGTCTGATGTTTGATGTTTGCTGTTTGATGTCTGATGTTTGATGTTTGCTGTTTGATGTCTGATATTTGATGTTGATGTTTGATGTTTGATGTCTGATGTTTGATGTCTGATGTCTGATGTCTGATGTTTGATGTTTGCAGGCGGTACTACAGCTCCAACCGTGCACCGTTTGGTATTTTTGTCCACGCCCGCTGGTTCAACACTGAACACAACCTGGATGGTTTGGACAGGTTCATCGATTACCTGCTGACCATAGATGACGTCTACATCGTTACACCTAGCCAGGTAGGTTTATGGTTCATTGTGGTGTTGTCAGGTAGGTTTATGGGTCATAATGGTGTTATGTCAGGTAGGTTTATGTGCTATTGTGGTGTTATGTCAGGTAGGTTTATGTGTTATTGTGGTGTTGTCAGGTAGGTTTATGTGCTATTGTGGTGTTTTAACCAGGTAGGTTTATGGGTCACTGTGGTGTTATGTCAGGTAGGTTTATGGGTCATTGTGGTGTTGTGAGGTAGGTTTATGGGTCATGAATCGTTCACAGAATTAGAGCATAAAGCAGGTGTGGGTTACGTGAAGGATATAAAGTAGGGACAGAAAAAAATAGGGGAAATGGTTTTTTTTTTATTAACAGACGGTATGGTCGAATGGTATAGCGTTTGACTACTAGCCCGAATGTCTCGAGTTCGGATCTTGATTAGGATCCGTGAATGTAGGACGTCCCTGAGTCCATCCAGCTCTAATGGGTACATCACTAACTTTAGGGAAGTTAAAGCGGCTGGACATAGTGCTGACTACACTATCCCTTCATTTTCCGAGAAAACATATGAACTCTACGTCATGTCTAATGGATCGCTAGGTCTAACACAGAACTTTAATTTTCTATATATTTTTTACAATTAATATATTTAAAATTAAAGTATCCTAAATAGTGTAATAAAAAAAATGCGTTTTTTTCCATATCCCCATGCTATCAATCTTTAGCTACCTCTGAGTTTGACTATATGTTAACTTAACGTACACCTCTCGTATATTTTAACCTAACGTACACCTCTCATATATGTTAACCTAACGTACACCTCTCATATATGTTAACCTAACGTACACCTCTCATATATGTTAACCTAACGTACACCTCTCATATATGTTAACCTAACGTACACCTCTCCTCACCCCTGCAGGTACTAGAGTGGATGAAGAGCCCGACCTCCCTTAGCGGCATCAACAGCTTCGGCCCCTGGAGCTGCGAGGGTGGAGCCAAAAAGTAACCACCCCCACCCACTGCCGTGGAAAATATATTTTTGTTACTGCCATTGTTTGAAACTCCTAAAGTTCAAATTGTCGACGATTTTTTTACTCAAACATACGCTATGAAAAAAATGCCTCTGATTTTTATTTGTCTTTTGGTTTGATACTAGTTCACTGAATCAAAATTGCACAAATAGACCTCAATAATTAATCACAACTATCTTATCTCTATATACAAAAACAGAATATATATATATATATATATATATATATATATATATATATATATATATATATATATATATATATATATATATATATATATATATATATATATATATATATATATACATCCCTAAAAGGTTGGGTTGGGTGACTTTGGTTTACTTTCACATGTTCTATTTTGTTGGGCCAACAAGAATCAAGAAATGTAGATCAGGATTAAAAGAAATCAAAGCAAAAAATCATTTCTATTATATGACTTTGACATATATTTAAAATTTATATAAAACAAAATATAGGGGGTAGCCCTTGGAGTATAAGCAAATAACTTTATAGTTATTTCAAGCATCGTTGCAATGTTTAGGTTAACCTATCCTATCCTGTTATGTTGCTTCTTCTTGTTTCAAGATAGTTCGTTCCTTTGAAGTATAGACTAATCTGATATGCTATTATACCAACAATTATAACGAGTTTGAAGAAAACGTGTAGTTTTATATGATAGTGTGTGATTGTCTGAAGATAATGTATAGTTGTTTTTTCAAGCGAAGCTCCAAGTTATTCTGCTATTACAGGAGAGTGCAAAGATTTTGTGGGGGTTTTATGGGATAGTGCCTATATATTATACTTTATCGTGAGAGGCGTAGTTGCACAGATTTTTGGAATTTCAATCAAGTACTACAGTGGCGTTAAAATTTTTGTTTTCCCAAGCCCGATATCTACACCGAATAACGGCTTTTGAGCGGTATTTTCCGGGTTAATACTTGTTTTTTGTCCGCTTGGATCTTTTATCTTTGCCCATTTTACACATAAATAAGGGATAAGCTTTAATAATGAGAAAAAAATAAATGGGATAGCGTCCCACAGATATTAAAAAAAAAACATTTTAATACCAGATTAACCACTTAGTGGTTGGGGCAATATGACAAAAAAAAACAACTGTTAACCCTTTAGTCTAGATTTCATTTCCGAGCGTTCAGGATACGCGATCTGTTCTATCAACCGGTAGGTTGCAAAGGGACGCAAATCCTTGAAAGCCAAAGTCACCCAATCAATATCTTGAAGGCATCGTTGTTTCAGTTTTAATGCACAAGTTAACATTAATTTATTAATAAATTAAATTACTTCACCTTATTTCAACCCCCAGTGGAGTATAGGCAATTTATAGCATTCTTCTGTGCTTTTCTGTCCTTTACTATTTTTTCCCCGTTTCTTTCCAACTGTTTCCAATCATTTTCATGTCTTTTTTTTTTCAATTTCTCCAAAAAAAATTAAAAAGTTCTTATTAAAACAATAATTCAGAGAAAAAAGAATAAAAATCAAGAAAACGTTTAACTGGCAGATGCAACTAATTATTTTAATTTTGAATAAACAAAGGTTATCTTGAGTTGAAGTCCATGTATTATGAACAGGTATCCACCTGGGTCTAACCTAAACATTACATTCAAGAAACAATAGAAAAATAAATACATATCAACAAGGTCTCTCTAATAACTGTTCTAATTAGCTTGAAGTCCATGTATCATGAACATGTATCCATCTGGGCCGAACTGAAATGTTAAATGTAAGTAACCATACAAATATAAATATGTATCATTTAGGTCTCCCTAATAACTTTTCTAATTAGCTATGAATTAAATCTAAACTTATCAAGGTAGAATTCTTAAATCTCATTCCCACTGTGTTTGCGTGTACGCTTTCTAAATATTGTGATTGTTTGTATAGTTAAAATCTATTATAAAATGTGTAGTGGGTTTTTTAAAATCTTCTATTTAATAAAATATGTATATTGTACATAGATATTGTTATCGTCTACGTTTTTTCCATTAAGTTACACTGCATAGTTAAACTGGTATAGGCCTACACATGCTTATAAAATATAAAAAAGGACTCGTTAGTATATTATATTAATATATCTTACAAGGAAAACATCCATTATACAGGGGTCAACCCCTTTAACACCATAGCTGCAGTAACCCAACTAAAATGTCTCAGAATTCATGCACTTAACTTTTCAATCCTTAATATTCTCTTCACTATAAACTGATTTCAATGGTGCTGTAGGCAATACATTTTCAGTCGTTCGACCGAATTGTGCATACAATTTTTAATTCACTGAGAAATGCAGATATTTGCTAACGAACCGACTAATGATTATTTTAACTGCAATTTTTTATTTTATTTTCTCCACTGAGTGATTATAATATTTTATTTGAAATAATTTTGACAAAACTAATTTTTGGGAGAAGAATTATGATTTCACATAAACAAATAGTTCTCTATCAGTAAATAGCATCATTTTTTTGCAATTAACATGACATAAAAACATTTTATTTTTATAATTGCTGGCACTGAATATTTTTTTCCTATTTTTAGAAATTTTACAAACATCAGCTCCACATTTAGTTTACCTCTATTGTAATTTACTTTCCTTTTTATAATATAAATTTTTATTCAAGAGTAATCAAATAAGTAAAATTCCAAAAGAAGTTTTTTCATTAAAATGATTTTCAGTAATAAAAATAGCAAGGTTACACCACCTGTGGGGAATTTTTTGTTTTAAACAATATTTAGGTATAATGGACCATAAAGAAAATGTTCATACTGTCAAAATCACTAACAGGAGACCATTTCTTCAGAGTAAAATCACATATATAGGTTACACAGCATGATTGCCACATAACATTCTTTACATTCATCACTCACACAGTAGTAAGTTAATCAGGTTATCTCCCTCTTTTTTGTTTTTTTAAAAATACAACAGAACAATTTTAAAAAAATGGAATGATTTATTTGTTTACAGAAAAAATATGTGTATATACAGTTATAAATTCCAAATAATCAAGACAGTATGTAACTACAGCAAACCTTATAAAACATACACTGCATTCAAGCATATATCATAGAACGAAGAACACTTTCAAACAGGAATGTTTACAGACAAAAACTGTACACAGAGAACTGCTGCTAGCTGTTACAAAATTATGTAGAATACTTAAAAAAAACTAATGGAATGGTAGCATTTAATGAAACGTTTTGAATTTATGGTGTATATTGAACTCATTGATTCATAAAGGCTTGGAAGATGTATCTAGTATCAAATAAATTGGTTAAATGGTTCGCAATTAGAGATAGAGAAAAATGTATTAAAAAAAAACTATCAACCTCATTACAACATTATAAAAATATAAATTTTAAGGCTTAGTAACAGGCAGTAGGAATGAAAATATGTTTATTTACAGTGCATGAACATTTTATTTATAAGTTTACAAATTAAAAAGACTCCATGAATGCTCAATACATGAAATGAACTGAACCTAAATTTGAAACATATTTTTAACGCCATTTAAAACTTGGAAAAATTTTCGTTAAAGGAATGTGGAGGTAAAGGAAATCCAAATGCAAAAGCATTTACCGTAACATATCTTTTAACACTAATTACACAAAGGCTCTAGCCATTTCATTAAGTCTATTTTTCAATTACGAAAAAATTTAGCATTTATCAGCAACAAATGTACCAAAGTGGTTACAAGTTTTTGCAGTCTAGAATTCTAAAGATAATTTCTTATATTAAGAATATAGTGTAATGATGTGAGAGGCAATATCATTCCTTCTAAATTTACATGTCATATTCATCCGGAGGTGGTCGTTGACCCCTGTTTGGGGGTGGACGATACCCCCCAGGAGGAGGGGCAGCCCTAGAGTCAAAGCTTGAATCTTTGTCCTCGTACTCGTCTGGTGGGGGTCGCATCACACCCTGCCCCGGCCAGGGCTGGTAGGCATCTGAGGGAGGACCCCTCTTCTCATACTCGTCAATAGGGACCTTCTCTTTAGGTGGACCTTGCCTGTACTGCTGCTGGGGTGGGGGCCCCCCATATGAGACAACAGGGGCTGCAATTGAAATAAGAGCTTGTTTTAAGTACAATTTTCGGTGAATGGAGTTGATCAAAAATAGTTTTTAAAAAATCTAATCTTCTTACATTATAGTCAAATATACAAACTTGAAAATATAATTGATGGCGATACAAAATTTTGAAACTGTTCATTGTTTTTAAATTTAAATAATTTGAAAAAATACTGCCTTAACAGAAATTATGACAATAAACAAGAATCCATTTGCAATATAGACAATTTCACATATTTTGCTAAGAATATATTAATGTTTAAACTGGGTACTTTATTGGATGGGAATCAATATTTTATTTAAAAAAATAGCTAACTACAGTACAATTCAAGTCTTCAAAAAGTAATCCCTTCTTTGCAATGCTTTATATATTAGTTCCTATGCAACTAAGAAAATAAATGTGTGCTGTTTTAATATTTTATGTGAGGTAACAAAGGGCAATAATCAGACAGGACACAAACTACACAATTCACTTACCTGGACGAGTTACTGAAGTTGGAGCAACAGGGTAGTGGGAGTGGCGTTTGTTGTGGAACAACTTGGGTCCAGCATTGTACTGTGACCTCTTCCTCTGCCACCAGCAGATGACCACAACCACCAAAGCTGCTACAGCAACAGCTCCTACTATACACACTCCGACAATAATACCAATGCTGGAATTTTTAAAAACAGGAACTTTATTTTAAGGAATTAGTTTTAATTTTTTATAACTCTAACCAATACATAAACTATCAAACAGAAAGGAGATTACGATAAACTTGAACTTCATAACGGGGAATTCAGGTAAATATACTGTAGAACTATTAATTAGGATAATACATCTGACATGTTAATTCAAATTATAGTGAGTTTGTCAACAACATTATATATTCTAATGACAAAAATAATAAACATTAAAAGAAAAGAAAATATTAGCAGGATAGACAGTAAATGAGTTCCAATATGTACTCAACATTGTGCCCAAGAAAGGTAGTTTTACTGCAAATGTAACTATGGAGCCAATGAAATCTGTTCAGGACTTACGGAGCACAGCAGTGCCTGTTGAAGGAGTTTCCACAACAGTCCCAAAGACAGTCGATGTAGTCTGGCTGTTGGCTGAAATAGTTTTCATACTTGGCACATCTCCAGCTTTCAACACCTTTGTATGAGAAAAACAAGAGTTTTAAAAAACTGTGGGGGGAATGATATTAAAGGGAAACAAGCAAGAAACATTGTAGTTGTTAGGGCTTACTGGAATAGGCTAAATATTTATACATAAAAAAAAATGTGTTCTTTCTTATGTAAGTGTAGTTAAACAATTCACAGGAAAATAGGCCAATGGGTATGTATAAAATCATAACAACTAGCTTAACACAAGACTATTGGCGTTGTTTAAAAAGGGCAGGCAACATGGGGATGAGGGAGGAGGGTTAAGAAATGTGACACTGCCTCTGTCATGTTTTGTTTTAAAGAATTAAATGCATGGAATTTATGTTGTATTTTCAGAAGGGGGTTGGGGGGGTATGGTGGCAAGTGGACAAATCTGTAAAATAGAGTGACTGCTGAATCAATCAATGAACAAATTATTCTAATAACTTACTTAAACAATCTAGAACTATTATGTCAGCCTACACCAGGGGTCTCCAAACTTTTCAGCCAGAGGGCCGCATTAGCTATCAATAAGTTCGGGGGCCAGAGTTTCTTCCAGGCATCTCTTTGGGATGATGGAGCCCCCGAAGAACGCATCTTAAAGGAACTTTGATGCAAAATGTGTAATATCAGGAAAGTGTTCCTTGGGCAAATACTTATAAAACCCTCGCGCCCTCATTTGAACTTGTCTTTAAGGAGGTCATTTGCTGGGCAACTGGCTACATTAGCTTCAATGGTTTTTGCACCCAATCCTACATTTTTTATTTGTTTTTAATTTTTCATCAGCCATTTTCAACAAACCTTTTTTTTTCGTGGACAAAAATATCTCAGAGGGCCGGCATCCGGCCTGAGGGCCATAGTTTGGAGACCCCTGTCCTACACTAATTACTAAACTAAACACAAACATAGGCTAATAGTAATGTACTTTCAAGCAGAATCTAACAGATCAAGCAAGTACTAGTGTTCAGGAAGAGAATACAGATGAAAATGAATAGGCCCTACAATAAAAAAAGTTTTAAAAAGCTGACTTTTTTAGCAAAATAAAATAAGAAGAGTAAATTTAATGAAGGAAACTAAACAGAAATATAAGTTACATGTAAAACTTTTCGTAGCAGGTAGGCAAAAGGCCTAAGTTGAGTTGATACGTACGTAAAGTACCCTAGTGCCTAGTATTAAATTAATTAATGTAGATCTATCTCTAGTTTTAAAATGGGACAACGCGGAAGTGGGGCAAAATCGAAAATTGGGTCAAATTATAAAGACAAGTTATTTTTTTTCAACAACTTAGTTCCACACAACTTGTTCTGAATTTACGTTAAAAACTGAAACTGACTCAAAATATGATTTAAAATAGTTAAACCTGACCGGTTTTTGTTGATTACTTACAAACATTTAATAAAGCAAAGGCGACCAGATGCAACAACACCTGGACAGCCATCTTGGAAAGGTAGAAAAATAAATGAATCGGCCCCGTGTGTTGAATGGTTTAGTTTCGTAGCTATTTTCAGGCCATAATGTTTTGGTCCACATTTCGTATCTTTAAAATGTTGTTTATATATTCGCATTAAATATTATTCCAGTATTTTTTAAATAATTCAGCTTTACAATGATTTAATAGCATTTTTGCTGTTAGTGGCTCTGTTAAACTATTGATGTTGGCGATAAAAAATAGTAAACTCATTGGAGCATGACATTTCCACACAACATTTAGGCCTACATACGAACCTCCGGCCGTTTAACTTTAATGACCTCTGTCATAAAGTAAAGGTCATATTTTTAGCGTCCCGTTACTGCATAATATTATTTAATGTATTATTAAAGTCACTGCCCGCAACCAAAGTATGCATCAATTCATAGAACCTGAAAGTTTTAAAATACGCACAATAATCATTCTGTTCGGACTATTGTGGACTCTCAAATTTTTCTTCCAGGCATCTATTCGTAGGGGCTGTGCCCTTACCCCCCCCCCCCCCCCCAAAAAAAAAAAGTCTACCGACCCCCCCCCCCCCCCCGAACGAAATGGAATTTATATAGAAAACATATACTTTTACCAGTGCCCCCCCCCCCCCCGAAAATATCAAGTGCCCCCCCCCCTGGAGAAAAAAGTTTTGTGAGTGTTTCCCTATCTAGATTTTTTTCAAATGTTTTTAAACTACAGTAGTCTACCTTTAATGATGTTTTAACATGGACACCCAACATTCAGCATCCGAGTTTCTTCCAGGCATCTCTTCGAACGAAATGATATTTATATAATTTATATAGAAAATATATACTTTTAACAGTGTCCGCCCCCCGAAGAAAGTCTACCGCCCCCCCCCCCCCCGAAAATTGCAAGTGCCCCCCCCCCCCCCCCCGGAGAAAAAAGTCTGGAAGAAACACTGTTCAGCATTTTAAAATAAGTTTTCGTATTGGTTCACGGTTTGATTTTTTTGATGGGGAGGAGGGGTGCTACATACGGGTGTAGGACAAAAGGCCGACATCCAAAAGGCCGACAAGACATAAGGCCGACACGGACAAAATGCCGACAGCCAAAAGGCCGACAGGACATAAGGCCGACAGGACACAAGGCCGACAGGACACAAGGCCGACAGGACACAAGGCCGACAGGACACAAGGCCGACAGGACACAAGGCCGACAGGACACAAGGCCGACAGCCATACGGCCGACAGACCATTAGGCCGACAAACCATAAGGCCGACAAACCATAAGGCCGACAAACATAAAAAATACTTATATCGCAAAATATGTGTTACTGCATAGCTCCTGTCTTGACAAACATCGAAATAAGGCATGAAAAAAATGTGAAACGTTCAAGAGAAGAAACGATGCTTGTTGCTATCCTTATAAGGTGAACCATCGGGTCAAGCGATCAACACCTAAATATTACGAAATGCTGTCACGGCTGTCTTTCATAGCTTCTTCTATTGATCGAGGTGAGATAATCATCAAAGAACCAAGTCAAAAGCCGCCGGTATCATCGCCCACATGCAACAAGGTGGAACGTCAAGAGACAATGCTAGTTGCGATCCTTATAAGGTGAACAATGGGGTCAATGCTACTGGAGATGACGGGAGTGTACAAAGCATAAACAGATAGGTGGCGTTACCACCATATTTCGCAAAGAAATCAAAGAAACCGAATGAAGTAGAACAATCGCGGTCCTTGAGTAGACTACATTTTAAATTTAGACAAAATTTGATTTATATTTTAGTTTCGTCTATTGCGAATTGCGTGAAAAAAGTGTATATTCGTTATTTTGTTATTTATAAAACTTGTCGGCCTTTTGTCTTGTCGGCCTTTTGGATGTCGGCCTTTTAGCAGTCGGCCTTTTGTCTTTTCGGCCTTTTGTCTTGTCGGCCTTTTGGATGTCGGCCTTTTGAAAGTCGTCCTTTTGTTTTGTCGGCCTTTTGTCTTGTCGGCCTTTTGTCCATGTCGGCCTTTTGTTCGCGTCGGTCTTTTGTCGGGATCCCGCTACATACGTAGGCGTGGTCGTGAAATATAGTTCACGACTGCTAATCCAAAAGTCTAGAGTTCATATCCCGAGCTCGAGTCTGTAGGACGTCACTGAGTCCACCCAGATCTGACTCCATAGTGTGCTGGACATCCTATCAGAGTTTCTTCCAGGCATCTTTCTACCGCCGCCCCCCCCCCCCCCTCGAACGAAATGAAATTTATATAATTTATATAGAAAATATATACTTTTAACAGTGTCTGCCCCCCCCCCCCCCGAAGAAAGTCTACCCCCCCCCCGAAAGTTTCCAGTGCCCCCCCCCCTTCACCGGAGAAAAAAGTCTGGAAGAAACACTGCACCCTATCCCAATGTATGCCGAGGTCAGTGAAACAGATGAACCTTACTTAATCTGCCCCATATGTCTTGGGTACAAACGGGGAAAGATAATACGCTGTGCGTCGTAGAAAACTAACCACAAGTTTCCCTTTTGCGATACGCCCTTTTCTATACACTAAGTTGACTAAATGATCAAGAGGCATTTTAAGAGTTAATATTTTAAAATTAAAATACCATAAAATTTACAAATATGCCAGTGATTTTTTAAATTTTGATAAGCCAACACCCCAACCCTAACAATATTTTGTAAGGGGGGGGGGGAGGTAGGGGAGATGAATGACGATAAGAGAAAAGCTCTGTTCATTTAATGAAGGGTTACTCTCCTGTTTTTTTTCCGTTTGTGGAGAAAAAAGAACGATAAATCTGCTTTTAAATGTAGATATAGTATTAATTTGTTATCGCCCTTGTTTGTTTAAAACCTATTTATGTCTGGCTAGCAAGAACTGTTCTTTTTTGAAGACAAAGCATTTAAAGTGAAATTAATTACGATGGCACCGGAAATATGTAAAAAAAAAGAATGCTATAGAATAGGTAATGTATATAATTCCCAAAGTAGGTCGTCAAAGGATGAAATATATCATATTTCTATCATATTTCATACATTTCTACTCATTTTATAGAATACCAAATACAGTGTGTAGGGTACGCTTTCTAACCAGAACATTTCGAAATCTTTGTTAGGGTTAGCGGTAGCTTTAGGGTTTGTGTTTGTGTTTGTGCTATGGTTATGGTTAGGTTCAGAAAGTGCAATCCAAAACACCATTCCAGTCTTCCGTGCTGCAGCAAATAGTAAGTGATTACACTTCTGAATCCTCTGTTCTCCCAGTAAAGAATTCCTGTTGTCCGTTTTGTATTTTTTTTTTGTCTTACTTTGACTGTTTGTTCCTATAGATTTTTGGGTTCCAAGAAAGATGCTCATCTTTCTGGGAACCCAAATATAAGCCACGTATTTAACATTTAGATTAATTTAATTTTCTTTATAGATATTATTACATATAATAGGATATATATATATATATATATATATATATATATATATATATATATATATATATATATATATATATATATATATATATATACAGAGCCGGCGTTAGGAATACGCGGGGCCTAGGGCCAACCATCCGCGCGGGGCCTTTCCATTATATATATATATTATATATATATATATATATATATATATATATATATATATATATATATATATATATATATATATATGTATATATATATATGTATAAAGGCCTATATAATGTGATGTACACATAATAACACAAATGTTTTGGAGTTTATAAGCTAATGTCAAACTTTCCACTATAATAACCGATGTTTATCTCTCCCATGTATTAACCCAATGTTCGTAGTTTTTTTTTCCTTTGCTTAGATATTAAATCACTTTTGACAGTTATGTAATTCATACCAAATCACTTAAGAAAATTTAATCACGTGCCGAATAATTAGGAAAATAAAGTTTACAATACAGCGAACTCGGCCTGATGTATCAAAACAGTATAGACTTCAAAATTTGTTTAGAATTCATACAATATTTTAAAACCAAAAACATTATTGTCTTAATTATTGAACGGGTGAATCCTTAAGGTGACACAACATAACAACAGTTTTAACTTTCTTCCAAAAAATAATAATAATTCACTCTGTTTAATGCCGCCTGATATAGATCCTAAGCAGAGGCGTAGCGACCCTTCCCGGCGCCCGGGGACATACTTTCAATTTGGCGCCCCCCTCGGGAGCAAATTTTCGATTTGCACACCCCCCCTCGAACTTTTCATTTGCACCCCCCCCCCCTCGAACTTTTCATTTGCACCCCCCCTCAAATTTTCGATTTGCACCCCCCCCCCCCTCGAACTTTCGATTTGCGCCCCCCCTCGAACTTTTCATTTGCACCCCCCCCCTCAAATTTTCAATTTGGCGCCCCCCCTAAGGTCGGCGCCCGGGGACATATGTCCCCCCCCCCCGCCCCCCCCCCTCGCTACGCCTCTGCCCCCTTGTCGCCCTCCTCCCACCCTCTGCACGCAACTGAATGTTAACTTTGTTATAACAAGACAAGTATGCCTACATATAGTCTCTTCCAGACATCTCTTCGGGAAAAATCTACCGCCCCCCCCCCCGAAAATATCAAGTGCCCCTCCCCCCTGGAGAAAAAAGTCTGGAAGAAACACTTTACATATACGACATTATACGACATCTACAACAAGAAAGTCAGGACTAGAGTTCATCAGGTCACTAACTGTCTACTACAGACATCCCGTCTGCTCACTAAAAGGACGTCTTCATGGGTCCGCATACAATAGGGTATCTCTTTACGTCGTGGGCTAATTCTCGACCGCCATCTCCAGTCAGCTCAGGTCAAATGCCAGGCGACCGTACCCTACACAAAGGGAAGGCGTGACACTATTTTTGTATCGAATTACGGCCTGTCCCAGTTCAGGTGGGACTCACCAACATCAACCGTGGCCTCAGTTATAACAATCAACAACGTCGGCATTCGACCATTTAGTTTTTCCCAATTGAATTCAGCAACAATTTTTTTAAGTTTACAAACTTATTCAGATAACAATGACATTGCTGAAGCGCGGGGCCCCTTCAAGCGCGGGGCCTATGGCGACCGCCCCGTTCGCCACCCCCTAACGCCGGCTCTGTATATATATATATATATATATATATATATATATATATATATATATATATATATATATATATAGGCTATGTATATATGTACATCTAGACGTATATATAAAATAGACCTATTTACGAGTTTCATTCTTCATCACAACACTAGCATCAGAATTTCTTTCAGGCATCACGAACGAAATGAAATTTATATAATTTATATAAAAATATATACTTTTAAGTGTCCGTCCCCCCCCCCCCCCCCCCCCCCCCCGAAAATTTCAAGTGCCCCCCTGGAGAAAAAAGTCTGGAAGAAACACTGCCTAGCATTGCTAAAGCTTACCACCCCGTCCCCAATACAATTTCTCTTTTCAGTTTTCTTAGAAAAATGCAAGCTAGAAATTAACACTCCATTTGGAACAATGCCAACAAAGTTGTGTTCTTTTTGTTAACTTGTGTGGAGGTAAAGACATATGACACGGTTTAACTGCCAAGTGACAGTTGCTTCATAGCCATTCGTGCGTGAAGTGTTAGAATAAAGAAGTATACGTTACAGTCGTCGATATTTTAATGTCTGCATATTAACATTCTGAAGAGAATTTTTAATAGCTTAAAAATAAGGTCCTTGAATTTCTAGTAAACTAGAACCGACATTAGCTGTAAAAGTGGCGTAGAAGGTGTCCCTTTTTATGTTTTGCAACACAGTGGCGTAACTAGGGGGTGTTGGGACTAGACCCCTCATGGACCCCAAAATGAAAATTTTCTGAAGTTAACTTGCAACGATTAGCGACGAGGACTCATGCATCTTTAGTGTTTCTTTCAGACTTTTTTTTCTCCTGGAGGGGATGGGAGGGGATATTGAAAGTTTTAGAGGTGGCGGTCCAAATTTTCTTGGGGGGGGGGGACACTGGTAAAGGTCACCCCCCCCCCTCCCGAAGAGATGCCTGAAAGAAACTCTGCCTATCTTATTATTTACACAATTTTCTCCATGGACACTTAAAGAGGTCCCATACCAGAAGAGACAATAACAGTCAACAAGAGATGTACCTATCCTACCTCCATTCCCCCCCCCCTCCCTCCCTCCAAATGAGGTGTTGTTTTTGTTTGCCAGACTGTAATACAATATAGTAGGCGTGCAATAGATAAGTGCGCTAGTTATAGACGCCACGTAAGCTAGGCTCCTAACAAACAAACCAACAAATAATGATGACGTTTTCTCCAAATTTGCACTGATTGGGCAGTAGATAATTGGCCAAGAGGTTTAGACATGCAATTTGTTTTTTAAAATTGTTTGTAATGATTACGTTTCGGTTTTAAGTTTAAACAGTAAACATTGAGCGACACGAGAGCACTGTCGTTTACAGCTGCTGTTCTCGGTATCAGAGGCGGAGTCAAGAGGTTCTACCAGAGGCGTAGCGAGGGGGGGGCGGGACATATGTCCCCGGGTGCCGACCTAGGGGGGGCGCCAAATTGAAACTAAAGTTTGAGGGGGGGGGGGTGCAAATGAAAAATTCGAGGGGGGGGGGGTGCAAATCGAAAGTTTGATGGGGGGGGATGCAAATCGAAAGTTCGAGGGGGGGGGGGTGCAAATCGAAAGTTGGAGAGGTAGGTGCAAATGAAAAGTTCGAGGGGAGGGTGCAAATCGAATTTCGTCCCCGGGCGCCGGGAAGGGTCACTACGCCTCTGGTATAGGGGTATAGGGCTCGTCAATAAATGGAATGATACAATTATAGGCCCTACTCATATGGGGGTTAATTTTGGACTTATTTGATGAAGTCAGACAAAGGGAAATTGGGTAATTCCGAAATTGTAACTTCACGCATCTGCACAGAATTTCTTTCAGGCATCTCTTCGGGTGGGGGGGGGGGGTGGCTGTAAACGTGTGAGAAATACAATTTACACTGCAAACATATACTTTTACCAGTGTCCGCCCTCCACAATCTGAAAATTTCAAGTGCCCCACGGCGAAAAAAAAATTGAAAAAAACTGCCTCTGCATCCTTATTTTCCATTATACCTGAAACACCTTTAAGATGTATGACGCTTGTGACGAGAGACACATCGCCCAAACGTCAGATATAGATCGAAGTGTCAACACATATCTCACGGTAAGTTACAGTTACTGGTGCACTTGTGCCTGTCCCAATGCTTTCATTTTTTTTTAATTGCACGATTTATTTAAAAAAAAAAACAGACAATCACTTAACATAGACGCCAGAGTTTCTTCCAGGCATCTCTTCGAAAAATTGTTACCGCCCCCGTTATATGAAATATATTTAATTTATATAGAAAATATATACTTTTAGCAGTGTCCGCCCCCCCCCCCCCCCCCCCCCCCGAAGAAGGTCTACCGCCCCCCACCCCGAAAATTTCAAGTGCCCCCCAGGAGAAAAAAAATCTGGAAGAAACACTGATAGACGCCTATATAGGATACATACCCCCTTGCCTACTCCAAACGCAAAATCAATCCTGCCCACGCCACTTGCCATGATAGTATCATTTTGTCCGTGATTTTCATGTCCTCATGTTTGTATTGAGAGGGACAAAAATCGCACCCACCCCTTTCTGTGACTGTCTTCTCCGCCACACTTTTGCTAGACAAGTGGTAATGCTAATCGCATTTGAATATTATGCAGTATGTTGATCTAGGCGTGATCTCATGTCTTTTCTAGAAATCGTGGAAATCAATTATCGGTTAGAAAAGTCCTCATAATATCAAGAAAAGGGGAGGCCACTCTAGTTCTATTTGTGAATTGTCAAGATAAACAACAGTCAGCGAACATTGCGTAGTAGTCAAGACGTGCCGGTTGCACGAGATACTTAAGTTAATTTCTACTAGATTTAAATTCTACTCGGTTTAAAAAGTTCAGAATTTCGTGCTAAATTTTAGCTTTCGAAATTAGATCTAATTTTGTTTGGCTTTATTAATAATGGCTCTTCGAGGACCTTCCGATCCGACCTCATACACCGAATTTGATAAATGTGCTGTTACGAAACTTGACTGGGACGTGAAGGTAGATTTTGACAGCCACAAGATCGGCGGTTTCGCCCATTTGACAATCGAAAAAAAAACTGAAGATCTGGATTTTCTGGTGAGATCATTTAGATTTATTATGGACTCATAAATGTCATAATTACTGATTTTATTAGAATCAAAATTATTAAATTATTCTTAATCTTGTAGAATGTAGATTGTAGAAGTAGAAGGTAAAACTCCATTTTAGCGTATTTTATTTCTCCGCTGCTTGTTTACCTCCAGTTGAGCGTTTATTATAACAACCGAAACACACCAAAACATTAGGAAAACATGATTCATTTATTTGTATTGTATTTGTCTTTGTGTTTTAACAAATTAATAAAAATGAATAAAAAAACAAAGAGACTGACTTTGTTTTAGATTTTGATCATTTATTTTCGTTAAAACTTGAGAAAAATCCAAATTTAGAATATTGAATGTGCAATGTTCGTGTGTCAGAATTTTCATGGCAATGGGTGAAGTACGTAAACGTAACTCACAATTGCAAGGCGGTTAAGTTTGTATTGTTACAAGTATCTCCCAGGCATGATACTATAAATAAACATTAATGAACTTACAATGACCCCAAAACTGAGGCCAACACAATTTCAAATAGCAATTGCCCGAACTATGACGTATGCTGATAATTCAATGTCAATGTGAACTCACAGTGAACCCGCGACTCTGTATGGATTTTTCTCCCGCTGACGATTACACGAGATTCGATATTTAATTGGAACTTTTCTAATGCTTTTTATGTTTTTTTTTACCTTTTCTAATTAAAAATCACATTCATTAAAAAAAATAAGTAGATCTAGTGTTTTCCTGACGTTTTTGTGTGTTTCGGTTGTGTTTATAATAAAATACGCTCAACTGGAGGTGAACGTGAAGCGGGTAATAAAATACGCTAAAATGGAGTTTTACCCTTGTAGAACTATTTTCATTTAAATCTAGTCTTAAAGTTTAAAGTCTAAAGTGTGCAAGAGGCTTTTAAAAATAATATAATAATAATTTATTATAATATTATTATTTAGGAAAATGGAAATTTAAAACAATGCCTAAAAATACTAAAATCCTAAAAACTACTCCGTTGGAGTACTCAAAGTATGAAATCGTTGCCTCGAGACTAAATTATTAAATTATGCTCTTAGATTTTATTGCCTTGGCTTAAATTTAGAAACTAAAAACACTAGGCCCATTCTAAATTTACTAAATTAATTTAGATCTAGAATCTAGATCTAGCTTACTATCAATGTCTATGATCCATTCATTTCACTTACAATAATCTTTATTATTTCAGATCTAGCCTACATCATTAAATTGAAATAATTAAAACTCAAAAGCATTAGCCCTACTGGGTGTTGGGAAATTGCGAGGCGCAAAAAGCGAAATGGCAAGTTGGTAAACTGCGAGAAGGGTGCAGTCTGACATTTTTGTCTCGCATATTACCACCACCCGATACTTATGCTGGGTGTTGTTAAAATGCAAAGATATCTGCGAAAAATTTACTGCACCCTATTTACAGTGGTATTTGAAGCAGACTTCAAAGAAGTTTCGTTTACATTGTTGAAACTTCAGATTTTTCCGTCGCTAGACATACTTATGATTTGTCAACTTCCCCCATCTTTTGTGTCGACTTAGAATACCACCTTGTTCGAAACCACCCGAAATACCACAGACGATAGATTAACTTCTTTCTTTTGTGTGGAACACTGAGGCCATCTGATTTATCGTCTTTGAAGAATCCGCTGCAGCCGCAGACATATTTTGTATTGTTGCATGGAAATTTTGTATTAAAGCCGCCACCTACAATTTTTTTCTAGCATTTTTTTTCACCATATAAATACCAGCACAAGGTAATCATAATGAGCAAGACATTGCCAAAATAACAGAAATGGTAAAAAATACAAATTATAAAAAACAGAAAACAGATGATGATGATGAGAACATGGGTACCGGTGTTGTGTGTGGGGATGAACAGTGAGGTCAACTGTGATGAGAATGAGACATGTTGTGAATGTGGATTGGAAGAATTAAGTAGCCAAAGAAAAATTTATAAATGGGAGTCTTATGAACTGGGTTGGATGTACTATGTGTGAAAAATGGTGTCACGAGGTGTGTTTGAGTAGTGCTAGGACTGTTTCAGAAGATTTTGTTTATAATTAAAATTACTTAATAAAAATAAATTACACTTTTTAAAATTGTTTATCTATACTTTTACGCTTTCTGCAAGTACAACAATCCATGAATACAAGTAGCAAAATATCTCTCCTGCTGACAAGATTATACCCCGCTCACGTTAGATGTTTAAAAATAATGTCGACTGAGGCGGGATTTTCCTCTCTCTAACGAGAAAATGAGAGCGGGCGATGACAGTAGCACAGCAACGATGTTAGGATTTTTTAATAGATAGATCTATATCTATCTATTTTAGTATCTATCTTTCTATCTATATATATAAAATAATGAAAACTGGATTAAAAAATAACAACATACAACACCCGTGTTAAAGGGTATGGTTATAAGCTTATGCTTGTTTAGTTAAAAACAAAAAAAATAATTAAAATAAATAAGCAAGAAACAAAACTTTTTTTCCGCGAAATGTGTCTAGCTATTTACCCGTGATTCCGCAGGTATGTCTTGCATTATCTTCTCGCAGTTTACTGCCTCACCATTTCGCTTTTCGTGCCTCGCAATTTCCCAACACCCAGCCCTACCTACATAATTAGCCTACAATGATAGTGTTGATAGGCCATTTTATGTTATTTCTTCTTCAGTCCATAGACATAGACAGTACAAGTCTAGCTGTTATCTGTTATGGTTAGATGCTCAGGGCTAATTAGGAATTTATAGCAAGAGTCAACCTATTTATATTTATGACTGAGACTGTAGTTGTAGGCTTACATACTAGAAGTAGACCTGCCTTTTCTTGTAAATATTTTCCTTAATTATTTCAAAAACATGTTTCCACACTTCATACTTGCATGAAAACTACTACAAAGTAACTTATGTATCTAATGGGATCTTCAATCTTGGTCTTATTATGCTATGATTGATTTAGTTTTCATATTACAGCTTACATTTACCACCTACACTTTCATTATTTACTCTAAGATAAGCTGACTTGCACACTCCCCCATTAAATAACAACCATGGCCCTAATCTTAACTGTAAGATATCAGAAGATGGAAAAAAAAAACTACCATAATAAATCTTCTGTCAACAATCATAACCAATGTTCTCAGACATTTTGCTGTGGAGAAGGGGGTGGGGGGGTGGTATTAAAAATCATCTGTATTCATTGTAACCACAAGTTTGTGATCAGATGGACATGTACACATTAGCTGTGTAGTTATAGTTTTGGTGCTAGGATGAAATGAAACTCAAAATGTGTTCTGTGTTCTATTATAACTTTTATATACTTCTTTCCACCACCCCTCCCCACCCCATTTATAGTGCCTGGACATAAGGGACCTTACCATTGAACAAGTAACTCTTCAAGACACAGGAGCTGAGTGTGAATTTCAAATTTCTAACCCTCTTAACTTCACCTATGGTTCTAAGCTTGCCATAAAGCTTGGCCAAATCTCAGGAAAAAGGTATTGAAAAGAACAAATAAGAATTAACCTATTTTTAAAACTAATATTTGTGTATTAGTTTTAGTGTTTGCTGTCTGGTGTACTATTTTTACTCTTTATTTTAATACTCTCTTCCTCCGATTGTCAGTTATGAATCTGTATTAAATGTCTTTATTTTTTATGTTGAGTTTTATTTTTTTTAACTTTGCTACTATAAAAAGTGCAGCCCTGCGAATGTGTAATTTTGAATTAATGATCAGTTTTACAGTCAGCATAAAATATGCTACTTCATCTGAGTCTACTGCTTTGCAATGGTTGCGCCCAGAACAGACTGCAGGTAAAAGGCATCCATACCTCTTCAGTCAATGTCAGGTAAATATAAACTTAACACATTTATACCTATATAGTCATCTTTATTATTCCTGTGGGTCCCTTGTGGAGCATAGGGATGCAACCACACATCTCCTTTTATATAGTAGTGTCACAAAAAATTAAACTAAAAACAAACATGCAACTTATATAGTCAATGTTATGAAAATTAAACCTACATACATGAAAATTAAAACAGGTAAAGTTCGTATTTGAATTCAATACTAAAGCAGCCTAAAAGAAAATTCATTGCTGCCAAATTTTGTTTAAATTACAAAATAAATTAAACCGTTGATCATCTGAAATTTATAGGTGCATTTTTATTCATTCTTGGTTTTTGTTTTTGTTTTTTTTAAATTCTACCATAATATACAATGTACATTGGTAGAAAACTGCTTAAAACCTAATTTTAAAAAATATGAAATCTGTAATTTAAAGTATTTTTTAACATTTTATTACAAATTTTAAATGCACATTAAATAATTCTGTGTGGCCAACCTATTTTATTTCATATGTATACAGGCCATACATGCCAGGAGTTTGTACCCTTGTCAAGATACTCCACTGGTTAAGTTTTCATACACGGCTAAGGTAGGCTATAAAATAGGTTAGCCATTAAACAGTAAGGAGAGCATTTAGCAGAATGTAAATTATTTGAATAGGCCAAACATTAGATAGGAAGCAAGCTATAGATAGTTGAACAATCAGCAAGAATCCTGTAACTGAAAGATTTGTAATTCATACTGTTCCATTATTTTTGTAAGATGGAATTCTGTTAGCTAATATGAGTAAAGTCTTGCACTGCACTGTTAAAAAAGTTATTTCCCTTTATATACATGCTTATCTATTTGGAAAAATGTCATCAATTTTCTCGTTTAAAAACATTAATTAAACAGTAAGTTTTGTGTGTTAGATTTTGGATAAACTGACACTGAAATTAAATGGATTGATTCATTAAGATTGATTAATAATTGAAAAACAGTTAAACTCGAGATTCTATTATAAAACTGTTGCTTGAAAACCCTGCCCCTTGTTACGTAAGTTATAAAACTTGCGTGAAAACACTGCCCCTGTTTTCATAAGTTCTAAAACTGTTGCGTGAAACCGCTGCCCCTGTTTTCATAAGATCATGTCTCGCCAGGTGAGGGCCCCCAAAGAGTTCACTGTACTGATGAGTGCCCAGAGGCTGGGGGTTGAGCCTGTAGAGGGGACCTCGGACTGTGTCACCAGGTTTTCTCTCAATGTTCCCATTCCAAGTTACCTCCTAGCCATTGTGGCAGCAGATCTTGAGAGCAGGTCAGTCATGTTTGTTCAGAATGTTGTCTGATATGTTGAGATAAGGACGGTGTGGTTGGGTGATAGACAGCAAGAGCTGCTAGCCCTAAGTCATGGGTTAGAATCCTGGGCTCATGATCCTAGGACAACCTTGTGTCCACTGAGTTCTGATGTTAGGGAAAGTAATGGCAGCGAATTTTATTCCTTGATGAAGTTGGGCCTTGATGAGTTAAAGTAACTTGTACTGTATTCTATTCTCAAGATTTAATAGTTCAGGGAAGTTGGGCCTTGATGAGTTAAAATAACTTGCTACTGTATTCTATTCTCAAGATTTTCTAATATTTCAGGGAAGTTGGGCCTTGATGAGTTAAAATAACTTGCTACTGTATTCTATTCTCAAGATTTTTTAATATTTCAGGGAAGTTGGGCCAAGATCTAAGGTGTGGTCAGAGAGAGAAGTGGTGGATGATGCTGCTAAAGAGTTTGGTGAGGTAAGGGTTAAAAGTTGTAGCTAGTGTTAATTGGTGAGGTAAGGGTTAAAAGATGTAACTAGTGTTAATTGGTGAGGTAAGGGTTAAAAGTTGTAGCTAGTGTTAATTGGTGAAGTAAGCTGTAAAAGATGTAGCTCGTGTTAATTGGTGGGGTAAGGGTTAAAAGATACAGTTCGTGTTTAGCTAGTATTAGGTGAGGTAATGGTTAGAAGGTGTAGCTAGTGTTAATTGGTCAGGTGTTTTGCTAGTAAGCTAGTTTGGCCCTGCTTTACACATATTTTGGAGTGTTTCCCTTGTTTGGCTTACCATAGTATGTGGTATGGACATTTGGGATAAATAGGTGGATATCTTAAATAAGTAATGTTTTAGAATTTGTCCTAGTAGAAATTTCAAGTAGGCAAAGAAATGATTAAGAAATTCCCAGATAGGGCAGTAACCAAATTTATAGATATGAATAGTTTTTTTTTTAAGTTTGTTTTTAAAATAGCTTTTACTGACACTTGACCTGGGGTAACATTCTTTATATGCTTACTTATAACTTTCTTTTTTTTTATATTAAATATTTTTTCTGTTTTTTGTTTACAATTACAAATGCTGACATTATTTGTATTTCAGACTGAAACCATGCTACACACAGCAGAACAGCTGGTTGGGCCCTACCTGTGGGGGATATATGACATGCTGATTCTCCCCCCTAGTTTCCCCTATGGTGGGATGGAAAACCCATGCCTCACATTTGTAACTCCAACACTTCTGGTGATTATCTCCCTTACATTGATATTTTAAAAAATATTTTTTTAGCTACTGAACTTTAGGCTACATATTTTTAAGAACTATGTTGTACTACAGAACAATAACACTGATTAGAAAAATTTGTATTTTAAATTAAATTAATTACTCTTGGAGAGTTACTAAATTATGTGATGTTGTGGTCTTATATTACAGCACCAAACTGGTGACTAAGACTACCTAACTTTGATGAGTTAAACAAAAAGTAAAGTAACCTTTCCAAACTTGGAAGTCCATGGGGCAGATGAAGTAGAGTTTACTTGTTTTTTCTGCCCACAGCCTGAAAAAGTATCATATGGTCAGCATTATGCCCGGCCATGTTGATGTATCATAATCAAACTTTGGTGTTACAGTGAAATTTGAAACTTTACTTGTTATAAAAGTACTTTAGAGATAAGTTCATTGCTCTGTGACACACTTAGACAGACTGACAAATTTTAAAATTGCTTTCTTTATCCACTTGTAAAACATTTCACACCCTCCAAATGTTATCTTAGGCTGGAGATAGAAGTCAAGCTGACGTGATTGCTCATGAGATCTCTCACAGTTGGACTGGGAACCTGGTTACCAACAGAACATTTGAAGACTTTTGGTCAGTTTTAAAGATTTTGTGGATGTTTTTATCCAAGGGGGAAATAATTTTGGGGACCTTATTATCAACAAATCTTTTGGTAATTTTGAAAAAAAGATTTTGCAATAAAAGTAATTGTTCATTATTTTTTGGTGTTATTAAATTTGTTGTTAGGTTGAATGAAGGTCATACCATGTTCTTGGAGAGGAAAATTCTGGGCAGGATGCATGGAGAACTCTTCAGACAGTTGCATGCTCAAGAAGGCTGGCACACTTTACAAAAAACTGTACGCAATAGTTGTTTAAAAACATTTATTTGTTTAATTGCTGGACTAAACTTAGTCTCTTTAACGTGTTTGTGTATTAATTTATTGATTTTATAAGATACACATTTGTTAGAATTAAAGGAAATTGTAAAAGTGAAAGCATTCACAACATTAATATAAAGGCACAATTATTTCTATAAAATTGAATCATGTTAAACTCATGTAAAGAAAACAATCTTGTGTAACTTGGTTAACTTCGATAATATTTTTGACATTCTTTTTTAACATTTTGTACAATAATTTTTTTAACTTTTAAATTTCACCTTTTTTTTAAAAATTTGATTATGTGGCAAATTATTAGGTAGCAAAATTGACGTCAGCTGGCGACGAGCGCTTTACAAAACTGGTGCCTGACCTCAGTGGGGTTGATCCTGATGATGCTTTCTCTAGTATACCATATGAGAAAGGCTTTGCTCTTCTTTATTATCTAGAAACACTGCTTGGTGGGCCAGGTACTGGAAACTGAATTTTTCTTCTTTTTTAATCCATTCAAATAATTAATAGTTAAATTACTGGATACCACGAATTCAAGATCAGGATATCATAAAGTGGATCTTCCGTGGTTAGGATAGCTGCTCTATTATTATTTATTTAAAAATTAGGTTTCCAATTTGTTATTAAATCATGTGTGACATCATATACAGACAACCATGTAAATTAAGTTTGTAGTTCAGTTCTTCTTCTTCGTTCTTAATTTTTAGTGTTGAAGGGGATCGAGATTTATCTGCTAGTGGGTTTGAACTCGAGACTTTGTCGAATTTATCAACCATGAGCTTTTTGCCGACTCGACCACGCCTCCAACACAATTAAGCGTTACGTGTCAACTGGTTATGTAGTTCAGTTGAATAAGGATATTTTTATTCTATATCAGATGCCTTTGAGAAGTTTCTCCGAGCTTATGTGGATCACTTCAAGAACCAATCAATTGGAACACAACAGTGGAAAGACTTCTTGTATCAATATTTCTCCTCCAAGGTAAGAAACTATAAAGTTCTATTTTAAAAAATCAACTATTGTCTCCAAACTCAAAAGATGTTGAATTTTTGTTATCAGGTTTTTGTATCGTTACGTAATATTGAAACTGATGTTTAAAGGTTAATTTATCTTGAAAAGATAAATTATCTAGTGATTATCCAACAAATTTATTTCAAATTCAATTACAAGAATCTATAATGGTATTTATATATTTTGCCACTTATTCCTTAGGAAGATCAAGAGAAACTAAACAGTGTTGACTGGGAGGCTTGGCTTTATGGTGTAGGCCTCCCACCATATGAACCTCAGTAACTTTTATTCTTCTTGTTTTAAGCATAGCATTAGATAACGAGTAAAAACTAAAAAGTAGCATTTATAAAATGACAGAATTAGACCACAATTTTTTTTCTATTTCACAACAAATTTATAATTTTTTTTCAAATTGTTGAAAAATGTTTCCCTTTAGTTTAAAAACTTTCACACTTGTAGACAAATATCTAGAATTTTATATCGATGTATAAAATTACAATTTATGATTAGAAATTCGTTACGACTTTAAAATGTAAAAAATAATTTTTTTTATCTTCAGCTATGACACAAGCCTTGCCAACCCCAGCACGGAGTTGTGTAACAAATGGCTTGCACAACCTGAAGACAACCTGGATGTTTTTTCACCTTCAGACATCAACAACCTGCCTTCCATACTTATAGAAGCATTCCTCTCACAGCTTTTACTAGCAGTGGTACATTGCTTCAAATCTTGACATTTTTAAAAATATAATTACTTTTGCAACTTGTGTTAACTGCTACACATTTTTAACGCTTTACATTTTTACTTTGCTTAATAATTGTAGAACAGTAGCTGTACTTTAATACATTAATTTTTTTTTTGTTATAAGGCTTTCATTTTTTTCTCTCAGCCTGCAGTTTCTTTAAACAAAGTGCAACATTTACAGAAAGTTTACAACTTTAACCAAGTGCGAAACTCTGAAGTGAGACTAAAGTATGTTCTGTTTATTAAATACTATCAAACTTTTAAAAATATTCAATAAACATTTATTTTAAAAATTTTCAATTGCTGTGACCTAAAAGAGAAATACATTTCATTAATTAGTATTTAAATGCGGCTTAAAAAATATTTGAGTTATAATTTTCATTAATTTTTTAATTGATTTATCAAATGTTGTTGTTTAAATCAGGTGGCTTACACTGTGTATTAAAGCCAGGTGGGAAGATTGTATTCCTCATGTTCTGAAGTTCCTTAACGAGCAAGGCAGGATGAAGTTTGTTAGACCATTGTATAGGTGGGCATTTTTATCTGTAATGTGCAATTGAATTACTTTCTTCAAAATGCAAATCAAAATTTGTAGAATGCGAGAAATGTTGCTGGTAACAAGATACTGAAGACGCTGGTCAAAGCTGAAAACAAGAAGTTTTATTTACATTTTTCTGGTTGTTCAATCACTTGCTTTTAATTTTCAACAATGTTTTAAAGTTAGATTTTTTAAGTCATGTAACTAATTTAGCAATATCAAAACAAAATAAAAACTTTCTATACCTGGACAATGAATGGTTAACCCCAAACATGTAAATTATTTAACCAAATTGTTTTTGCGTCTATTTCAGTGACTTGTATGCCTGGGAGTTTGCCAGACCAAAAGCCATTGAGAACTTCAAGGCGCACAGGGCAGAGATGCACAATACAACAGCCACAATGGTGGCCAAGGATCTCCACCTTAAAGACCAATAAAAATCCCAGACTCCTGTTATGATTTGAGATTTTTAGGCTGCAATTTTGCACTCTTACACTTGTTATAACTCAAAATAGTATAACAAAAATTGAATGTACCAGTATAAGCAGAACTAGAACTCTTATTTCAAAAAGATAAAAATGAACTTGAAGACAACGTTTAAGCCTGGAAAACATGTATTGAGAATATAAATACATTTTCACATGTAAATGAAAATTTATTTTCTAAAATAGTTTTCTTATGGGTGTAATATTTTAAATTAAGTATTTAAATTCTAATATATATTTTGAAATATCAAGACTTATTAAATTACTTTAAAGTAGATCAGATGTGCTTAATTTTAATGCCATTTTGATACATTTTAAATTATATTTAAAATATCTATCCAATATTTTCTTTAGGCTTAATTAAGTTTTTAACATGTTACAATTCCCTGATTATCAATGTTGAACTGTATTTATTCTATAAGGATTAATATTTAGAAAATTTGTTTAGATGATTGAGCATAATTAACACTTGTTATTCTTTTTATTGATTTTAATATTGATTAAATTATTATTCACTTTTATTAAATCTTTTTGATTTTATTTTTAAAGTTAAATAACAATAGCAAAGTTTAAATTCCATTTTATTCCTAACATGTAGAGAAGTCTAATTTTTACCACGTTTTCTTTAACTTGCTTTCTCTGTGTGTTTATTTATTTATTTGTTTGTCTTTCCAATCCAATCTTGCGATCGAAATTTCTGGCACTTCCCAGTTAGCTAGCGCGCTGAAATTTTCAGGGAAGCTTTCTTTTGGATGACCATTGAATATTCAATTGTTATTATTACTAAATTGATCAATGGAAACATTTTATTGAGCATTTTAGACCGCTATATAATCTATATATATAATTCTCCTCTGCTAGCCATTACAAAAAAAAACCAGCGACGCGTACCTCGCGCGCAGTGAAGCGAACGATCACATGTCGCCACAGGCTTAGGGGCAGAGAATTTAGCTTGAACCGAGTTTAAACTTACAGGAGGTAGGCCAGTTTGGGGGAGACGATATGGTCGAGTGGTTGGGCACACGATTGCTATCCCACTCGACACGGGTTCAAATCTATGTGTTCTAGTCAGTAACGTATTCAAACAACGTGTTTTTTACGAGTTGTCTTTTTACGAGTTGTCTTTTTACGAGTTGTCTTTTTACGAGTTGTCTTCGTTTACCCAAAAAAAGTGAAAAGATAAAATCGATAGCAAGATTTTAATGCAAACAAACAGACAAAGACTAAAAAGTAGAAAATAATAATCATTAAAAAAGTTTTTAAAAACCCACGTTTTCTGATTGAACTAAAAAGTAGAAAATAAATGCTATAGGCCCTACATCACAATAATGCAAGCGATCACTCTACTATAAGCGAGCAAAAACGTGGGGCGCCGTGATTTTCTTACAGTTTCTAATACTGTTGACTCTCTACAAGCTCCCTAATAAAAGTCAATAGTATTATCTAATCAATAGTAATATAACTTTTACTTCGGCGCCCCACGTTTTTGATCGCTTATAGTAGAGTGATCGCTTGCATTATTGTGATGTAGGGCCTATAGCATTTATTTTCTACTTTTTAGTTCAATCAGAAAACGTGGGTTTTTAAAAACTTTTTTAATGATTATTATTAATACTTAAAAGAATGTAGCTAGGTCTAGATCTATCTAAATATGCACTTTTATAGGCGGCTAGGCCTAGTGCTGACCACACTATCTCTTCATATGCCGAGGTCACAGAAACAAGTGAACTCTATTTCACTTACCCTATAGACCGTCAGGTTTGAAAAGGGAACTTTTCTTACTTTTATAGATGACATATACCTCAGATTTCCTTGAGGCCATTTGCAGTTTAATTTTTTTTTATGACCTTTCTGGCAGTTCCTGTGTTTGAAGGTTTTTGCATATGTGTATCCCATGTTAAAAATGAAAACACGGCTGGATTAGTCCTTGCGCCTTTTTCGTAGTCAAGAAGAATATTATTTTAACTTCAACAAAATTTGAAGTAGCAGTTTGTGTCATTAAAGTAACTTACGGTTGAAATTAGAGCTGAGGGGAAAAGCCCTACAAAAACTCAAATGATTTAACCAGAATTGGTTATGTTTTTGTTTTTATTATTTTGTCCACTTTTTAAGTGTTGAGCCAATGGCCTTCTCTGCTGTGACCTTGTCATTTTCATTCCTCAAATGATTGCAATGAGAGCTTAAAATATCAACTAGTTTCAAATATTTTCACTATTGTACAAATATATTTTGAAATATTGGTATTGAGGTTATGTTTAATTTTTGATAGCACAAACAGCATCTAGATCTAGATGTGTTTGTCCAGTTTTTTTCTTAACATAGTGGAAATCTATCTTTGGAATTGTTAAAATTTGAACTTAAATGTAATCTAAATCCTAACAATTATCATTACCTAGGTCTACTACTATAGAAATTTGACATTTATTTTGTAAAAATAAAGAATAATGAAAACTCATTTTTTTGTTTGAATTATGTTGGTGGGGAAAGAGTTTTGAACTCATTGGATGCTTGCAGCAATTGTTCTGTGACAGGGCTAAAACAAGAGCTTGGTATATGTATGGTGTGTGTAAATATTATATGGGTAAACTCTGCAACCAATATTATCACTTTATTGCATGAATTATTGGTTTACTTGGTAAAAATTTTTTGACTTCATATTTCTACAGCAAATGGACTAACTTGAGATGTAGGGAATTTTTTTTTTGAATAGATGATAAATATCACAACAATTTTGGTGGTTGCAATTCTGCAACTATGCGCAACGGTCAAACTTTTTATCCATAATAAGCAAAAAAAATATTTATATAGAATTGTTGATAGAAATGTAAATAACTTGTACAAATCATTTGAGAGTAACAATAGTAACATGTAAGCTTATTTATGATGAAAACAAAAGTAAAAACATGTACACTGAAAGAGAAAAAAACAACTGAAAAATTACATGAAGGTTTATTTAGTAAAAAAATTTATTAGCATTTTTTTTGTTTGCTATACAACAAATAAAAACTTCTGTGCATTCTTGGTGCAGGACAACCTGCAACTAAATGATGAACTAACTGATATTGTCTATGTAAATCTTGAGCCCAACATATTGGGGAACACTCTGTAATAATGTCTGCTCAATATTAGCAACAGCACTTTGTCATCTTGTCCCTTTGTAGCTTTAGCTGTATGCACTTCAAAATCTTGGATTATACAAGTTGTTGGACACAACAAAAACTTTGTAGCCCATCTATATGGCTTTCTATGGTTGTAGGTTGGACTGCTTTTGCCTACGATATGTGAATGGGTCGATTTGCTCATGAATACTTAGAATCTCAGATGGCATGGGGTTTGATAAGCACAGAATTCTGACATTGGTCAACTTCAGCCCTTTGAACATTGTTTGACAGGTGTAGCTTATTCTTAATCCACTCGAATCTATTGATGGTTATGTCTGTGACAGTAACACATTAGGTGACAAGGCACCAAGATCTTTGGTATCTAGAATTTTTTTTACAATGTTTATGTAAAACACAATTTCCAGGAGATGTTTTTGTTCATCTTTATCCAGTACTAGTGGATTGTTTATGTCCTGCTGAGGACATAGTTTCACAGGTGTATATTATTCTTTATCCGCTTGAATCTGTTGATGGTCATGATGTATTGACTGTAACACATTTGGTCGCAAGTCTCCAATACACTCAGCATATATGAGTTTTTACAATGTTTATGTAATACACACAATTCCTAGGAAATGTTTTAGCTCAATCTTATCCAGTGCTAATGGATTGTTTGTCCTGTGGAGGACATTGTTTGACAGGTGCAGATTATTCTTATTCCGCTTGAATCTGTTGATGGTCATGACGTATGTGACCGTAACAAACTTGGTGGCAAGGCTCCAATACACTCAGCATTTAGGAATTTTTTACAATGTTTATGTAAAATCTAATTTCCAGGAATAATCTTTATCCAGTGCTAAAGGACTGTTGATGTCATGTTAGAAGACAGTACAGGTTGGATTGATACACAACTGTCCGAACACAGATTATCTGTAAAGATGTCGTTGAAATAATCCAATGGCCGCCTCTGATGTTTGGCTTCTCTCCTAGGATCAGGAAATGGTGGAACATTTGCTGTATACTGGGACTGATCATTCTGTTGTTGCTAATGAATACCTTGGTGTAGACAATTGAGAAGGTCCTGAGGAGTTTCATCATTTTTCGCAAATGGGCATACTCTGTAGAAATAAATTTTGAGAACATTGGTTATAAATTATGCAATAATTGTATACAAAACAATAAATGCTTTACTAATCTACAATCAAACCTTTAAAGTATGCAATAATAATATGTTACCTTCAACTATGTCAGATAAATCTTCATCACCAACATCCGATAGGACCCGGGTACTGTTTACGTTCTCTATTTCATCATTGGACAACTCACTATCTTTTGAGCCAAAAGGAGTAGCTCAGAATAAACTGGTAGAAGACTTTCAAATTAGACTCTTGGATCCATGGTTATGAATATGTGAAAGCCTAAAATAAAAACAAAAGGTTATTCATTAGTCTAGCTCTAGTCTTAACGATAAATATATAAATAAAACTAATAAAACTATTGTTAGGCTATAATTTATTATGATTATTATAGGCAAAAACTAGATCTAGAAGCTTTAAATAATATGCCACAACACTAAATGTATTTCACATCATAAAATAAACTATTTTGTGTATAGAAATAATTACCAAGTAAACTAAAGTCTAGTTCAGAGCAGAGCCATTTTTATTTATTCCGTTGCATGTAGTTGCATTTCTACAACAATTCAAAACCTAGGCTCTTACTAATGAAATATTAAAATTTTTATTGTGAATCAACTAAATTAGTACTAATGCATAGTTATTATTGTAAATATATTTTTTTCAGCTAGTTTATTATAGTTTTAACCAGGTTTTAACGTAATTTTATACTTACCATTTAGCAAAAAGCAGAAAAGTGTAGATCGCCTCTAAAAATGTCCGATTTGAAAAAGAAAAATCTTCTTTTCAAAAGAGTTCCGGTATAAAATGTAATAAAAAGTGCTATCCGGAGTAAAATAAGTTGAAAACGAAACAAAATATTAAATAATACAGTACTTGATTACTCCTAAAGTATTGTTGCAAAACTGCAACGCTATGCCATATAGGGTTATGTAGATGATCTTGTAATTCATCATATTTTTGACAAGGGGGGGGGGGGGAGAGGATCTGATGAAAGCCTTGGCATGGGCTCCACTGACTGACATGTTTATTGGTTTGGGGGGGGGGGGGGTGTCGCACAGAGGTCTTTCTTGTAAAATTTGACTATGGGAAGGGGAGGGGAGACTGATGTATTAACGTGACACAAAATTTGATAATAGCAGATTAGGCTTTGTGTACTTATTCATATCACCAAGATGTCAGAGTAGCTTGTGTTGTGGGCTATTAAGTTAGTCTGCCAATTCTAAATTCAAATAGACTGATTAGACTACATAATAATAATATAGATTCTGCTCAATTAACAGTATACAACACATTTTTCAGTGAAGTGGGGGGGATTGTGGGGGGGATTCATTAATTTAATAATTAATGGACCACTTCTATAACACCCATCCTACCTCTGAGTGGCCTATAATATGCGCACGATCTCAATGTATATTTTGTTTACCCAATTACTAGATCTAGATCTATACCATTATGATGTTTGCAAATTTGTTTTAAAATTTTGAAAATAATGTCAAACTTATAAACAGATTTTAAAAATTGATGTTATTAATTATAATATTTTAATATAGGCTACTAAAATTCGAAATTGAGATAAGCAAAGAATTTTTTACTGCTGGATAAGCGCGCGACAAATACAACACAATGTAAATACATCACACCAACTCGTAAGCAAGAAAACGAGATGTGTTTACTTTTTTAGAAATGGTTTTAGTTCAAAGATATTGAACACTCTTTATCTAGATCTAGATCTAGAATCTAGTCTAGATCTTGATCTTTGGCTATTAGAATCGCCATCGGAATCGCTCCATGAGTAAGTAGTACCGTCAGATGTCGGCAGATGTAGTTTAAGTTTAAATTAAACGAACTAGCTAGTGACTAGATCTAGATTCGGTAATCTATCGTTTTGGGTACGTAAAATCGCCCGCGACTAGTAATGTGAAAAACAGGTGACTCCTTACATTTTAATAATTATTTCACATTTTGAGGAGAATTTATGTTTTAAAAAATTCAAAAATGTTTCCTTGATTCATTTATGTACCTGTTTTTAAACAATTGAATTAAAACTTTTCCGTAATAAATGAAGACTAGCGATGTTTCCAACAGATGCAACCATGCTCATTTACTATAGCAGCCATCTTGTCTAAGTTTTATTTTTATAAGCTTTTAGCGCCAGATTCAGGGGGAAGTCACTCTATTTTACAAATGGCTGCTGTTTATATAGCAAATCTTGCTCTCAGACACTGCTGTTTAAAGTTAATTTCTGGCCTATATCGATATATTTAGCCATTGATTTAGGTTTATTATTCATTTATCTATAATATTTGACACAAAAGTATGACAATATACTTCTATTAAAGCCTTGACAATGAGGTAACGTTTTCGTACATAAATAGCCGCGGGCGATTTTACGTACCCAAAACGATAGATTACCCTAGATTCTGACTCTACTCTACAGTAACAATTCAATACTCGGATGATATTTAGAATCGACCCTTTGAATCCCGGACAGATCGTCCCCCCGGCGTGGCCTCAGCCAACCGGCGGGCTCGTTGCATTGAGTTAAATATAAACTCAAAACAATAATATAAACAATCTCCTTTCGGTCGGTCAGGCCACATACCACGCACGCATAGTGTTGTGTGTCGTGCCTTAACCAAAATAAACTATCTCCCTTCATTATCATTAGACTTAATTAATTAATTAATTTGCTAATTATAAAATTATGTATGATGCTATAGAAGTAGGTAAGTATAATTTCTTACTAGATTCTCTATGTATTTGTACTATTAAACATATTATTAAAGAACATCGTTGTTTCAATACCACCCTCTCCCCTTCTTGAACTCAAAGTTAAACTTGTAACCCCGTTTGTAAAGACTAGCGGTATGCTGTAAGGCAGCGGGTGGGTAGGGTATATACTCATTGAAAAAAAAATCCACCGTGGTGCGTGTTATTGGCCTTGGGCGACCGTTGTTGGCGCTTGCTGTGAGGGGGAGAGAGGTGTGTGTTATACTCGGTGAAAAAAAATGCACCGTGGTATTGGCCTATGATGACGTCGGCGCTAGCGGGAAGGGGTGGGGGGGGGGGGAGACGTTTTTTTTTTTTTAAACCAAGAACTAGGCGTTTAAAGGCTTAATGAAAATCAAGGACTGGTATAGCCATGATGTCAAATTTAACGAGTGATGCTTGCTGGGTCTATCATACGATTGCTTGGCGATGGGAATCTCGTCAAGCTCAGTTTATATTTACAGTGAACTATTGGGATGCTGTCATGCACAAACTAACAGCTACCGAATGTAGCACTTAAAACATCGATTGCATCCCGCTCATTATAAATCTTTGAAATACAAGTTATGGATAGTCCAATAACTACTAATACTTGAAGGACTACCAGAATATATGCATTGTATTATAAAATTAATCCTTACTATACAACTAAAATGTGTATCCAAATATTTTTAGGCTAACGGGGTCTGCATTTAAATAAACACAGTCAAATACCTACCCCATTCAGTAGAAATATTAGGCTACTTTTGCATGGTAGCACTACGGCATTTTTTAGATTTCGTAATGAGTAGCCTAGTCGAGCATTAAACTAGAATAAAGGGTTGTACTCAATAGCAATGACGATAATGAAATGCCGGCTTCAAATACCGGCTTCCCCGTATTCGTGGACTACAAATATAGCTCCGTCGTTTAAATGACCCCACCCTCCACCTTTTGCCTAGTTGAATATAATAAAGTTACACTTTCAACCCCGTTAGGATGCGTGAACTACTGAACTATTGGAAAAAAAAAATATTCTGGTGTTAAATTCCCCTCCCCTACTCCCAGCATTTAACTTTGGGGCCATTCACATCAGGAAGGTCTAGGTCGGCGTTTTATCTCGTGCAAGTTTACTCACAACACGACTACACACTATGGTTCTATCCAGGATTAAAGCTGCGACACTTACTTAGAGTGGGATTTATTCGTTAGATCATTGTGCTTCAAATTCTGTTTCATTTTAGGATTAGAGTGATAGAATGTTGGAATTCAGTTAGTTTGTTAATTAATATATTGATCTAAATGTGTACCGTCAGAAACTAAATTGGTTGACAAGGCACATGTGTAGGCTAAAGAATGACCTCTAGATCTAGATCGAGCCAAAGATGGCTGGTTAAGGTTGACATACTGTGGTTTTCAAACAGAGTTTCTTCCAGGCATCTCTTCGGGGGGGCGAAGCCCCCCCGAAAAATTTTTACCGCCCCCCCCCCGAACGAAATGAAATTTATATAATTTATATAGAAAATATATACTTTTAACAGTGTCCGCCCCCCCGAAGAAAGTTTACCGCCCCCCCGAAGATTTCAAGTGCCCCCCCGGAGAAAAAAGTCTGGAAGAAACACTGTTTTCAAATTTCATGGTGATGCTTTTCTAACGGATTTTATTTTGTGCTTTCTTTGGGATTATTTTGTGTGATGTGAATATTCAAAAGTAATTTGTAAGTAGTATGCTTTTCACATTCAACCAACTTAACAGTTTGCGGTCGATCTGCGGCCGGGCTGATTAATTTACATTTAGCGAAACTACACACTACACGGCGCCCTAAGGCCGTTGTTTCAGCATGCCCTACTAGATCTAGTCAATTATAGACAACTTTAGAATCAACACATGTAGCCAATACATCGATTTTTATTTAATAATCTTCAAAAGCCATTCCTCTAGGCTAGGGTCGTTATTTTCACGAAATTGTCGTTTTCCAATTTGTTGTCAAGAAACTGGTATTTAGTTCACGAGAACGTACGAAAACCACTCATGCGTGACCGAAATCGTCGATCGGGTGCCTTCACGTGGTTTGACACGTGTTGACATGGGCCTTTGTTTACATCGAAACATAGCTCAAAACGGCCCTTTTTTTAATTAATTCTTCGAAAAAATGGCTATGTCCATTTCTAAAAAGTGTCATTTTCGGGCCCATTTTAAAAAACGTAAAAAAATCCGAACTACACGTAGAAAAAAATGGTTTTTTCGGCCCTTTTTAGCTCCAAAAACGCCGTGTTTACGGGTCGCGTGACGTCATCGTGACGTCAGCCGCCAACCAAAACGCGTTGAAAGCGCGCGTTTGATTGGTTGGCGGCGGATACTATGAAATATCAAGGGTTTTCTCTAAATTTTTACCGGCCTGATCTATTTGATATAGCCTATGTAATTTTTTATTTGTAAATTTTACAGGTGCAAAACAAAGAGCTGCTGGCAATAATTTTTTGGGGATAAACAACTTCATCATTGCAGAAATGGCAAGTGACGAATTTTGTGACCAAGAGACATTGGAGGCATTATTAAATGATGACGAGGATAGTTGTCAGCCTCTGATTAATACAGATAAAAATAGTAATTATACATTTTAAATTATGACCTGCAAGGCATTTTCAGAATATTTAGTAAATGATATCTAATACTTTCACTTTCAGTACCTATGCTTTATTTTTATTTAATATGCTTTATTTTTATTTAACCGGGTGTAAATAAAAAAGTAGCTTAATGCACCCTGATGTTATGCTATCATTTAAAGTATTTTTATTTATACAGTTCTTATAGATCTACCAGCAGTAAAAATCTTCTTGCCATTTTAATAAGTTTCTTACTACGCATTAATTAATGTCCTTAATGATGGGGATTTATTTATTTCAGATGTTTATACACATACTAAAATTGTCGTTTAAGATTCAGCTGAGTGCTTATAGTATTTTTGTTTTGAAAGTTCCTAGTACAGCAAAAATCAACACAGAGCAGCTTGTTAATGTAAGTTCTAACATTTGAATCCAGTCTTTAAAGTTATTAAAAATAAAATTCTATTGTTTTTATTTTCAGATGTTGATCAGTCTGTGGAAGATTTTCTCAATGCTTTATCTGATGACAGTGACTCTGATGATGAAACCGTACAGAAATGTACATCTGTTGATAAAGGTGGGGTGGTAATAACAATCCTTCAATTTGTATTTATTTATGAATGTCAATAACTATGTCAAAAGTTTCTACTTGTAAATAAATGTAAGATGTTACTGCTTTGTTAAATGAACCAATACGAGTTTGGTGCTTAATTTTGTTTTAAATGTTGACCCATTATTTTCTTGATTTAAAAAATAATGTCATTTTATCAAATTATTTTTTGCATCCTTTAGATAACATTGATGCACTTGCAACGTCAACGAATGATAACGTCTTAGGTACTGAAGCTGATAAAAATTCTGCTGTAAGTTTAGCAGTTCAAAATGTGAGTGAGGATACTGCTCCCTCATCACAGATGACAGACCTGCCAATGTCAACCCAGGCACTGCAGGAAGAAATGATGAAGATGCAGCAGAAGATGTTGGAGCTGCAAAAGATGTTGGCCATGCAGCAACAGCTAACTCTGTCATCTGTCAACATAATCTCACCTCAGCCATCACCTTCTTCAGTAATCAACAAACCACATGGGGCGACAGCTTCAGCTACTCCAAACAAACCATCAGTTTCTTCATCACAAAATTCAACTGGACACGTTAACAAATCACAAGGTTCAACACTTCAAAACAAGAATTCCTCTCCCCAAAGCTCATCAAAGTCACCTGCACGTTTCAACAAATCACAAGGCTCAACAGCTTCACCACTTCAAAACAAAGTTCCCTCATCACAAAGTTCATCCAAGCCAACTCTACCTAGCGCTGATAAAACTAAGTTGATGAAAACCAGTTCCTTACCCTCAACAAACTCCAGTGTACCTAAACAACAGGAACTGTCTTCAGTAAAAAACAGAACAATCACTCTACTCCCAGACAGCAGTGATATCCTGTTTTCTAATACTAAAACTTCAGCTGAGACTTCATCATCTAATAAAGGACAGTGTAAAAAATCTAATTCTTTAGGGAAAAGCCCTAAAAGGAGTAAAATGGAATCGGAGTTGTTTGGTGATAGTGATAGCGACTGGGAGGGTCTGGATGGGGAGGATAAAAAACAACTTAGTGATGCTGGTAAAGAAATCAAACAGATAATGCATTCAGGGGACAGGAGACGTGAGGCCCATCAGCCCAACTTTTCAGTGAGCTCTTCATCCACTTTAAAATCTGGCTCATGGTCACAATGCTCTTCAGAATCAGATGGCAACAAAATGAAAAAGTTAGATGTGAAAGAAACAGAAAAATATGATAAAAATTCATTACAAACAAAATCATCATCTAGCGAGCAGGCTAAACCTGCACCTTCAGGGGCTGAGAATGAAAAAGTTATTGTGGAGGATTATTCCAAAATTAGGATTATAAACCCACTTGTGTCTTCCTCGTTGATGAGGATGCGGATGGAAGGTAGGAAAATGATCAGTGTTTCGAGGATTCACCAGAAGCTTAAGACACCAGACTTGCAAGGTGACTGGGTCACAATTGCGGTCGTGGTCGGTAAATCAGATTCCAAGTCGTCAAGCTCGGGGAAACCTTATTCCATCTGGAAACTTAACGACCTGGAGGATTTAGATAACTCTGTGAGTTTCTTTTTGTTCGGGGAGGTGCATAAACATATGTGGAAAACAGCTGTTGGTACAGTTATTGGTGTTTTGAACCCGTCGATCATGGAGTCAATGGAGAAGAATAACAGCGAGCCCGCTTTTACAGTAAAAAATGCTAATCAAGTCATGATTATGGGTCAGTCTAAAGATTTGCATTGGTGCATTGCCAAAACTAAAGCCGGGAATAAATGCATTAAGTTTATAAATAGAAAATATGGCGACTTCTGTGCTTACCATGTTGCAGCAGAGTATAGGAAAACTGCAGCGCAGAGATTGGAGTTCCATGGGAGCATCAACGGGACAAGACCCAAATCTTTCGAAAAGAAAATTTTCTCAAAAGACTGCGCTTATATTTACGGTGGAAACACTTTTGTTCCTAACAGTAGCTCCAGCAATAAGAAAAACATCACGCTGAATAAATTAAAACAGACAATTGGCACAGGTAGACACCAGAAAGTGAATACTTTAAGTATACACGATATTAAACCGGAGCCAGTTGCTGGTGGGAAGTTGAGTGCTGACTCAGACAACACATTCGCTGAGCTCATTACAGTACCCAGCCCTGGGTCGATGAACCTTGTCGCGTTTTTGAAAACAAAAGAAGAAAAAGCCGCGGCGTTGAAGACACCATTAAACGCCAGGAAGAACCCCGCTATACAGAGCGTCACTCCAAAAGATCTCATCAAACAGCACCAGCAGGCAATGCAGCAAAAAATGGCAGGCAAAAAGAAAGCTTCAGAACTCCTGCTGTCCAGTTCAAGTTCACAGTCATTACAAAACAATAGTCTGACTGCTCTAGTGGATCCTCTAAAGCAGGTGCCGCAGCTTGGGAAAGGTTTTTATGGTGGACAAGAAATTAATCTGGATATAACAGCGAAGACTATGAGTCTAGCAGACAGGACCAAGGTGAATTATTCCCTAAATTATGCTATACTTAAATTTTATTTTCTAATACAAAATTAAGCTTCTATTTTTTCTAACTCAAACTAATCCACACTATTATTGTTTAACTTATATTTTGTGAAATTTACATTCATTTAAAAAAAATATTCTTTTTTTTTGTTCATGTATTACTTGACAAAATTTTTTTGTTTAAATAACAAAAAATTTTTTTTTGTTGACAACATTTTGTTTGTCGACAGTTAAAAGCAGTGGCTGCCATACTGGGCAAGGGTGGGTTGAAGAAGGAGGACCCTAATGCTGTGAAAAAAGATTCCCTTGATCATGACAAAATAAAGAAGAGACTGCTGGAGGATACAGGTATGTGGGCAGTAATTGCATCACCAGCTCATCAAATATTTGACATGCAACACTGTAAGAAGATGTAGAGGTTTTCTGTGATCACTGTGATCAGGACTAAATAACCAGTATAATCAGGACTAAACGACAGTATAATCTAGATTAAATTACCAGTATAATCAGGACTAAATGACATTATAATCTAAATTAAATTACCAGTATAATCAGGACTAAATGACCAGTGTAATCTGGATTAAATTACCCATATAATCTGGATTAAATTACCCATATAATCTGGATTAAATTACTCGTGCTTTGTTCACCTTCATTTTTCTTCACATAACTAAAGGCAACGTGTTAATGGCATTTTGTCAGTTGGGGGGCATTATTCTGCAGTCTATTGTTTACCACACAGCTTCAGATGTTTTTTTTTAATTTCAATTAAGTCAGTGGTGGGGTTGTTGGGCTTCTTACCTCTTTAACTTACACCTGAGGAATGTTGACGTTTTAAAAACAAATGTTCTAGACAAGTGTCTGCCTGATGACGACAGTGCCAGCCCACACCAGACGTCTGCTAGAGAGCCACCAAAGAAAAAGTCAAGGCTGCTGGGTAATGTGGACCTGAACTCTGACGAGGTCAAGGGCATCCTCAAGGCCAAGTCCAAACACAAGGGAGCTCTGGCTGAGGTTGGTTCTAACTGGAACTTGTTAAGTAGGGCACTGTCTGACCTACTTTTTTAAAGTTTGTTCTAACTGGAACTTGTTAATTAGGTCACTGCCTGAGTTTTTAAAAGTTTGTTCTCATTGGGAGTTGTTAAGTAGGGCACTGTCTGAACTACTTTTTAAAATGGTTGCTGTAGTAATGAATGCCTAGATTAGCTTTCATTGTGAATTCTGCAACGATACATCTGATTATAACAATGGCGTTGGGTTTAGTGTTTGAGGTTTGTCTGGGTATGCTGGAGTACTGGAAAAAATAAACAGTTATTTGCATTTTAAGGGGGCAGATACACCCAGAACATAGTTACATTATTAAAAAAATGTACCAAAAAAAACTATTAGACACACATGCCAAATTTGGTACCAGTATAGCTTACATTTTCTGTTATACGGAAAATGTAGTGTCATAGCTTTGTGTTTGAAGTAAAGATTTTATTTTTTAATTTAAAAAAACTTAAATTATCCGCAAAACAAAAAATGACCCCAACTGTAGAACTAGTTCTAGAAAATGAACTGTTATTTGCATTATGAAAGAAAACTAAAAGGGAAATTAGAATTTAACAAATTGTTTTGATTTATTTATGCATCGTTCAAGTATTGTAAAATATTGTACATGGGCAGAAGCAGAGAGTGGAATTTAGTATGAGCAGGTTTTTTATCTATGCTGAAGTTGAGAAATTTCCTAACTATGCAGGTTATATCTTTAGTCTGAGAGTTTCCTAACAATGCTGGTTATATCTTTAGGCTGAGAGTTTCCTAACTATGCTGGTTAAATCTTTAGGCTGAGATTTTCCTAACTATGCTGGTTATATCTTTAGGCTGAGGATTTCCTAACTATGCTGGTTATATCTTTAGGCTGAGAGTTTCCTAACTATGCTGGTTATATCTTTAGGCTGAGGATTTCCTAACTATGCTGGTTATATCTTTAGGCTGAGAGTTTCCTAACTATGCTGGGTATATCTTTAGACTGAGAGTTTCCTAACTATGCTGGTTATATCTTTAGGCTGAGAGTTTCCTAACAATGCTGGTTATATCTTTAGGCTGAGAGTTTCCTAACTATGCTGGTTATATCTTTAGGCTGAGAGTTTCCTAACTATGCTGGTTATATCTTTAGGCTGAGAGTTTCCTAACTATGCTGGTTATATCTTTAGGCTGAGAGTTGCCTAACTATTCTGGTTATATCTTTAGGCTGAGAGTTTCCTAACTATGCTGGTTATATATTTAAGGCTGAGAGTTTCCTAACTATGCTGGTTATATCTTTAGTCTGAGAGTTTCCTAACTATGCTGGTTATATCTTTAGGCTGAGGATTTCCTAACTATGCTGGTTATATCTTTAGGCTAAGATTTTCCTAACTATGCTGGTTATATCTTTAGGCTGAGGATTTCCTAACTATGCTGGTTATATCTTTAGGCTGAGATTTTCCTAACTATGCTGGTTATATCTTTAGGCTGAGAGTTTCCTAACTATGCTGGTTATATCTTTAGGCTGAGAGTTTCCTAACTATGCTGGTTATATCTTTAGGCTGAGAGTTGCCTAACTATTCTGGTTATATCTTTAGGCTGAGAGTTTCCTAACTATGCTGGTTATATCTTTAGGCTGAGAGTTTCCTAACTATGCTGGTTAAATCTTTAGGCTGAGAGTTTCCTAACTATGCTGGTTATATCTTTAGGCTGAGAGTTTCCTAACTATGCTGGTTATATCTTTAGGCTGAGAGTTTCCTAACTATGCTGGTTAAATCTTTAGGCTGAGAGTTTCCTAACTATGCTGGTTATATCTTTAGGCTGAGAGTTTCCTAACTATGCTGGTTATATCTTTAGGCTGAGGATTACCTAACTATGCTGGTTAAATCTTTAGGCTGAGAGTTTCCTAACTATGCTGGTTATATCTTTAGGCTGAGGATTTCCTAACTATGCTGGTGATATCTTTAGGCTGAGAGTTTCCTAACTATGCTGGTTATATCTTTAGGCTGAGAGTTTCCTAACTATGCTGGTTATATCTTTAGGCTGAGAGTTTCCTTACTATGCAGGTTATATCTTTAGGCTGAGAGTTTCCTAACTGTGCTGGTTATATCTTTAGGCTGAGAGTTTCCTAACTATGCTGGTTATATCTTTAGGCTGAGAGTTTCCTAACTATGCTGGTTATATCTTTAGGCTGAGAGTTTCCTAACTATGCTGGTTATATCTTTAGGCTGAGAGTTTCCTAACTATGCTGGTTATATCTTTAGGCTGAGAGTTTCCTAACTATGCTGGTTATAACTTTAGGCTGAGAGTTTCCTAACTATGCTGGTTATATCTTTAGGCTGAGAGTTTCCTAACTATGCTGGTTATATCTTTAGACTGAGAGTTTCCTAACTATGCTGGTTATATCTTTAGGCTGAGAGTTTCCTAACTATGCTGGTTATATCTTTAGGCTGAGAGTTTCCTAACTATGCTGGTTATATCTTTAGGCTGAGAGTTTCCTAACTATGCTGGTTATATCTTTAGGCTGAGAGTTTCCTAACTATGCTGGTTATATCTTTAGGCTGAGAGTTTCCTAACTATGCTGGTTATATCTTTAGGCTGAGAGTTTCCTAACTATGCTGGGTATATCTTTAGGCTGAGAGTTTCCTAACTATGCTGGTTATATCTTTAGGCTGAGAGTTTCCTAACTATGCTATATCTTTAGGCTGAGAGTTTCCTAACTATGCTGGTTATATCTTTAGGCTGAGAGTTTCCTAACTATGCTGGTTATATCTTTAGGCTGAGAGTTTCCTAACTATGCTGGTTATATCTTTAGGCTGAGAGTTTCCTAACTATGCTGGTTATATCTTTAGGCTGAGAGTTTCCTAACTATGCTGGTTATATCTTTAGGCTGAGAGTTTCCTAACTATGCTGGTTATGAGTTTCCTAACTATGCTGGTTATATCTTTAGGCTGAGAGTTTCCTTACTATGCTGGTTATATCTTTAGACTGAGAGTTTCCTAACTATGCTGGTTATATCTTTAGGCTGAGAGTTTCCTAACTATGCTGGTTATATCTTTAGACTGAGAGTTTCCTAACTATGCTGGTTATAACTTTAGGCTGAGAGTTTCCTAACTATGCTGGCTATATCTTTAGGCTGAGAGTTTCCTAACTATGCAGGTTATATCTTTTGGCTGAGAGTTTCCTAACTGTGCTGGTTATATCTTTAGGCTAAGAATTTCCTAACTATGCTGGGTATATCTTTAGGCTGAGGCAGAGAGAGAGGAAGTTTATTTCACAGAGCTGGAAAAGAAAGAGAAGATGGAGGAGAAAATGCAGAGTGTCACCTCTATAGAGATAACTGTCGTGTCATGCTCACAGGTATGTGTCACCCATTGTCATTTGTTTTAGTTTTAGGCACTACATTAGGGCTGTGGGCAGGGTGGTAGTCATTGATATAAAAAGTCCTAAAGGTTTATTTTGGTATATTTGAGATAATTAGGGCCTATAGTTAAATGAGTACACTCTGTTATATTGTGTACCTGGCAGGAGTTAGAAATCAAAAGTTTCAAATTAAAAGACTAGCAGTGTCAGTCTTTAAAAGTTCTCTACCAATGCTATTGTCTTTTTAAAGTCTGTACGAATGTTGTCTTTACCAATATTGTTGCTATTAATGTCTATACCAATGTTGTCTGTTTTCAAGTCTGCACTAGTATTGTCTGTCTTAGAGTAGTCTGTTATAAAGTCTTTACTGTTATTGTCCGTTAAAGTCTGTACCGGTATTGTCTGTATTAAAGTCTGTACCAATGTTGTCTGTATTAAAGTCTGTACCAATGTTGTCTGTATTAAAGTCTGTACCAATGTTGTCTGTCTTTCCCAGTGTTCCTACACAGCACAGTCTGCCCTGGACACTTGCAAGAAAGAAGGACACAAGCTAAAGACCAGCAAAGCCAAAAAACGTTTCTTCATGTGTAAGAAATGTAAGCATAGGACTTATGTTATTGGAGGGAAGTTTCCTACTGATGCTTGCAAGTAAGTCTTTGCCAATGTTATTCTGTAACTTGACTTCAATTAGCGTTTTTGAAATTTTTATTTTTAGATCAGCTTGAAAAAAATTACTTTTTTCAGAGCCACCATATAAAAAATAAAAACTGCTTACAAATTACTCACTGTTTAAACATTTTAATGCTTATAACATAAATCACTGTTGTTTTTTGTTTTTTTTTTTAAATTTTTATTGCTTGCAAATCATCATCATTTAAAGTTGTTCTGCTTACGAATATCATTTAAAAATGACATTGCATGCAAATAGGTCACCATTTAAATTTTGCTGCCCGCTATAAAGTCACCATTTTTGCTACTTGCTAATACTACTAAATGTATAAGTAATTACATGGTTGTAAAAATCTGGCACTTTCTATAGGCAAATATGATTGATTTTGCTTGATCAGTAGCAAAATATTCAATGTATCAAACTTATATCTTTTCTTTATCTCATAGGAAATGTGGTACCCTCTCATTTGAAAAGACATCAATGTATAAGGTAAGCTTTGCTTTCCATTGCCAGTGTTGTTCCCTGTTCCTTCACATAATAGCTGCATACTTTATATTTTATAGGATTCAAGCCCATGATGGTAGAAGTTTTGCTTGAATCCTATAAAATATGCAACTATGGCAGGGGTCGGCAACCTGCAGCTCGCGAGCCGCGTGTGGCTCTTTTGATGTCCAGATGCGGCTCTTCAGCTCCATGCACAAATATTAATAATTATTTTATTTTCAAAACTCATAAAAATATTGTTCTGCATCGAATTTCTAAATACTCTGATATCACAGCTTCTAAAGTGGATTGGGATAGTATATTATTTGATTAATAATTTTATTATTCTGGAGAAACATGCGTATGTTTTTATATGAATTAATATTATTTCATATTTAAAAGCTATTTATTTTAAATAACCAATCAAATATATTTACCTAAGCCTAATCAAATACCAAATGTTGAAATAAAAATGTTAGTGGCTCTTTAAAAACTGGTAAATTGTAACTTTGGCTCTTCCTTCTCAAAAGGTTGCCGACCACTGAACTTTGGGAATCACCAAAGTTCAGATGATTTAGTATATTTTTAATCCCCCCCCCCCCCTCCCCCTTCAAAGCAATCTAGAATCACTTCAGCTGGGGTAACAAAAATAAGTCTCACTAAATTAATAAAGATGGTGTTATAGAACTTATTATTTTTGTATTTACATTTTAAAGTAATTTAAAGTAACGGTTTTATTTTATTTTTAAAAAACATTTTTTTCTATTGAAACAGATTCGCTCAGGCCCCAAACTTGATTCTGAGATCTTAAACATACGGGGGGATGAGATCAAGTATTTGAACAGCATGGACCAAAAATGTTCTCTCAATGTTGTTCCTGATACGTAGATGGATTTTTATCATTTATTTATTATACTTATTTGTATGGACTTTGTTTTTATAAGTGTGGAGTACGAGTTGATTTTTATATTGTAAATTATTTCTGATTTTAAGAATTATTCATACTAAAAAAAAACTTAATTTTTAAAGTTCTATTTTTATTTTTCACACCGTGAAGGTATTTTTACATTTTTGTAAATTGGAGAGTATTTAAATTATTCAGAGTTTTGTCCCTTACATTAACAAGCAGTATAGACATGTTGATATCTTTCAATGAGTTGAGATGTGCTTAATAGCATTAAATTTTAAACTATAAAGTTAGCAGTTCCATTGATAGTTTGTAACAATTCATACAGTAAAATCTGCCTAAAATTAGTAAAATGGATTACTATAGATGGTTCATCCAGTTTGGGCTTTCTGTTACCTGTGTATAACCTCAATTGTTTAAAGTCTATTTGTACAATTTGAGTTATGTATTGAACTAAAACATAACTTGACACTATTCATTATTTACTGTTTATGTCCAAATACTACTATTTGTTAATTAATTATGTAAGTTTTAAGCATGGATAAAATATTTTCTTTGAAGTCAACTATTATGGAATTGTTTATTTATACAGTATAATATAATTGTAAGGTCATATAGTATGAATAAAACTTTGACTTTTGTGGACATTTGTTCAGATTGGATTTTATTGTACGTAATGGCAGATTAGGCTGAAAATGGAAGTCATTTAACTTAATCGGTTGGTTAACTAACGGTACACTCAGTCTAGGGGGCGGCTTGCTCAGGGACGAGTGTGCATAACTGGCAACTTTTAAGTCCCTAGTTCACCCCCCCCCCCCCCCCCCAGGTAGACAAAGTTCACTAACTGGTCAATTAGTATGGAAGCAAATCCAGATGGAAAATCAAGCTTTTTCTGTTGCAAATTGTGCCGGTCTCCAGCCTTAGGTTGTATTTAAAGACAAATGTAGTGTAAGGCACTTCTGTCTACTTGCTCATTCATCAGAAAGCAATATTTGAGAAAATAGTTTTTTAAAAAAGGTACTCACCTCATGGAGGTGAATACAACAAAACAATGAACCCTAAAAAGGTGAATACAACAAAACAATGAACCCTAAAAAGGTGAATACAACAAAACAATGAACCCTAAAAAGGTGAATACAACAAAACAATGAACCCTAAAAAGGTGAATACAACAAAACAATGAACCCTAAAAAGGTGAATACAACAAAACAATGAACCCTAAAAAGGTGAATACAACAAAACAATGAACCCTAAAAAGGTGAATACAACAAAACAATGAACCCTAAAAAGGTGAATACAACAAAACAATGAACCCTAAAAAGGTGAATACAACAAAACAATGAACCCTAAAAAGGTGAATACAACAAAACAATGAACCCTACAACTGAGTGTTACACACTGATAATCCCTTATTGAGGTCATCCATCTATATTATAACGGGTCGTCCATCTATATTATAACGGGTCATCCAACAGTTTTATAATCTGAAGTTCTCACGTTTTATTATTTTTTTAAAACACGTGTATTTTAACAAAGTCCTTTCTTCGAAAATAATTTTTTATTTACAGTAAAACTGAAGAAAACAAAGTCCCGTGTATAAATAAAATAAATATATTTACTGTAAAATTGTTGAAGCTCAACCAGTTCTGCCAAAACTCTATCACAACCTTTTTATATATCTGATTTAAAAGTAATAGACATACGGTTTTCTTCATCGGATTATTATTTTTTTCTAACGACATTATCCGGAAACAACAGCTCACAAAATTCAATTTGCTATGCGTCAAACATTTGGCCCACACCCTTTAAAAATCTGGGAAAATGTGCATGCACATCGAAACTTGTGTTAAACTAAAAATCAGTTGATTGAGCCACTTGACTCTTATCAGGGGATTCACTAATTAGGTTGGACCAGAGATATGATGTCACCTTTTCTCAAAATCGTCTTTCCTAATTAATTTTCTTTTTAACTGTTGAGTACATATTTACTTGTTTTAAAATCATATACCGTATCAATCATATTAGTTGGGTCGGTTAGGGTTAAGGCACCCAACAACACGACACCAGTTAATTAACCCTGACATTGTAATCTCTCAGCGTCAGTAGCAGTTACACGCAGTCACAGAGCAATATGGGACCCTCGCCTTAATTCTCACTGTCCGTCTCGTTTTTAGAGGCCAGCTCTAAATTCTCTTTGATCAGGACCCCGACGATATTGTGCCACGACTCCTGACTGAATAAAAACTCCGTTGGATAGTTCGTAGATAGCCTTAGTTCCGCTTCATAGTCAGAGGACGAAAACATGGGACTGATAGGTGGCGTGCCGTCCGTATACAGCCGGTAGTTAGTTATCTTGACGGGGCTTCGGTACCACCCGCAAAGGGTGAAGACCCATATCCCCCCGACGAAAAGGCTCCTGAAGTTGATGAGCCAGAATGTGCTCGTCTGCAATATGATCAGCGTGGTTTGTTTCTTTAAGGCGGGCTCGAGGAAGTTGTGAACCACGAACTGGAAGATTGATGTGAAAAGGTACAAGGAGACTATGAACATGTACAGTTTCGTGTTGTATTTGGCCAGGAATTGGCAGTAGAAGAAGGCCAGGGTGGAGGGGATGAGGAGGCAGACGACTTGGATGATGACGAGCCGCCTGGGCGTGAAGTTGAGGTTGGTGTAGGGGACGGAACTATTGGGGAAGACGAAAAGGCTGCCACAGTTTCCTTCTTTATGTTGGGCTTCTGGGAAAACAAAAGAGACGAGGTTTTTAATTTATTTTTATTTTAAAATAAGTTATACCGTCTGTATTTCTGTTAATAAAAAATGATAAATATGTGTATCAATCGTATCGCTTGTGATTTTGGTTTTAATGATAGGTGCGAAATATCAATTATGTTTAACACTAAGGGCACTCGTAATTATAATCTTTAATTTCGTTCGCAATGTCTGTTTTAGGTTTGTGGTAAATCTTGCAGCTAGAGTTTACCCTGTTCTAATGTAGCTATTTCATATGTATTCACTACCGTTGACAATGCAAGAATATCCAGTTTTCAACAACAAACAACAGAGAAACCGACCCAACTTTATTTCGGGCTGGAAGTAATGTCTAATGGTTTCCCATTGTTCGTTTTACTCTTATGTTTTTTTTTTAAATTTATACTCATTTTAAATAAATTACTTTCTCTATCTAAATCATTCTTTAGTATGTCTTGTTCAAATATATTCAATTTTAAAAAATTTTATACAAATATAAGCACGAAAAAAAATATAATTTTTTTTTGGTCGGATTTTTGGGATCCCCTAATGACTTAGCCAAAATAAGTTCGATTAATAAGACTACACAAACAACCTAAATAAATGTATTATAAACATTACTAACGAACAACCTAAATAAATGAATTATAAATATTACTCACGAACAACCTAAATAAATTGGATTATAAACATTACTCACGAATCAGCACCAGAGGGGCGATAACCACAATGGCAACGAGCCACGGCACCAGACCGTAGGCGATGGACTTGACCAGTGAGATATACCCTCTGTCGCTCACTAGTCTCCAAAAGACACACCCTACTGGGTAGATGATGCTGAGCGCGTACTCCTGGTAGACCTCGGCACACTGGAGCACAGGGCATGGCAGGGAGAACCCATCCACAAAGGCGAACACCGCCCCCAGGGTCAGCGGGTACAGGGCCAGGACTAGGTCACCTGTGACCACTGAGATGATGATCGACTTGACCACTTGTCCGGAGAAGACGGTCTTGGAGACGAAGCTGAAGATGTAGACGTCGAGGGCGACGATGGCGCCGATGTGGGCAAGCAGCATGCCTAGGTTGGCGTACCGTAGGCTGGTGTCGAAGCTCATCCTCTCAGCTGCACCAAGCCAGACCTGGAAAACAGATTTTTTAAAGAAGACCTTAGTGCTAAAAGTACTTAAGTCACAAAAACAACATTTTGAGAAAAATGAGTTCAAAGATTAAAATTTACTATGAAACATTACGTTTTTATATTATTTGTTTGTTTGGAAGAGAAAATTAAATAAATTCTTCAGTATCACTATTTGTTTATAAGATAAAGTTAAACTAGAGGAATAACGATCAATGCTTGGTTTGATTTTCACAAAAATGTGACTTAAGTACTTTTAGCACTGGGCTCTTCACTGTTACAAGTGGCAAGACGTGAATCGTCCTTATGGGGAACAAGTTGCAAGACGTGAATCGTCCTTATGGGGAAACAAGTGGCAAGACGTGAATCGTCCCTATGGGGAAACAAGTTGCAAGACGTGAATCGTCCTTATGGGGAAACAAGTTGCAAGACGTGAGTCGTCCTTATGGGGAAACAAGTTGCAAGACAGGAATCATACTTACGCGCACAAGGTCTTCTTGCAGTTACCTAGCAGCGCTATGGTCATGTGCAGTGGCGTCGCTAGGTCGGGTGTCACCCGGTGCGGCACCTAATGGTGTGTCCCGTCCCGTCCCGTTGCCCCCCCCCCCCGGAAAAAATTACACATACAAACACGTATATATATATATATATATATATATATATATATATATATATATATATATATATATATATATATATGTCTACACAGGCCTATTTATACTTGCAATTGGTGTCATCGTTTTCATCTTAACATATTATATTTTAGTTTTTCACCCTTCCCGGCCGTTGAATGACTTATCAATTATACCAATACGCAACAAAAGAATTATTTCCTCTGTAAATTTTAAAGTTGGTTTCACCCCCCTCTCCCTGATAGTTTACAGTGTGCACAGTTAATAGTAAAGATGTTTATCTATAGTCAGTTATTAACACACGTGGATAAACTCTAATTAACCCTTAATTGAACAGATAAAAAGCACATTTCTTCTATATATTTTGCAAGTTTTCGCCATGGTGTCACCCCCCCCCCCCCCCACTAAATGTTGTCATCCTGTTGTCTTGGTCTTGAGGTAAACATTTCTGTCATGTATCGATGTGGTTCGCTCTTGTTTGAGCTGATCAGGTCTTGTACAAATTGAAATACTCTATTGCAATATTCTTGCACACTCTTAAATAGGACTTCAGTTGTTTTTTTTTAGCTTTTGTTAGTTTTTATGTGAAGCCCTAAATGTTTTCTAACATAATGAGTGAGGTCAATACAACGTTATATGGAGTAAGGTCGGGTAAAAAATATTTCTAATTTGAAATTAATTTCCTATCATCGATTTCTCTCTCATCTTTTTTTCAGCAATGGAGGCGGAACGGGACACACGTGGAGGGGTGGGGTCAAACCAATACGCAAAATATGTTTCACTATTGTTGAAAGGACGTTAAATTCAGGACACGCCAGAAAAAAAAAAAGAATGAGAGAGGGTGTGGTCTTTGCAGACTGACGCCCCTCCTCCCCACCCTAGCAAAGCCCATGGAGATACTCCGTACTTACTGACACCTGAGAGGCAAAACTGATGCAAAAACAAAACAAACCGAAAGTAGCCCGGCTAGATGTAATCTTTATTCTACAATGTTAAAGTTTAAATAATTGCAAACACGACCCCAGGTAAATTCCTGATATGAATAGCCTCAGAAGTTTAAAATAGATTTTCAAAACGGTCGAATGAACAGGCGGTCTTTGTTTTATCGTAGATTTATTTTAGACTGCTGGTACGATTCTCGTTCAGTTCAAATATTCGGACAGCGCACAATGCAATGATTATTTATAACCGCGTCTAAAAGAAACCCTAAAATAAAAGAGCGTCACTTAGTGCTAAATAGAACCTTTGTTCTCAAACTGACAAATTTAGCGGGGAAGTCTAATTTTAAAATTAATTTAGAAAAAAAAAATGTCAATAAAATAAAATAACTCACAGAAGATGAGTTATTTTAAAACTGAATTTTGAGATAAAACTATACTTAGATGCATTATTGCGGTCCAGGTTTATTTTTGTTTAAATACAATGTATTTTTTTAAAAAATAAGATGAACTGTTTTTGGAACTTCTTTACGCAGAATGCTCAGACGCTTATACATCGCTAGAATAGGAATGTCAATATTTTTTTGCATTTGGAATTAGATGTAGACCTATGTGTGGGGTGTTGGGTGACGAGGTGGGGCGTGGGTTGCGCTGGTTTAAGTTGGAAGTTTAATGTAACCCAAAGTTTCTCATATTCTTAAATACAGTAAGTAGGATGGTATTTCCAGGGCAACATGGCTATAGAAATGTTTTTAAAATGTTTTGTTTTTAAAAAGTAAAGTTTTAAATAGAATAGAATCGCGTAGAAAAATAATTACGCATCAAGTGAACGCAAACAAATGGTTTATAACAGACAGACAGACAGACAGACAGACAGACAGACAGACAGACGGACGGACGGACGGACGGACGGACGGACGGACGGACGGACGGACGGACGGACGGACGGACGGACGGACGGACGGACGGACGGACGGACGGACGGACGGACGGACGGACGGACGGACGGACGGGCGGGCGGGCGAACGGACGGACGGACGGACGGACGGACGGACAGACAGACAGACAGCTGACCATGAAAGTGTTTAATTGTAAACAAACATCGAGGCCGCCAGAATCTGTGGACTGAGCTAAGCCCACCGTGAACACGCATCATTACCCTCTAGTCTGGTTTGTTTTAAACTACACAAGGGAAAACTGGTGTGTGTGTGTGTGTGTGTGTGTGTGTGTGTGTGTGTGTGTGTGTGTGTGTGTGTGGTACTTTCGTGCGTGTATCTGTGTGTGAGGGGAGAGGGGGGATGGAGAAAAGGATGAGTGGGGTTAGGGAAAGTGAGGTGGTCAAGAACAAGTTCCAACAGATTAACAGACGACATCAGTACTCTTGGTTTTTTCCCCCTTTTTTCTTTTGCTAAGTAATTTCTCAACAACAGCGGAGAGTAATAGAAATCTCAAAATAAAAAGAAATACATTTTTTAAAGACAACAGATGGCAAAAAAAGAATAATGAATATCCAGAGATTTTGAAAATAATAAACAAAATAAAAATCAGGTGACTAAGTCTAAGAGCTGGTTAAGATTTACAAAAGAAATGCAATGTCAATTTAAACATACCCCCCCCCCCCTCCCCACTTTTCGCTATTTTCTCATTTTATATTTCTCTCTGTTTATTTTTCGCTCTCTCTTTCAAATATTCCAGAAATGTTGGATTTTTTTTCATAATATCGAGATTTGACCAGCCAGTTCTCGAAATAGTCAACCCAATCGCAACAACTTTCCATTTCGGGGAAATGGGTTGGGGGGGGGGGGGGGGGGGAAAGAGGGGGGGGGGGGAGGTCACCGTTTCTATGACCTGGGCATAAAAAAGGACAGTGTGGACTGACTGTTCTAATTCCAGCCGCCTATCTGTAACGTGAGTCACACACCGTTATATTACCCCCCCCCCCCGAGTATTAGGGTTGGGGCCATGTGTGACGGTGGTAAGGGGGGTAGGAGTAAACATCGTCCAAAAAGCGTGACGTCATTTATGGAGACCCCCCCCCCCCAAATAGCTAATTCGGTAAAAAACTAATATACCTTATAATGACTCAATATGGACATTACTTGAAATATAAACATCCAATGACGGTACGGATATGTTCTCCGGGGGGGGGGGGGGGGGGGTGGGGGGGGAGCGTTATCACAGGTATTGTTAAACGGGTATCTCCATCCTTAGTCAAATAAAACATCTAAACAAAACAGGTCCCGACATGAGGAGCCCTCACACACACACACACAGGCTCCGACAAGAGGAACCCACAACACACAAAGGCTCCGACAAGAGGAGCCCACAACACACACAGGCTCCGACAAGAGGAGCCCACAACACACACAGGCTCCGACAAGAGGAGCCCACAACACACACAGGCTCCGACAAGAGGAGCCCACAACACACACACCTCCTCGCTCCCTTTCAGTAGTAAAAAAAACCCCTGAAATTCCCGCGTTACCAGTTTAATTACTCGGAAACCGGAAACCTACAACGTTCTCATAAAGATTCGCACACAACATAAACAATTAAAATACAGCAACAAATAAACTATTCACCTGCTCACTGATAGTCATTGGTTTCCCCAGGCATAGCCGCCCCCTCCCCCCGAAGATAGTCTACCGCTGCCCCGCACGAAATGAAATTTATATAGAAAATATATAATTTTAACAGTGCCCCCCCCCCCCCCGGAAATTTTAGTTCTCCCCCCCCCCCCCCCGGAGAAAAAAGTCTGGAAGAAACTTTGGTGGTAGTCTACTATCATAGCAGAAATATGATAGGTTCTAGTGTAAATCAGTACATTATTAAGCATGTTTATACTTTTCTAATGTAGATTTTATTTTTTAACACTGATGATTTGATTTTACCTTTAATTAAGGTCTTACGTGTTACATTTCCGTTGGTAACACCGAGATTTATCATCGATCAAATCTTTAAAAAAAGATGATGTTTTCTTTTTTCATCTTTAATGTTTTAATAAAAGCATGATTGATATGCGATAATAAATCATCATTTCAGCCTATTGATGAATTTTGATCAACTTCCGCACACGGGGGAAGAAACTATTAAAAACTAGAAGTTATTTTTACAGTTTAAATTAAATGTTTGCCTATGTAAATAAAATGGGTACGGGGAAAATACAGGTGAACATAGCGAAATGAAGAAATAGAACAGTGCGCAAATTCTGGTGCGCAAATTGTACGATGATGTAGAACGTGATAAATAATTTTAAAACTTACTCGTAGGTTAAGGTTGATAGGGGCAGAGGCGGGGACAAACTTTCGATTTGCACCAACTTTCGATTTGCACCCCCCCCCTCCCCTCGAACTTTTCATTTGCACCCCCCCCAAACTTTCAATTTAGCGCCCCCCCTAAGGTCGGCGCCCGGGAACATATGTCCCCCCCCCCGCTACGCCTCTGGATAGTGGTTCGTTGTTGATCGGTGCTCCTTTCGTCTTGCGACCTTCACCTTAACGTCTTTATATACTCGGCTCCAGATGCAACTGTGTTCACCCAGCTGTAATGGGTACCTGACAAGTACGACAGTTTTGTGTTCACCTAAAAGGATGCCACTGAGTTTACCCAGCTCTGATGAGTACCCAACCAGTATGACGACACTGAGTTTATCCAGCTCTGATTGGTATCTAACCATAGGACGCCACTGAGTTCACCCAGCTCAAATAGGTACCCAACCTGTAGGACGCTAGTAACGTTGATTGTCCTTTTTGAAATATCTTACACATTTAAGCGACCAACACTTTTATTAAAGAAAGTACATTATTTCATTTTCTTATTTTCAGTGCATTTGTCAGCTTATTATCACAAAGGTTTTTAGCTTTGTTGTTTTACATGCTTCGATTTAATTTGAATGTTAGTCTGAGTGGAATCCTACATTAAATCATTCACGCATTTATATATCTAAAATTTGGAACAACGCTCTATATTCGACGACATTACACATAAATCTTCACATATTTTTACATACGTAGATCTTTTATTAATTAAGTTTTTATTTGAGCTGGAAATGGGTTATATAATTAATTGACACATTCTAGGGGTTTTCCATGCAATTATTAATTGATGTGAATTTGATTATTTCATGTTATTTAAATAATTAATGAAAAGCATTGTGTTTTTATTTAGTGTATTACATCCACCCCCACAAACATTCGTTCACTTTTTCACACAAATAATAATAACAGATTATAACGTCATACCTCAGAATGAACAAAATTCATGACAGAAGTGTATGAACAACAAACTTTATTTACGATACCGGTATTTGTTAACTTTTTGGTTAGATACTTTTATAGGCAAGCACAATTTTTTTAAAAATTTAATTGTGATTGGGTTATTGATTTTCAAAGTTTGATAAATAACCTAAAACAACAATTATAGGATAAAAACATAATTTATGAAATAAATAAATACAACTACAAATTCGGAGTACGAATGTCGTAATTTAAGGAAAATAAAAAATATTCTCTTAAAAATATTTACCAGTGAATGAAATAGGTAAGTAAAAACAAATTTAGATATTTTTGAAAAAATAAGAAACATATTAAAAGCGTAAAAATGAAGCGCATAAATATTGTTATTTCTGAAAAAAAAATTTTTTAATTTTAAAATTTAGTTTATTATTTTCTCCTAATTCAATGACAATTTGTAACCAGTGTGCTGGGTTTATGGTGGATTCGAGTGGGTTTTCGTGCTGCGGGGTTCAGGCTGCGGGGTTCATGCTGCGGCTCATGATGGTTCGGATCCAGGGCAGGTAGGGTTCGACCCGTGTGAAGACGCTGGGGTAGCCGGTGATGTTGCAGGATTCCGTCCCCCATGACGTCACACCGGCGATGTAGAAATGGCCGTTCCTCTCACAGGCCAGGGGGGAGCCTGAGTCACCCTGGGGGAGAATGAAATATGGGAGATTGGGTGAGCTATCAGTAGGATTGGGTGAGTTGTCAGTAGGATTGGGTGAGATGTCAGTAGGATTGGGTGAGTTGTCAGTAGGATTGGGTGAGTTGTCAGTAGGATTGGGTGAGCTGTCAGTAGGATTGGGTGAGCTGTCAGTAGGATTGGGTGAGCTGTCAGTAGGATTGGGTGAGCTGTCAGTATGATTGGGTGAGCTGTCAGTAGGATTGGGTGAGTTGTCAGTAGGATTGGGTGAGTTGTCAGTAGGATTGGGTGAGTTGTCAGTAGAATTGGGTTAGCTGTGACTAGGATTGGGTTAAGGATTGGGTTAGCTTCCCCTAGGGTTGGGTTAAGGATTGGGTTAGCTTCCCCTAGGGTTGGGTTAAGGATTGGGTTAGCTTCCCCTAGGGTTGGGTTAAGGATTGGGTTAGCTTCCCCTAGGGTTGGGTTAAGGATTGGGTTAGCTTCCCCTAGGGTTGGGTTAAGGATTGGGTTAGCTGTCACTACGGTTGGGTTAGCTGTCACTAGGGTTGGGTTAGCTGTCACTTCCTCTATACTATGTATATGAGAAGTAAAAATAAGTGAATTTAATTTTTTCGTCTGTAAAAAAAGCTCCTAAACTAGTAAAGCTGGGGTTGGTATAGGATGTGATAAGTGCTGAAAGTGTCCACATTTTTTAAATTGAAGCTTTCATTTAATATTAGTTTCGTCACAATTCAAATTGTTATTTAAATTGAATGCGTGTTTTAAAAAAAGATTTTAGGGAATCGGGTCGATAAAGATTATGGTTGCTAAACCGAACGACCCCAGTGCATATGAGGTTCGATAGGTGGGGACAGCGACCTATCTGGGGGAGAAAACTCCAAAATGAAACGTTGTCTTGTAGTTTGTTCTTGGATATACAAAAGCTATGGAAGCAAATCCAAAAACCAAAAACAGGATGAATTTGAAATTCTACGGCCTATAGGGTGCATAACACGCTGACACGTAAAATCTTATTGTATTGAAGGAAATCACGTCCAACATTACAATTAATGTGATCGAGTCCGTAAAGCTCATGGTTGCTAAACCGAAAAGTCTCGAGTTCGAACCCTCGGGCAGATGAGGCTCATTAGCTGGGGACAGCCTGTCTTCTAGGAGAGACAACTCCAAAATCAAACAACTGCTACCTTGTAGTTTGTTATTGGTTGGACAAAGGCTATGGAAGCAAATCCAAAAAGAAAAGCATGTTGAAATCGGAGTCAATGGCCCCAATGGTGCATAACCAGTGGACACGTAATCCTTAATTGTGATGGAAGCATGGTCGAATCGGCAAAGCTCATGGTTGATAAATTCGAAAAAAGTATCGAGTTCAAACCCTCAGATAAGGCTCGATCCCTCCCAACACTAAAAATTAAGAACGAAGAAGAATGTTTAAAAAACCGCCTTACACTGCAAGGACCAAAGGAACCGTCACCAAAACACATCATCTCGTTGGGCAGGGTCGTGCGCCACAGTTGGTTACACTGCTCTTGGTCGATGACGTCACCGGAAACTTCACGTATGCTCTGGTCCTGGCTCAGGTTGTCTGAGGTAAAAAAATATTTGGTGGAATTGCATTGGCGGAGGCAGAATTTAAATATTATTTAAGTGGCAGGGGGTGGGTTAGGGGGCACTTGAAACTTTCGGCGAATATTGGATAAATTAGTGTTACTTTCAGTAAACTCTTAAGAAGGAGGGGTGAAAAGAGGACCCCCCCCCCCTCGCAAAGCAAGTCTACCGTCCCGTCCGAACCCCCCCCCCCCAACCGAACGAAATAGTTTATATAGAAAATATATCCCTTATCCAGTGTCCATCCCCCCTCCCCCTCCCCCACCTATCTGTTTCTGTGTGATTTTGATGTAAAACAGACTGAGTCTGATTAAATTTTATTTTTAATGTTTATAGTTATACACCACATGTGATAAAATAGTAAAAATGAAAAAAAAAACCTGTAGGCCTACCCAACACCAGAATGCAAAGTATATATACACATACACAGGTAAACTCGATGACATTATTACAAATCTATTTGAGGATTATCTTTTACAAGAATCAATATTAACACTGTGGTTAGCTCTATTCTCTAAATATTTATAAAAACGCCACGTAATGTTTTGAATATAATGAATGAGTGAGTAGAGTATAGGGGATGGGGGCAGAGGCGTAGCGACCCTTCCCGGCCCCCGGGGACAAACTTTTCGATTTGCACCCCCCTCAAGATTTCGATTTCAACCCCCCCCCCCTCAAGATTTTGATTTGCACTCACCCTATACTTTCAATTTGCACCCCTGTCAACCTTTCAATTTATTTTTCCAACCCATTTTGGCGCCCATAAGGTCGGCGCCCTGGGACATATGTCCCCCCGCCCCCCCCTCGCTACACTACTGGGTGGGGGTTGGGGTACAAACGTCCTTATTTTATTGTTATAAGTGATATGTACAATTTCTTACACCATCCTCAGTTATTTTAATGAAGATGTAATCGTACACTATTTGTTTTTCGATACAGTAAAGAAATGCTGTCTTGGGATTATTTCAAAATCCGGGCAGTTTCACGTCTTATAGAAATAACCCATTGTAGAGGTAACACCTCTCCCACCCCCACCCGTTATAGACATAACTCCATGTGGGGGTAACTCACCTAAAGTCTCCCCCACCCCCAACCGCTATAGACATAACTCTATGTGGAGGTAACTCACCTAAAGTCTCCCCCCACCCCCAACCGCTATAGACATAACTCTATGTGGAGGTAACTCACCTAAAGTCTCCCCCCCCCACCCGTTATAGACATAACTCTTTGTGGGGGTAACTCACCTAGTCTCCCTCCCACCCCCACCCGTTATAGACATAACTATATGTGGGGGTAGCTCACCTAAAGTCTCCCCCCACCCCCACCCCCACCCGTTATAGACATAACTCTATGTGGGGGTAACTCGCCTAAAGTCTCCCCCACCCCTACTCGTTATAGAAATAACTTTAAGTGGGGTGTAACTCACCTAAAGTCTCCCCCCACCCAGCCACCCAGCACGTCCCGTGGGTGCTGAGGTTCTCGGGCTCCGGGGGTCGATAATTCACCTCAGGTATCTCGTTGTCCGTCTCCCCACCAACAACAACTCGACGGGATTCGAACCTGGGGTTCGGGACGTACAGAGCGTTTTCGATCTCATACTCGGGGTTCTCCTCAATGGAGTTTCTGAGGTCTGTGGGGGGCCACTGGTTGGGCTCCAGACATATGGGCTGGGTAAGGGCATCCTCGTCTAGCTGGATCAGGGCGATGTCGTTCAGGTACTTGAGGTAGCTGGTGTCGTTACTGGCCACAGAGGAATAGTTAGGGTGCTGTTGATGGGAAGTTGTTCATGCGTGACGTGGGTGGTAGGAGGAATAGGGATGGTAGGATGAATTGGAGATAGTGGAACTGGATGATAGGATGAATTGGAGATAGTGGAACTGGATGGTAGGATGAATAGGATGGTAGGATGAATAGGATGGTAGGAGGAATGGAATGGTGGATGGTAGGATGAATAGGATGGTGGAAGGTGGATGGTAGGAGGAATTGGGATGGTGGATGTTAGAATGAATAGGGTGGTGGATGGTGGGATGAATTTTATGGTGGATGGTAGGATGGTAGGATGAATAGGATGGTAGGATGAATAGGATGGTATGAGGAATAGTGATGGTGGATGATGGATGGTAGGATGAATATAATAATGGATGGTATGAGGAATAGTGATGATGGATGTTAGAATGAATAGGGTGGTGGATGGTGGGATGAATTGGATGGTGGATGGTGGGATGAATAGGGATGGTGGAAGATGGTGAACGTTGTGTTATACTATGAATTGGATGTTAGGATGAACTAGATGATGGAAAATTGATTTATTTTCACAATAATGAGTACCTAAATTAATGAGTACCTATTATAATGAGAGCCCACAATAATGGGCACTCAAATTAATGAGTATCTACCATACCGAGATCCCATAATAATGAGTACCTAAATTAATGAGTACCTACCAAAATGAGAACCCACAGTAATGAGTCCTTAAATTAATGAGTAGGCCTACCTATCATAACGAGAAGCCACAATAATGAGTATATAAATTAATGAGTTCGCCTACCTACCATTATAATATCACGTATAACAATCTCCCTCTCCCCGTGCTCATGGCGAATAAGATCGTGTTCGCCAACTTTAATTCGCCACAGGCGAGGGAAACTGAACCTGAAAGAAAAAGAAAAAAAAAAAGCGCCGTTGGATTATTGCAAAAGTCAAATCATCTTCCGCTCCAGTTCATAGCAGACATGCCGGAAGTCGTGACGTCACACGCGGCTGACTTCACGCGAGATGTTTCATTCTCAGACGGCTGTCGGGCGGAACGTTCCAGAAACGGGACGGGAAATTTTAATTAGTCTGATAATTAAAGTTTAATTAGAAATACAGAAGAACTTGCCTTGAAGTTCATTCATGACAAAATACAGAATATTGTAATAAGGCAATTCGTGACGTAGGAAGGAAATTATCTTAGTTCGGTTGGGGGAGGGCGGGAACTGTCTCAAATATATATATATATATATATATATATATATATATATATATATATATATATATATATATATATATATATATATATATATCGTTATGGGATCCAGGTTCAGGTCAGTCAAACATCCCTGAGTCCACCCAACTCTGATGGGTTCCTAACTCACGTTAGGGTAAGTAAAGTCGTCTGGGCATAGTGCTGACCATACTATTCCTTCATATGCGAGGTCATAGAAACAAGTGAATTCTACTTCACTTGCCCCATGACCGCCAGGTTCGGTAAAGGGATCTCCTATAAACTCGCATGTCAAACAAACAAGCATCCAAATATATTATAATCTAAAACTTCAAGGATCCTCACACTTTGAAGCAGTGGGCGGTTGTTATGAACCATCTCTGGGACACCACGGACTGCATTAAACTCGCATGTCAAACAAACAAACTATAAAACAAAATCAGGGGCCCTCACACTTTGAAGCAGTGGGCGGCCGTTATGACCCATCTTTGGGCTACCACGAACTGCACCAAACTCGTAAACAAACAAACCAACAAACAAACTAAAAACTAAAACCACGGGTCCTCACACTTTGAAGCAGTGGGCAGCCGTTATGACCCATCTTTGGGATACCACCGCCCCTGTACAGGCGTGATGGCCGATCCAGCTCCGGATGGTCACCAGCCACGGCCATCGGCCTTCTGCGGACAGACTTCCTCCCACAATTCTCTTCTGTCTGGTACTGGGCTGGGTACCGCACGTCGCTGGAGATAAATAGCTAGTATATATATATATATATATATATATATATATATATATATATAGATATAGACATAGGCATAGACATAAACATAAGCATAGGTGTAGATATATAATGACCATAAGTCTATATCGAGAACAGTATTCTTAACATACATCGAAATTCTCAGTATATATCAACAGTCAGACACAATAATACCATATATACAGTAGCGTAGCGAGGGGTGGAGGCGGGGGGGAACATATGTCCCCGGGCGCCGACCTTAGGGGGCGCCAAAATGGGTTGGAAAAATAAATTGAAAGGTTGAGGGGGTGCAAATTTAAAGTTTGAGGGGGGGGGGTGCAAATCGAAATCTTGCAAATCGAAATATTGAGGGGGGGGGGGGGGGGTGCAAATCGAAAAGTTTGTCCCCGGGCGCCAGGAAGGGTCGCTACGCCTCTGCATATATACCACCTTACACCCAACATACGCCTTCTACCACACCTTTAGATCTGCACCCGCCTTCTCATAATGTAAATCAATAAGTATTCTTGAGATTGGAACGTGCTATTGCATTTAGTTTACCTATGAGTAATGAGTAACAATTTCATTTTATTTTAACAAGAAAATAAAGCTACCCTAGGGATAGGACAGGTTAACTTTCACAAAAACTGTATAGAAAAATAAAATTTGACATAAGATGTAAAGAAACCTACGTTGAAACAAAACCTATCAAATAAAAATAAACACTTCTATGAAATAAGTCAATCACATTCCGCCCCACCCCCTACCGACATTGATACCATCCGCACTATGACATGACTGACAGGTTTATGTTTAGGTTTAAGGTTTGGGTTAGTGTCTAACTATATAAAAAACATATATGTATGTGCCAAAACTAAAAGACGCCAAGAAAAAAAAATCAATATTCACTTAACCCCCATGTAAAAATGTATTGCTCTCAAAGACTTGGTTCGGAGATCGCCATTACGCATGCGCCTCGCACATGCGCAGTTCCCTAGGGGTGCTCTTCTCTCCTTAATGCAACTCTGGGGTGGAATTAAGTGCTTTAACCTTCAATTTCGACACCCCTACCCCCTCGGGCTTTCCCCCCTCACACAAAAAAATAATAGAATATGACAGGAGATAAGAACTTTTTTTTTTAAAGTTAATTCTAGAAAAGTGTCATAATTTTGTAAACTTTCGCCAGGTAAAATAAACGCGGAAAAAAAAAATCAAATAAAAAGGTTGTTGAAATAGAAGAATACCATCGGATTGTTGAAAAAAAATGAGACTATTTGGTTATTGGGGTCGTGATTTCAATCTTCCGTACCTCGGTCTGCTGGGGGTTCCTCTGATGCCATTTTAGAGCAAGGGCGATAAATGCTACAGGGTGAATGACGCTAATAGAATCGGGCAATTTTGTTTTGAAGGTCTGTTAGTTCAGTGGTTCTTAAAGTTACAGGAAAGGGGTTCTTCGCGGGAGTCATAGGCATAAGGGTATAGTCGAATTGCATTGGAATAAGGACATAGACTATCTGTATTGGGATAAGGAAATTGACATACTCTATTAGTATAAGGATATTGACATACTGTATTGGGGTGAGGACACAGACTCATTACATTAATAAAAGGAAAACGCCAACTACATTATACAAGCCAATAGTATTATTTAGACAAACCATTAAGCACAAGGAATGCCGACGGTTTGAAACAACCGTGTACAGGGAAGTAACTCTTGTTCACTGAGTTTCATACATGTTTTATGACAAAAAAAAAACCACAGTGTTTTCACTTTTAAACAAAAAAGGATGGCTAATTTAATCAAATAAATTCATAAGACCTAATTAATAATTCATAATTGTTTTCCTCATTATTATTTAGAAATTGGGTAATTTAAGGAGATTAAGAAACACCCCCGTCCCGTCCTAACTTACAATAGGAGCGACCACACATCTACACACAACATGAACTCACCCACACTATACACATCACTACAATCAACTCACGAGTTCACTACATAAGCAACACACTACACACCTCACACTACACACAACACGAACTCACCCACACCATACACATCACTACAATCGACTCACGAGTTCACTACACAGCAACACACTACACACAATTCTAATTCCACATTATCAATGTCCCCTTACAATTCACATAATATTATTTCGTAGGACCCTGCTTCAAATAACGTGAGAAGCCCCGCGCTAAAGAATTCGATAAAAGATGCCCCAGCCTTGGAGTGCGTTCATTTCCTCCTATTATTTTTCAGGGTAAAATAATAATTGTTTGTTTTCCTGATATGCTTAATGTCAGGTTTTTTAAAAACATAAATCAAGAAATGTACTCTTAGCAAACAGCTTTCAAGGCATTTCTTTCTTAAAAATAAATGATTAGTTTATATTTTAAAAAAAAACGGGCTAAAAAGTAGTTTTTAATTAAAATATTTTGTAAAATTATTCAATTATTGCAAATTTACTAATCTATTTTAATTTTGATGAAGGTGTCATGATTAATTTGTTTTAAAAGTTAATTACTGGTTTTACGCAAACTCGCACACACACACACACACATTTTGTGAATGCGAAAAAATTTTTTCGTTGTGTACTCGGCACTCAGATTCAAATGTAGAAAAAGAAAAAAAATGTAAGCATTTTTAAACGGCAATATGATGCGTCAAAGTTAAGTTTTTGTCGTAACCCTAAACATATTACTGGTTATAACCCTACCCTTAACTCTATCCCAAACAACAATAACCATAACAATCATCATCTGTTTTATCTGTCATCTCAATGAGATCGACATACAGAGAGGTTGTGTGGTCTGCACTATACCCAGCCGCCTTAGTTTCCCTAACGTGAGTCAAGTACCCATCAGAGCTGGAACATCCTACAAAATCAACCCCGGAATCCGAACTCAAGACTTTCGAGCTAGCTGTTGTAAGCTCTACCATTCAACCACGCCACACCTACACTTAATTTATAACATGAACAGCCATAACCATAACAGGAAGCCGGTCATAACTTGTTGACAAACCTCTATCCTAACTCATATAGCCATAGTGTCAATGGAGACTATACTGAATAACCCTACTAGCATTCACACAAGAAGAATTGTCTTACCATACTCCGCAGCCCGGGTTGTTGGAGGGGTTGGCGTGGTGGTTGTTGACACCCAGGGGCGTGGGGTCACTGAAACAGGGGGACACAATTTTAACATCGCGGTACCTAGGTTGTCGGGTATGTGGTAAATATGTCGTTGTCATGGACACACGTGATTAGTTCATAAGTTGATATTGTCATGGGAGATGTACTTTGGGCTTTATGTAGGGCGTCTTGTGGGGCGTCACGTCATACTGTACTTAAGGCGTTATATTTGACGTCATATCACAGTAATATAGGCGTCATATTATAGTACTACGGGCGTTATGTCCTTAGGGCGTCTTATAGGGCGTCATGTTCTACTGTGCTTAAAGCGTCGTGTCACACTGTACTTAAAGCGTCATATAGGGCGTCATGTTCTACTGTGCTTAAAGCGTCGTGTCACACTGTACTTAAAGCGTCATATAGGGCGTCATGTTCTACTGTGCTTAAAGCGTCGTGTCACACTGTACTTAAAGCGTCATATAGGGCGTCATGTTCTACTGTGCTTAAAGCGTCGTGTCACACTGTACTTAAAGCGTCATAAAGGGCGTCATGTTCTACTGTGCTTAAAACGTCGTGTCACACTGTACTTAAAGCGTCATATAGGGCGTCATGTTCTACTGTGCTTAAAGCGTCGTGTCACACTGTACTTAAAGCGTCTTATAGGGCGTCACGTTCTACTGTGCTTAAAGCGTCGTGTCACACTGTACTTAATGCGTCTTATATGGCGTCACGTTCTACTGTGCTTAAAGCGTCGTGTCACACAGCACTCACTGTTGTCTGGCATCTCGAAGCAGCACTGCAGGGAGGGGTTGACATAGATGGGACACAGGGGCACGCCCCAGCGCTGGTGGTTGACGAACCTGCACGTGGTGTTGCACGTGCCACGGAAGTGGAAGCACAGGTCGACGTAGCCGAAGGGGAACGCTGGAACATTCCAGAAATATTTTTTTTATGTTTAAATACGACAACAAGATGATGTTTTAAAGTTTAAATAAGACAACAAGATGATTTTTTAAATTTTAAATACGACAACAAGATGATTTTTTAAAGTTTAAATAATGCAACAAGATGATTTTTTAAAGTTTAAAACAAAGCAATCAAATGGTTGATTACTAACGTTTAATTGTGTTTTAACATACTAATACTATAGTAGAGTAATATCTGGTTTTAAGATGATGCATGAAGTTAGATGTATTAACATAGAAAGGCACTCCTTGGAGCGAGAAAATTAACATAAATTTAAATTATTAAAAAAAATCAACCACTAATATAAGTAAACAACTACATATAATGGTAACATGTAGTAATAAGTATAGTAATGTATTAAATAAGTGTTTATAACGTTTAAAGACGTTTTTCATTCTTTAAAAATCATTAGACCACTTTTAGGTTAAATATTAAAGTATGCTAGTTACTTCCCATTTGAAATTAAAACTATAAAGGGATACAACCTGCTAAATTCTTCCCAAAACTTGTTTGAAATAAATACAATTTAATTGCAAAAAATAGGTAAAGAACAATTGGTTATATGAATTGAAAAAAAATAAAACTTAATTAGTATGTTATGTCTGTTAGTTTCACTTTTGTGATTTGTAAACTGTTTAATTATCCATATACTCTTGTTAAAATAGAAAACGATGCGCTGAACACCAATCTTCTAGACTGGTGAAAATTTATTTAATGAGTAACCACTTCATTTAACCAATTTTGTAGAATGGCTCTAATGGCACCAAATTGTTGCCAGAAAGGATATTTTTTTAACAAACTTAAGAATTTTATATTTGTGTAATAAGTAGAAAATTACTTCCGCTTTCATTAAGGCTAGAAATATAAATAGTCAAAGAAATATTTACTAGTTATATAATAGTATTTTAGCAAACACTTTTTTAGAAATATAATTCAAAAGAATTGATATCTTTTAATTGAAATGGAAAAAAAATGTAATAAATAAAGCTCATAACTGAAATAAAGCGGGAGTGAAATTTTGTTTAACTACCTGAAACAGTACTCAGACTACAGGCTTTTGAAAACCCAAAAGTAGAATAAGTTCCACTTCAGGTTACCGGAAATCGTTGAAAAGTTGATACAGAACTACACATTTGATATAATACTTATATATAAAATTTCATTAACCTTGCTGTAACGGTACTCAAGTTATCATGCTCACAGACACACAGACATACGAACAAAATTGTAGAACTATTTTTTTTCCGACTCAGGGAAGTGTAAAACGTTGAGATTTGTGAAAGTCTCGATTTTTTTTTTTGCACTATTACAATACTTCCTTTATACTTCGTATAAGGTAAAGTATAAAGGAGATCGACTAGCGGTTAAAACTCTGCAAGAAGTTGACCGTTATGTAGTGGCCATTATAACTGCAAGTTGACCGTTATGTAGCGGCCACTATAACTGCAAGTTCACCGTTATCTATTGGCCACAATAACAGCAAGTTGACCGTTAGTTAATGGCAACAATAACTGCAAGTTGAACGTTATCTATCGATCAAGACGCCTAAATGTTTGAAGTATGTTTGATATGTATCTCAATATATGGATCGAGATGCCTAAATGTTTGATATAATTATAGCTAAATACACTGACCAAAGCATACAAAGTAACAGACAGTTAAACAAACCTAAACTTGCATTTTTATTTAACCAATAAGTAAACATATGAGCAAATGGTGAAAATACAAACGGTCGGTAGCTGATAATTACAAACAAAACATGGATGCCACTTTGTGAAATAAAAAGCACCAATAAGTAAAACGAGGTAGGCAGTGATTCTGTATAACAGATGATATACAAAAACTTTAGGTATGTATAACTGATGATATGCAAAAACTGTATGTATGTATAACAGATGATATGCAAAAACTTTAGGTATGTATAACTGATGATATGCAAAAACTGTATGTATGTATAACAGATGATATGCAAAAACGTTAGGTATGTATAACTGATGATATGCAAAATCTTTAGGTATGTATAACTGATGATATGCAAAAACTTTAGGTATGTATAACTGATGATATGCAAAAACTTTAGGTATGTATAACTGATGATATGCAAAAACTTTAGGTATGTATAACTGATGATATGCAAAAACTTTAGGTATGTATAACTGATGATATGCAAAAACTTTAGGTATGTATAACTGATGATATGCAAAAACTTTATGTATGTATAACTGATAATATGCAAAAACTTTAGGTATGTATAACTGATGATATGCAAAATCTTTAGGTATGTATAACTGATGATATGCAAAAACTGTATGTATGTATAACAGATGATATGCAAAAACGTTAGGTATGTATAACTGATGATATGCAAAATCTTTAGGTATGTATAACTGATGATATGCAAAAACTTTAGGTATGTATAACTGATGATATGCAAAAACTTAAGTTATGTATAACTGATGATATGCAAAAACTTTAGGTATGTATAACTGATGATATGCAAAAACTTTATGTATGTATAACTGATAATATGCAAAAACTTTAGGTATGTATAACTGATGATATGCAAAAACTTTAGGTCTGTGTGATTGATGGTGTACAAAAACTTTAGGCCTGTGTAATTGATGGTGTACACACACTTTAGGTCTGTGTGATTGATGGTGTACAAAAACTTTAGGCCTGTGTAATTGATGGTGTACACACACTTTAGGTCTGTGTAATTGATGGTGTACAAAATCTTTAGGTCTGTGTAATTGATGGTGTACAAAAACTTGACGAAAATCACAGATATACTTACGCCATTGCTGCTCTGACGTGTTTATTTGTCCTGGCGAATAGAAAATATAAAAGTCACTACATGATACACACACACACATATATATATATATATATATATATATATATATATATATATATATATATATATATATATATATAAGGTTTAAAAATGTAAATCTTTCAGAAGATGGGAAGAATGAGTAACTATAACAGCCGAGGCTAGCGAGTGAAATGACGGTGAATCGCCAGGGAAAGTAAAACAATAAAAATCACAACAATTGTTTTCCATGATAAAATGCAAAATAGCGGTCAATGAGGTAAAGCCTAGAATTTTTTTTATATTAGATAATATAACATCCCCTATAATTGGCTATAACTACCACACCCTGACTCTACTTATCCAAATTAAAAATCAAAGTGTTTGCTAAATTACGATTATATGACTAGTAATTATTTGTTTGAATATTTCTAGCCTCAGTAAAACTGGATCATTTTGTACGTATTTCTCAAATGTTATAAAATATTCAACTTTGATTGAAAAATATGCTTTCTGGCAACAACCATTTGGAACCAGATTTTCAAACCTATTATAAACACCATTGATCACAAATTTCGTTGTTTACGTTGATAAGGCAATAATTTATTTTTCAACAAAGGCTGAACTCTAAAAACATGAATAATGGGCCGAAGATTAATGTGAACGTTAACTATAATTAGAAAACCTAATCCCAATTTTTAAAAAAAAATATTTTAGCGATAGGAGAGACATAAATAACAACACAAGAAATAAATCTCAACGGCACCCACCCTTTTTGAAAGGTTTGAAGATTTAGAATGATGATGGTAATTTTGAATAAAAATATTTTTTTCTAAATCAATACCCCTCGCTTGTATGATACATGTGGACAAAAAAAAAAAGGGGAACTATTTTTTTTGGTCGTTTAACATCGCTTCCTGCTTCCGCATACAGTGCAGGAATTTAGAGATCAATATTCCTTTATTCGGATTTTTGTCGAGTGTTTCCTAAAGTCTAGGTCAAAGGTCATAGTTAGACAGTATTGCTTGGTCATAGTTAGACAGCTTTGCTTGGTCATAGTTAGACAGTATTGCTTGGTCATAGTTAGACAGTATTGCTTGGTCATAGTTAGACAGTATTGCTTGGTCATAGTTAGACAGTATTGCTTGGTCATAGTTAGACAGTATTGCTTGGTCATAGTTAGACAGTATTGCTTGGTCATAGTTAGACAGTATTGCTTGGTCATAGTTAGACAGTATTGCTTGGTCATAGTTAGACAGTATTGCTTGGTCATAGTTAGACAGTATTGCTTGGTCATAGTTAGACAGTATTGCTTGGTCATAGTTAGACAGTATTGCTTGGTCATAGTTAGACAGTATTGCTTGGTCATAGTTAGACAGTATTGCTTGGTTATAGTTAGACAGTATTGCTTGGTCATAGTTAGACAGTATTGCTTGGTCATAGTTAGACAGTATTGCTTGGTCATAGTTAGACAGTATTGCTTGGTCATAGTTAGACAGTATTGCTTGGTTATAGTTAGACAGTATTGCTTGGTCATAGTTAGACAGTATTGCTTGGTCATAGTTAGACAGTATTGCTTGGTTATAGTTAGACAGTATTGCTTGGTCATAGTTAGACAGTATTGCTTGGTCATAGTTAGACAGTATTGCTTGGTCATAGTTAGACAGTATTGCTTGGTCATAGTTAGACAGTATTGCTTGGTCATAGTTAGACAGTATTGCTTGGTCATAGTTAGACAGTATTGCTTGGTCATAGTTAGACAGTATTGCTTGGTCATAGTTAGACAGTATTGCTTGGTCATAGTTAGACAGTATTGCTTGGTCATAGTTAGACAGTATTGCTTGGTCATAGTTAGACAGTATTGCTTGGTATGTCCGGAGTGTAATTGACGGGGTGGGGAGCGGAGGGGGGGGGGGGGGTGAGGGTGGGGGCGGAATGTCTTGCTCTCATCCACAGTGTTTTTTTCCAGTTTTTTTCTCCGGGGTGGGGGTGGGGTGGAGGGGTGAAGCACTTGAAATTTTCGAGGGGGAGTGGGGTGACTCTAGTAAAAGTAGATATTTTCTACATTACTTCTATTTCGTTCGGGGATGGGGGATGGGGGGGGGGGAGGAGAGGTGGTGGTAGATGTTCTTTGGGAGGGGGGGGGGGTGCCCGAAGAGATGCCTGAAAGAAACTCTGCTCATCCGGAAAGTCTTTTGTTGGATTCAGCGATTTTCTTAGCAGTCAAAAACACCTGACAACAATATTAATTACACCTTGTCTAGGTATTGTTGGTATTGCATATTGGAATGATTGACGATGTAAAGTACGCGAAGTGTATGTATCGATGTTTTACACACGTGTGGTCTACGTGTTGTTAGTGTAATAGAGTGAAATCAATGGCGTAGGCTTGGATAGTATGCTTTAATGCAGGGGTCTACAAACTACGGCCCGCAGGCCGGATGCGGCCCGCGAGGTCCTCTCATCCGGCCCGCGGAGATCTTTTTGTCCACGGTAAAAACGTTTGTTGGTGATGGCTGAGGAACTTTGCCCAGAAAAATCAAAGATATATCCGGAAGAAACTGGCCCCCGAACTGAAATTTAATAGTTAATGCGGCCCTTGGACTGAAAAGTTTGGAAAACCCCTGCACTTTAATGCAACAAAATAAGATAAAGTAAATGGTCTTACTTATAGTGCAAATACAACAGAAATAGGATTTCGTTACACACATCTATCAAATGTATAACTTATATTATAAACGTATCACAGCGTGTACATTTTCAAGTAGCGTCATTCAGTGTTTCTTTCAGACTTTTTTCTCCGGTGGGGGGGGGGGGGGGGGGGCGGACACTTGTAAAAGTATCAATTATATTTCGTTCAGGGAGGAGGTAGACGTTCTGCGATGTGTCTGTGTCTGTGTGTGTGTGTGGAGGGGGGGGGCAGGGCCGGCGCTACCTATAAGGCGAACTAGGCGGTCGCCTAGGGCGCCATCAAAGGAGGCGCAAAAACAGGTTAAATCGTTATTATAAAAAAGTACCAAATAATAATAACTTTGATAATCTTTTATAAACTATAGATGGTAATATACAAAGGAGTAGCGATCTATTTCAGCGCTCAGCACGAACTATCAACTTTGCGCCCCCACCCCAAATTGAGGCCTATATAGGTTTTTATCCGCGATGATGAGAATACAACCCCAACCTCCCTAATTTGGAAAGGTCGAGACGCTTTTTACCAGTCACTTTGCCGTTTTATTTTGGTGTCACATAATTGATGAAGAAAACTATGTAATAAGTCCGTAATTTAAATTTCGAACATTTCAAACAGTTATCTAATTTTAATGTTGATTTAGTGATCGCTCCAGCGATAGACAGGGCGTTCCAAAACACGTGACATTTTGGTTTTTAAGTCTTGTTTCCTCTGACTTTGAATTAAAAATCTGTTCTGGTGTATAGAGTTTTCTAATGACGGGGTTTTCAAAGTATTGTACTTGTTTGTTAAGTTTTGATGAATCGTTTATATTTGGGAGTAACGGCGGAAGGCTGTTGTTGATATGGTTTCGTAGGTATAAACTATCGAAGTGTTAAAGTCTCGTATTTTTTTTATTTGGCTGCCTTGTAGTTGTAGGTCTAGTGGAATCTGATTAGTAGTAGAGAAATGAGAATGTGGGTGATGAGGCATCGTAGTTCTGGAGTTAGGGAATATCGAGTCTTGCGGTATTAAGGATACCGAAATATGTTGGCTGTGAAATCGTTGTTGATTGGGAGTATCGTTTGTAGAGCTTGGTAAAGTTAAGCGAGTTGGTGTAGTTCTGGAGCATCGAGTCTGGTTATGTTTAGGTGTCGAAGTTTGTGAATGTAGTCGAGTATATTGAGTAGTCGAGTTTATCGTAAGTTAGATGATTTCAATTCACGGCGGAACACACTATAAAGAAAGGTAGGCGTTTTCTACCTGAAAAATCTTTAGTTTTTTGTAGGAATCTATATTACCACTAAAATATTATATTGGCTTGAATTTATAACTAATCGTAAACTTAGTTTCTTCAAATTATACATTTTTTAAAAATTTAATCAGTAATTATAGCAATATCTTAAACCAGGGGTCGGCAACCTTTTGAAGCGGAAGAGCCAAAAGTTACAATTTCAAAATTTCCCTGGTTTTAAAGAGCCACTAACATTTTTTTATTTCAAATATTTTATTTTTTTATTAAGATTATTAGTATTTGTTCAAGGAGCTGGAGAGCCGCATCTTGATATCAAAAGAGCCGCAGGTTGCCGACCCCTGTCTTAAACAGTAGCCCGAATTTGATTTTTTTTAAAGGTGCCCCTTTGTTTAAGCGATCCAACAATTTTACATTTTTTACTTTTTATACATTACTACTAAGTTAAATGTCATCATTATTGACTAGAAGTATGCTATAATAAAGCCACCGTATTTAGACTTTCAAACCAAACCTACAGTTAAGTAGTCAATTGATAAAATATATTCTATTGCCACGGTTACATAGTTAATGTAAAATACTTTTTTACAATTATTACTTAATGAAATTTAGATCGTTGTATTGTTTTTCAAGTATGTCTTAGTTATACTTGGTTAATTTTGCTTTTTTTTAAAAGTTATTTCCCTTGAGAAAAAAAATTGGTATTTGGATTTCCAAATGGGAGATAATTCATCCATTTCAAATTCCTGCACCTTAGGATGACCGCTTACATATAAATACAACTTAAAGTTATTATTTGCTATTGTAGCATTTATATAGAGCAGAAGTTCTAAACAAAGTAGTTTGTTAGGTTTTTTTAGCATTATCCAGTTGAAAAACAAATACATCAGTAGCCGTTGTAGATTGCAATACTTAATGTTAGTAGACATACAGTATGAGATAGTGCAACAAATGCGTCTAACGTCGTCTAGTCGCAAACTAATTATCTAATTAATTGTCTTTACCATATTTTTCACCCTCTCCTATTGGATTTATATATATATAACATTTGTAGGCTGGAATCTATAACATTTATAACCTTTAATTTTTCAACAACAAAATAATCGTTACATAATCACACAATATAGACATTTTACAAATATAACTAAAGACAGTCAAGCTTAAAACAGGTAAGTTCCGTTCTGGGAGGTCTGCAGAGAGCCCAACACTACAAGAACTGTGTTTTTTGTCCAGTGTTTTTTTTTCCTCCGACTTTTTCTCCCGGGAGGGGGGGGGGGGGGAAGAGAAGCATTTGAAATTTTCTAAGGGGGGGGGGGGGGCGAGGGGGGGAGGTTGTCTGTAAGTACAAAGTAGACTCGTGGACTTTGTAACAATTTTAATAGAATGTGATTACGCTTGCAAACTGGAATTGAATGAATTGTACAAACTTTTGCGACGAAGGAGGCAAGTAAAATTTGATTTTCATATCTACTTATAATTTTTATGCAATTGATAATACATTAATATGCCACTTTTAATTAATTGTTTTCTGATACATGTTTTATTAATTAATCTGTGTGAAAGGGGGCGTTTTAATAAATTTTGCCTATGGCGCTAAATAACCTGGCGCCGGCACTGGGGTGGTGGGTGGGGGGGGGGGAGGAACTCCGCCGCCCGATGAGATGCCTGAAAGAAACTATGTCCATGACATATCTAGGCACATTGGAGTCAGTGGCGTAGCTACCGTAAAGCTAGCGTAAGCAAGGCATAGGAGCCCAAGGCTAATAGGGGCCCTTTTTCAAAAGTTTGACGGGGGGATGCAAATCGAAAGTCTGAGGCGGGGGAGGGGGGGTGCAAATCGAAAGTTTGTTCCCGGTCGCCGGGAAGGGTCGCTACGCCTCTGAGGGGCCCACTAACACTTTTTGCATAGGGCCCAAAAATTCTAGCTACGCCACTGAATGGAGTAGCCATTAATTAATTCTACATCAAAGTAATTTAGGGTCTCAATCATTTTTCGTCTCTTACAATTACATGCGATATTTTTGTTGCTGGAATATTTTCTTTACTACTTTATGTCATTACAAAAAGGAAGAATAACTTTATTATGTTTACAAATGATCGGTTTTCTTAATGATCCGTATTGCGTAAGGGCAGCAATTAGGTTTAATTCGGTTTTCTATCTGGGAAACAATTTTGTTTCCAAAAATAGAATATAATTTTCTTGACGAAGTTAGAGTTAGTGAAACAGAATATGTTCTTCCATGCGGTGTCTGTTTCGGGTGGTGTATTGTCCTTGCCTACAATACATCAGTGGCGGCATTTTGTATTTCCCTAAAATAGGGCTTATTAGGACATTTTGTATTTCCATAAAACAGGGCTTTTTAGGATATTTTTATTTCCCTAAAACAGGGCTTATTAAGACATTTTGTATTTCCCTAAAATATGCCCGAATAGGACATTTTTATTTCCATAAAACATGTCTAATTAGGACATTTTGTATTTCCCTAAAATATGCCCGAATAGGACATTTTTATTTCCATAAAACATGTCTAATTAGGACATTTTGTATTTCACTAAAACATGCTTGATTAGGACATTTTGTATTTCACTAAAACATGCTTGATTAGGACATTTTTATTTCCCTATAGTACGTCTGATTATGCCAGCATTTTGCCCTGGCCTACAATATAGTAGCATTTTGTCGTTTCTACAAAACAAGTAAATCTATTCAGGCGGCATTTTGTCGTCTCGTCGCTTGGGACATTATCCCATAGTATGACCAGCTCTAGCTGCTCCAATAGCATCGATCATCATCTTTCCCGTTCATGCTTAAAGACACATGGGCAGATGAAGTAGAGTTCATCTTTTTCAATGACCACGGCATACAAGGGGGCAGTGATGTCAGCACTATGCCCAGTCGCCTTACTTTCCCTAACTTGAGCCAGGTACACATGATAGCTGGGTGGACTCAGAGACGTCCTACAGACTCGAATCCGGGATAGTGACATTAAAATTTAAGATAATAATTACACGCTGAAAAATGTCGTTATGTTAATTTAATTTGGTGGTTAATTCATCTTTAACATTTCTGGCTATACATATCAAAACACATTTCTTTAAGGTAGTAGGATGAAAAAAAATGGGGGGAGAGGGGGGATTTTTAAAGGTATTGTGGCAAACGACAATACGTATTCAAGAAATATCGGTCAAGTTCTAGGAAACTTAGACTCTGAGAGAAGTAAAGATTCTTTACAAAATGGCACTGATATTTCTGAACCACTAGGCATGCTGCCCAGCTTCGCTTAGGCTTTCGAAAACATTGAGAATTTGAATGCTTAATTAATTCGCCCGAAGGTCGGTCTACGACCTCAAGAGTTATGAAGAGGTTCCTCCGTGGACATTTTTTTTCGATTTAAAGCTCATATAAGGTACCGGTCAGTCGAAGTCAGTTTTGACCCCCACATCGTAGACTTTTCGGCCAACCGGCCCCCGTGTTCTGTCGCACCAAGGCAAGATCATGCCAAATTTGAAGCGCCTGCGGCGCCGGGAAGTGCCCTATCGGACACCCGACAATCTAGATCTAGATCTAGATTCCTAAAAGAATTTTTTTTTAAGTTTAGCCCGAGCATAATAAAAAAGAATACATTAACCAAGTTGACTTGCTGTGTCTCGAACCCGCACCACCTGCGTGGTTTAATGTACACTAACATCTCCGCTATTTAGGCACCTTATAAAATACGGAGAATGAAACACGTATTTTAAAATCTTAACTTACGCGAATATGCCTATTCTTTCAAATTAATTTTTTATCCCAAATTAGCCAGTTCCAAACAAAGATTTTGTATAAAATAAATAAGTCTTGAAATAGTTTAGTCCTAATATAGAAATTTATTTTTGGAATTGATTTTAGAGAAGTTCGAGTCTAAATCTAGATCTTAGCGTCTACGTCTAGATCTAGTTATTGCGTAGATTTAGATTTAGTCTAGATCTAGAATCCAAATACATAAAATAAATTTTATGAGTTTAGGCCGGAAAAATTGTATTGTATACATTTCATAGTGTACGTAGATCTAAATCAAATTTGAATGAAATAGTTCATTTCTTTTCATTCTAAACACGGTAGATGACGTCATTAGTTAATGTATAAGCAATAGTGACGTCACAGTTTTATGCGTTCTTTTTCACATATATTAATGCTTTTCCGGTTGCATAAATAATACTGTTTCTCTACATTCGAATACGCCTTTAATTTTTATTTTTCTTCTTTAAGTAAAATTGTGGTTATACATTTAAAACATCTAACATATTATTTTCAACAAAAGTCCGTAAAAAGTTCTCCATATACCGCTGCCGATTCTGACGTGATGTCCGGCGAAAATTTTTTGCGGACAGAGAAAGAGAGAGAGAGAGAGAAGAGCGCACATGGCCTTTTATAAATTAGGATACAGCAAAAACAAGGTATAGAACGTGTCTGTCTAACAGGGGTAAAATAGGCGATGCTTCTGTTTTGTTTTTACAGACATTATCACATCTTAGTTAATGAATGACCCCAAAACTCCGATTCTTAAGTTCTACTGCTATGGGACATGGTATCTTGTTTGTTGCGTAATACCTCATTCTTTTTCTATTTATACAAAAAAAAATACTCGAGATTTGATCTGAGAGAAATGAAATTTGATCGAAAGGAATCGATGTTGATAAAAAAAAGAACTGATTTTTTAAAACATAATCTCTTGTTTTAATAAACAAAAAATTAAAAAGCTTAATTTCATTTTCTGTTTTTCTCTGTGTTTTTAAACTCAGGGGAAACCATTCAGATTGATTTCTGTTGCTTTATTACTTTTTTAGCTGTCAAAGATTTAAGAGTATGTTTTTCCCCCAACAATTGTATGTATTATTTACATAATTTCATTCAATCATATGTCACAGTTATATCATTTACATAAACACGGGTCTGTAGCAATTTCACCACCTATTACACGGTTATATAATTTAAACGCGGGTCTGGGTCATTTACATCACCGAAATACGGTTCTGGGTCGTTTATATCTGCTCTAAATACGGGTCAGTATAATAAACTAGAAGTAAACTTTTAAAATGTTAAAGAACATTTTGTATTCTTATAGTGCTCAATGTATTTATAAGGCTTTAGATATTTTAATAGTACACATTCTAGTTAGAATACTTCGGAAATTCTGACATTACACAATATGCTATTGAAAAAGACTTTAGTCTGACCAAACGCACAAAAGACAACAAACAACACTTACCGGAGGCTCCCGTTAAACTACAGATCACGACCAGAAACAAACAAAGAACTGGGCGGGTTTTTCTGCAACTGTTGGCCATCTTGCACCGGTCAGTATCCCTGTTTAAAACCTGCCTGAAAGTCTTTGACTGAAATCAGTGCTGGTCAGTTACCTATTGACCGAATTCAGTTCTTACTTATCAGGCTCTAAAATACACACGAAATCCAGTTAACTTTGAGTTTCAGAATATACGTTCTCTCGATAATTTAGGTGAGTTTAGTAAAGTGATATTTGTCTTGAAATACTTCTACAATTCAAATTTAATTTGAAGAGACATACGTTGTTTTTCGTTTTAAATACTAAAGTGGAATTTCTAATGAAAATGTCTAACCGCAAGTGATATCTTTATTTGGATCAATTTCAGACTTCCTTTAAATTTTGAACTAGTTTGTTACAGTATATTAAAAACTACTCTGTCCGTTTTTTCTTGAAACAAATATTGTAAAACAAAATGTTATTCAAAAGACTTAAATATCTTGTGGATAGGCTACGCTAAAAATATTTTAACTAAGAGAAACCACAAAATTAAACTTCTTTAAATACGGTCCGAAAGGGGCGGTCATTTTAAAGCCATGTGTGACGTCACAAGAGAGTGGTTTCCCTTGTTGCAATTTTTTTCCCCCATCTCGCCAGTGATGCGGGGTCTGTTTGAAGACGAGGCTAGCACGCGACGGGCGAGCCATATCACACGAGCGTTCTCTACTCCGTGAGGACGAAGCGAAAAAAATTAAAAATAAATTAAAATGTCTTTTTTTTTAAACTGCAGTATAATTTTTTACGCTAATATTTGGGAGGAGTAAGCCACCTTGATGACCCCGCCCACCAGGAACAAGTTTTAACAAATCGGAAAGTTAAAAAAAAAAATTTACGCATGCACACTTGCTTTAAATTTAAGTTTTTTTAAAAAATTGTGTAGTAATAAAATGGTATGATATTTAGCTTCTATAACATATGCAAGAACTAATTTGGCTACAGAATATGGATCGAAGAAATGACCGAATAGAATGGACTACATATAAGGTCCACATTTAGGGCCAGAATAATGTTTATGGAAACGTAAGAGCAAAATTTTTGGAAGAGAGACACCTACTGCACCGCTGATTTGTCATGACATAGGCGTGTTTTTAAATTGGTTCGTTTGCTAATATTGTTTGGTCGCCCGATTTCGCTGGGGATGGGGGCACTTGGAATTTTCGGGGGGGGGGGGGGGCTGTTTAAAGTATATATTTTCTAGATAAATTCAATTTCGTTCGGTGGGGCGGTAGATTTTTTTTGGGAGGGGGGGGGGACACACACTCATAATGGAGAAATGATCACGAGTTTTAATAGCTTAGTGGTCATTATAATAGGTGTTTCTTTCAGACTTTTTTTTTCTCCGTGGGGCACTTGAAACTTTCGTGGGGGTGGATTAAATTAACCTGGGGTTAGACGTGCTTTACCCCTCCCTCCTCCGATGCGATACCTGAAAGAAACACTGGATATAGTTTAGACTTTAATATTTCCAAGTTATCGAGCTGAGCGATCACTTACCACGTATTTTTTAAAGAAAAAAAAAAGCTTTACCACCATCGCATGAAATAAGGCAAAGTGGATGCCCACTTAGCTTACATGGGTACCTGTCATACACGTAGAAAACCCCTTATAACAACCAGCTCTAATGCGTACCTGACATGTCTATAGAAAGCCTCTCGTTTTACTCAGGTCTAAAGGGTACCTGACCTGAAAGTAGTCGTAAAAGTGTCAGGGGAAAAAGAGGAGAAACTACTTTCCATTTATAGAACGAGACCAGCGTTCTAAATAACTCTACTTCACCTTCGTGGATGGGTGATTAACTGTTTAATATTCTGTTCATATCTGCCAAAGTACACAACAATTGGCATTTTTGTAAACGGTGTCACATTTAAATTAATGGTTTAAGGTTTAAATATCCTGCGTGTAAGTGTATCTTCCAAAAATAAATTCTACATGTAGATCTACCTTTTGACGCAAACTGTTTGCGAAATAATTAATTGAGACACTGCCGACTTCACGTTTTAAATTTGTGTTCAGTTAATTCTTATTCTAACTAATTCATGTAAAGCGCAGCAACATTATTTTAAAATTTTATGATTCGTGGGTTTATAAGTTGATAAAAAAAACATCAATGAGATTTACAAACAAGTAGGTTTATTTATAAAATGATAAATAAAAAAACATCAATGAAATTTTGAAACCATGAATGGGAAATTAACTCTGTTTATTCATTTACGCTTGGCCTTTCCTGTACCGCTAGCGTATGCTTAAAATAGCACTCGTGCTCGCTTGGATATCAATGAGTGATAAGGCTAATTCTTACAAATACTTGCGCTGTGACGAAAAGGAAGCTGCGCTATATTTAAACACAGGGGTCGGCAAATCTCGCACTGCGAGATGCGGATGTAAACAAAAAAGGAGTGTTGATGACAGCTGTGGGGCGCGAACATCATCAGCCCCAGGCAGGGACGCCCACGCCCTTCCTGCGCTATTTTCGTGTTTCATACGTCACCCAGTGCACCTTACGTAAAAGTAGTCAAACATTCGCAAAAACCCGAACTTGGTCGGGTCAGGTTAAAAAAAACATTACTGAAGAAAAATAAAGCGGGAGTGATCTGCCCTACACTTTCTTGATTATTCTTATATAACACCACGGGGGATGGCAACTCGGGATGTAGACAAGATTTTTAATTCATTATTAATTACCTAAACTTTTAAAAATAGAATAGAATCTCGTAGAAAAAAGGAATTGCGCACCAAGTGAACGGCAAACAATATCTGTATAATTTTAGTACTTTATAAATTCATATTCGTTTTTTTTAGGAGAAATCGGAAATAGCGTAAATGTCTACCTCCGTTCAACGGAAATCATTCACAATTTGACAGAAGGCAGAGAAGTAGATCTTTTACTTATATGTGAAATTTCGTTTTGCTAAAACAGGACTCAAGTTATAGCCTTTTTAAAAATTAAAAGTAGAATAAGCTCCAGTTCATTGATACAGAACTACAAATTTGTTATAATTTTTATACACGCAATTTCATCAACCTAGCTGTAACGGTACACAAGTTATCGTGTTCACAGACATACACATATACACACATACTCACATGCATACACAGATACATACACACATATATACATACACAGACATACGGACAAATTGCAAAACTATGCTTTTTTTCCTACACGGGGAGGTGTAAAACGTCAAGATTTCCGAAAATCGCAAATTCGATTTTTTTGCATGATTACAATACTTCATCTATACTTTGTGTACGATAAAGTAAAAATAGCAATAAAATACCTGTTGAAGAATTAGATTCTGGTAAGAGAACACTGCCTGAAGCCCCGTTCTTCAGCTTTAAATCGCTTATCAATTTTAATAATGTAAGAAATTTCCTAAATCAACGTCATCAGAGAAGCAGGAATACACATGGAGTTCCGTGGTTCTCAAAACTTTTCCTCTAGGAACAATAATGTTTGATAAGCCAGATACCAATGTACAATGTTGAGTTATATGTATATTTTATAACAAATCAAGTCACATATTATGTTAAAATTAATTTATTAGGGATGTTCTACAGATTCGAACGTGACGTTAAATCTAATCTTTGGGCTAGTAGGCCTAATCCACAGTTCGAACACGTGAATCGTTGAATATAATAGCTTTGGAATAGTTTAACCAGAGGCGTAGCGACCCTTCCCGGCGCCCGGGGACAAACTTTCGATTTGTACACCCCCTCAACCTTTCAATTTGTTTTTCTAACCCATTTTGGCGCTCCCTATGATCGGCGCCCGGGGACATATGTACCCCCCCCCCCCCCCCCAAGCTATGCCGCTGAGTTTAACTGTTTACAAAAAAAGAAAACATTTCTCACATTTCTAAGTTCTTTTATTGCTATGCAAAGGCACATGTTTAAAGTGTTAACTTACAGCAGTGAATGAAAAAAAGTCTAGTTTTTAACGGTTCTTCTCAATTAAGGAATACAAAGAAGTGACAATGTAAAAGTATAACTACATTACTTACACTGGTATGTCGTTGATATTTAAATTGGTGACACGAACGATGCGCAACGGAAAACTGTACGCAAGGGAATTTATTTTCCTTAAATAGACCATTTATTTATAGACTTTAGTAAAGAATGACTACATGTAGATTCTAGCATAATAAAACATTTTCCCACAAAATATGACAAAATTAAAGTATGTTAGTATATTTTTTTTTCTATTTGCGCATTTTATTGTTCGCACAGTTTTCGGCTGTGCAATTTTCCGTTGGCGCAATTTTTAGGAATCATCGAAATGCTATTTTCGGCGGTGCTTAAATGATATTAACCTGGTGGTTATAAGGAGAGTTCAAAAAGAAGAATTCACTTTTTGGTTCAAGTCACGTCAAGTCTCGCGAGTCCAAGCTCAAATCAAACTTGACGCTAAGCCTCGATGTGGTCACACGCGCTAACCACGTGAGACCATCCACCAATGCGGCACCACGGTCAACTATAAATAGACACGATCTATGCGGGTATTTAAATAGATTTGATTTTCTCTTTAAATCGACCTTAGCAAATGAGCCTTGAGGAGGGATGGGTCTCACAAACACAGGGTTGTTGGCTGTATCATTTAATGTAACAGCCTGTTCTAGTAGTTCCTGTAGTTCACAGTGCTGTCGGCTGTATCATTTAATGTAGCAGCCTATTCTAGCAGTTCCTGTAGTTCTCGATGCTGTTGGCTGTATGAATACTGTAACAACCTATTCTAGGGGTTCCTGTAGTTTCAGACGGAGACCAGGTATATTGCGGCACCGTGTATGATGTGAATGTTATTGCCTAAATTGTTTTAATTATGTAAACGACATTTTATAAAAACACAGAGAAGAAAATAATAGTAGAATTATTAGAAGAAGTTAATAAATATGGACAGTGTGGTAGAATAGTAGAGCGTTTGAACTCAAAGCTGAAGTCTTGAGTTCGGATCTCGGTCCGGACTCGTGACTGCTGGATGTCCCTGAGTCCACCCAGCTTTGATGGGTACCTGACTCACGTTAGGGAAATGAAAGGCGACTGGGCATAGTGCTGATCACACTTTCCTCCATTGCGTAAGTCATTGAAACATAAACTCTGCTACATCTGCCCAATATGATTTGAACATGAACGGTAAAGATAATGATGAGTTTTTAAAATTTCTCATCTCTATAACCAGGGCATCTGTTTATTGATTTAATACCGTGAGAACTTATATTACGACTACAATGAAGTTTAAACTACTTTTTGTTGATTGGAACATTGTTGACTTAAATTTCCAAAACTCGATTTTTTTAAAATTATTTTTTTGTTTAAAAAAAAAAACATACTCCTATTTCGATAATTTTCATTTTGAAATTAAAAAAAAAAGATGAAGAGATCAGTTACTTTATTGTCTTCTGACATCACGCAGACCATTGGATACGACAGTATAATACAAACGTAATACGAAGCTAAAACAAGTCAGAGCTACATAGAACCGGATTAACTTTAGATGGGGTCCCTAGTTAAACATGTTCAGAAGTCCCGCGTCTATTATGTCAATAGGATAATTGCA